AACTAAATAATAAAGTGAAGAGATTAAAAGAAAAGAGATCATTGAATAACCCATCTCGTTACGTAACAAAGTGCTGTTCTTTTGATGGAGGACTAGGCGATTTTTCGAGCAGCAAGAGTAAACATTGTTGATACCTATAGACAGACCTTTAGAGGATTCTTGATCCTCTTCATTACATAGAGACCATTCCACTCCCTTTCACTCACTCATAGGTCATGTTTGAGCCGGAAAGCCTCACCCCACAAGCCAAACCCTGTCTTCTTTTGATCTTCAACACTTCTTTTGATCACTTATCCCTTTTACAAGGTTCACATGTAAATACTTGGGCACACATTAGAGCTTTTAGAGGATAAGGAATGGCTCTGACTAGCCGACCGTAACTAATTAACTTTTCGGGACTCCAGTAAAGTAAGTTAGATATAATAAGTCAGCAAAGTCTTTGCGAGATCATCAAAAACTTTTTCTAAGCATTCCAATGATTCAATGACAATTGGAAGCTGTGATTCCAATGGTCATTGAATCCAATGATTTGAAAAGTGAGCTGGGTTTCCTCCCAGTTTTTATCAAAGCTCCTTTAGGTGATCAAAACATCGCTGGTGGTCTGTTCCTGTCGATCAGAGCCTCATTTTTTAAGGTCCAATTTCATGGATTCCTTTCTTTAGAGATCAAAGAGAATTTGATCAAGTTGATGCTCACTTTTTAGAAAAAAAAGGGTTGGAATGATGTTCTTCGAATGGAAAGGACCCAGGGAGTACCAGGGGACACTTCTCTGTCTCTTTCGAGGGGAAAAAGATCTAAAAAAGAAAAGGAGTAAGGGATTGTAATGAAAAGAAAAGGGCTTCTGTTTGCACCTCTCTTTTTCTTTTCACCGGGTCTCGATTTCTTGACCTTTTCCCTCTTTTGTTGGAGTGATCCCACTTTGTCTTTCAAAGCATGATGGTCATTCTCGACTTCTCAAAAATCTCCTTTTTTTTCCAATTGAGTCACTCGATCTTATGGTCTCACAAGGTCTATGGCCTTGTTTCACAAGGCCGAAGCCTTCTGAAACATTTCAAGATGTTTTTGTCAAATTAATCAAGAGATAAAAAGACATGGGATGATGAAAGAAATATAGAGAAAATATAAAAGAAGAAATTTGCCGACTGGTTTAGTTGATAAGTGCTGTTCAATTTCAACTGATAGTTTAAAGTTTTCTGCTTTGATAACTGATAGTTTAAAGTTTTCTCACTTTGGACTAGATTGGCTTATCAGTCCATTTAATGCCAGAAATCTCGGATAACTGAATATTCTGGTATTTTCTACCGTAAACGATTTTCTATTTCCTACTAGTTTACTATTAGACTGATAATCAAGTCTAATCTAAAGTATGAAAGAAAGCTGAACAACTGCTGAACTCCAATTGCTCCTAATTCTCAAAGCAAGTCGGGCTTTAAAAAAAGTATATACTGGTTTATTCAACCAATCCAAGCAATCAATCATAATACAGAAGCAAATCCTATTGAAAGCATAACCTAGCCTAACCTAACCTAGCCTAACCTACTTAATGCCATGAAAAGACTTCAAACTCTTAACTTAAGCATAACTCTTGAAAGGCAATGATCATTATTTTGTGGAGTGACGATGCTGGTCAATGAAAGGAAATAACCGTTTTTAATGGCTGCAGTTTTATGTGAAAGCCAACCCGTAGTTTAATTTCAACGGGCACGGTGCGTTACATTGCTCTGCGCTTGGGATAACTCCGAACCTGCGATTAGCCGAGCCCAACGTTGCTTAACTTGGCAGATGCCGTGTTTCAACGTGGCGAGAACGTAAACTACGGTTTTTCTATAGTACTTAAAGACTATCAAGTCAAGAGTACGGTATTACAGAAATAGCCGTTTAAAGTTCGCTACCAGTACAGCAAGTTACATTGAATCAAGAGTACAAGTCCAAAAGCTTCAAAGATTTCATAACTTTGACTAAAAACGGGGAAACGAACGAAGGACTAGCAAAAATCGAGCGTCTCTACCATCTCATGACCGTGAAAAAAAAACGGTAGTCGGTTTGGGAATGGAAGGGGGAAAGAGGAGGGGTCAAACAAGGCCCGGGGGAAGGGGGAGAGATGAGTGACGGTGTTAGGGACTCAAAAGACTCAAACAGACACAAACCTCATCCAATACAAAAAATGAGTGAAGAGAGAAAAGGGATGCGGAGACGTGTCTCTTTCCCCTCAACACAAAATAGTTCACAGAAAACAGAAGGGGGAACAAGAAATGGTGATTGGGGGAAAGGGGGATGGAGAAGAGACGGAAAGTGGACCATCACGCACAAATTTCTTACAATGGTTCGGAAGAGTTTCTTGGAGAAGTGATGAATGGGACAAGAAATCATTGACTTTATAGTTTTATTTTGAGTAGATTGTGTTTCTTTGCGTTTTCTAAAACCTATAAACTTTCAAAAGCTTTAGTGAAGGCAAACTAAAGCTTTTGAAAGTTTATAGGTTTTAGAAAACGCAAAGGCACACAGTTTTTCAATCAAAAACCAATCTTTCCTTCAGTTTTTATCCGATATCTTGTATCTTTTGGTATCTTTAATGGATTAGACCAAAGATAGCTAGATTGGATAAAAACTAGCGACAAGGATAGGGTAGCTTTTAAAAGTTACCATTTAGAAAGCGCAAAGCCAGGAGTTTTCATTTTTTAAAGAACTTCTCGCTTTTATGTTCAGATACACTTTTCTACAAAAGAAACAGGTTATAGCAGCTTATTTAAACAGTTACATGTAGCCATCGATTGTTGCGACGAGAAAATATTGAACGCGTCAGATAAGGCAATGTCTGGCTTGAATCAAATGTGGCGTGTAGCTCCTCAATTGAATGACTCGTTTATCGAACCTCTCTCTAAAACTTGGATAATTAAACCATGATGAAAAAACAATGAAAGAGAGAGAGAGAACGGAAAACAATATAGAATGATTTAAGATTACTTTACAGACAAACAATTACGACGATACAAATGAGAAAAATGAATGGCTTTCCGGGGGGTGAGACAAATGCGACCTTTTTTTTGCGCACCTTTTTTTTTGCTGGAAAAGGCCTTAGGCAAAGCCGTAGAGCTTCGAAAATATTTCCATATAAGGGAATCGTATGCGTAGATTCAGAATTTTGACAAATCAGACCTCGCTGACACGTCAAATTTGGGCTAAAATGCAAAAACTACGCAACTTAACGCTTTTCCGCAGTTTTTGCCTTTTAGCCCAAATTTGACGTGTCAGCGAGGTCTGATTTGTCGAAATTCGGAATCTACGCATACGATTCCCTTATATGGAAATATTTTCGAAGCTCTACGGCCTTGCCTAAGGCCTTTTCCAGCAAAAAAAGGTCGCATTTGTCCCACTCCCGAAAAATGAATCACTTTCCGGTTTACGCCGCTGCTTTTATACTACGCATAACTGAATATCTTTTGCTGACTAAAATGTTTGTCTACGTTGGTTTGAGCTTTCTTTAGAATTGAGGCTATTCATTTGCATTTTCTTGGTGACATTTATCACATAGATCCATTTTTGTAATCCTCTAGCAAAACGTTTCTGCCTACTGTACCTTTTCCCCATTCTTTTTCCTCTCATAGAAAGATATTTGCATGCAATTCTCTCCCGAAACGACATAACCAATCACCGATCGAGCAAACCAATGTTTGTAGTGGGCTTTCTATCAGCGTAATATCTAGAGATTACAAAGTTCTATAGATATATTTGGTTTGGTTGCTGATAGATTTTAAAAGAAACCCAACAACGTCAAGCATTTCCAAAGCATTTCCTTATTTCCCTTTCCTCAACCACCCATATTTACCTAATCAATTCAATTACCCATCAAGAGCTTGAGGTCAAGAAAACTCTCTTTGACGATCCTCTTGAATATCGGCTTGACCGATGTGAAGATCTCTTATCAAGGAGCTACCAAATTTGTTCAACAAAAAAAGCTCCTCGAGTCGTGAAGATAAAGAAAGACCGCCTAGATAAGTTGAAATGAATACTCCCGATGGATGAGAGATCATTCATCGGCATTCCCAAACAGAAGTCTCCAGCTTTTCTTTTCGGTAGTACTCGATGAAGAGAAAGAGATGTGAAGGAGGACAGGTGTGTCTTTTTCTGGTGATCGAATGATTGAGGTCAAAGGGAAATGAAGAAGAAGAAAAGGAGGAAAAAGACACAAGCCGCGCATCAAAAAGAAAACGACAAAAGGGGCAGAAGAGATCAATGAAAAGAAATGGATATCCGATAGAGAATGGGGAGATCGAATAGGAAAGAGGAGATTGAGGAGATGGGAAGACGGGTAAACAACGAACATTTGGCCACTTCACGGCATTCAACTTATCTCGTTAACATTCAAGGGGTTTTGAATATAGAAACCAGTGCGAAAGACAATTCATCAAGAGTCTCTCTAAGATGCCCCAGAAAAGCTATCGTACGTGTCTGTCTTTTTAATCCAAACCAGCGGACCATGAGGACAGTTTTTGTCAATACCGATGTGTACAAATCTCCAAAGTCCTCTAACTTTTGCTACCGTAATCCCTTTGTAGGTTATCGTAGTCTTTTTTAGGCCATGGCCTTGTTTTTTGCTCCTCCATATCTTTTATTCTCGACCTAGAAGACCGTGTGGGTGTGTGAGGGTGGAGAGCGAACACATGTGCTGGAAGAGGAGGGCCATCAATTGGAGAGGAACCATCGTGGCACCAAGAGGCACCCTCTCTTCCCCTTATGAGAGTAAAGATAGGCAAAAACTTTGAGGCACACACATGGTTATGACGAGAAATCCCGTCAAAAGATTGACTGTAAGGAAAGGATATGGAGGGAATGTATTAAACTTTTAATTTGCAAAGTACCTTGTAAATGTTAAATTAACAACTCCTTACCCTAAACAAAAATCATATCATAAAACAAAGAGATCAACAAAAGTTGATAAAAGTAACAAAACCATAACTGTAATTTCGACATTCGACAAAGTTACGAATACCTTAACATTAAAAAACATGATCTTTTAATTGATGGAATCGTCCCTTGTAGTAAGCGTTGAGTTGCTCACAGACGTGCGATTTTGTTGCGCGGATGAATTCTTTGGCTTGCTAAAAGATTTTTAATTTTACAAGTGACTAAAGAACTATTTACTTGACTCCAGATCGTCGAAGCTTCCGCTTGAGAATTGACTAGATCAAATTTCTGCTAAAATATAGAGTTGATACCTTAAGGCTTTTTTGAAAAACGACTTTACAATTAGCAAAAACTCACAATATAATTTGTTAACTGTTCCTCGATCACTTTTTGACATTTCAAAAGACCTTCATGCAACGATGTTTCCAAGGAACTCTGAATATAAAGATGAAAAAATGATGACAATAGCTAACCTTTTCTTTAACAGACTGGCCGTGATAATAAAGCGAGATCACTTTTTTGCTAAAAAAAACTTTCATTTAGACCGTTAAAGTAGCTCACCAGAAAGCCAAGGCTTGTAAATTCAAACTGTAGTCATATAATACCCGTTGAGGCACAATAGATTTCGCTTGAGTCTCAGCAGTATTTACAAAATCTAAATCGACCGTAAAATGTTGATAAAAAAAGAATCAAACCTTGGATGATTTTCTCAAAATGACTTTTCTCAAATTTATTATCTTGTCCTCCAACACTTGAGACGTCAGTCAACGTTTGCAGAACAAAGATCATCAGATCAAATGCTGGTGAATGTAAAAATCGCGTTAGATGAGAACTTGAGGTTGACGAGAAATAATCATCTTCTTCCTAAATAAAACATTAATAAAATGAACTGTTTTTGCTATTAAATCACTCACAGAAGACATTTTGTGCACAGTTCGCAATCTTTCGATCAAATTCTTCGTAAGCGTTAGTTGTGGTAGAGCTTTCTAAAGTTGTCTTCAGACAATTTCTTTTCCTCAATGCTAACCTCTGCCCTCCTCGAAGGACTACCCAAAATTTCAGCGGCTTTCATCACTTCATCCCGAATTTGGCAAAAATCTTTCTAAAGTTGATGTATAATAAAAATACGCTTCAGAACCCACTTTTTCCAAAAAGCTTTTCGTAGGCTCTGGTGGTGAAGCCTGTTGATAAAATGGAGAAATTGTCATATCACGATTGTCAACCAAACGCTCCCAACCTATGTCCTTTTTAATAAAACAAATAACTTAATTATTTACCAATAAATTCTTCTTTATCGCCGCAAAAATATTGTAAAACGTCAGCATTTTCGTTGAGCAAGAAAATCGCTGAAATCCACCTAAAATTCAGGTTCGATCCAACAATTACGAAAAGTTTTCACCGATTCGAGACATCAGCTGCGGTAACCACCAGACTTTGATTAAATCGATGATTCATCTCGACGATCCCTTTCAGCATTTCAAACTTTAACGATTGATATGTCAACACCAACGAATCGCCCGTCTAAAAAGATTCTTTCTTTATAACATTCAATGATTATTACATCTCTCTCGGCTTGATCGTAAAAGGTACCGGTGTCCGCATGATGTTTCACCGCAGCCTGAAAAATAAAAGCTATTTTTTGTTTAAAAACAAAAACAACCTTCAGTTGCCCCGTGTAGTCAAGAACAGGATGAAATAAATATCCGATCGTATCGCGTAAGACGTTTTTAATCTCCAGATCAGACACCAATTCTCTCAATCGATCGGAATACAAGGCATTCTTGCAAAGGCATGCTAGCGCAAGCTTTATCAATGTCAATTCCTTAAATTTTCCATTTAGCGCCTCCAAGAGCGCAATCAAATCGTAGAACAGCCGGACATCACCTAACAAAATTAATTTTATCATAAACGTAAAAGTGATCTTACCTGTTGAAGTAAACAATCTATAAGTCATTGAAATAATGATTTGTATGATGGTTGTCACAGCTTCTTCGTCTTTGACCAGTTCATCCTCATCCTCAATCAGCTTTTCAAGGACATTGTTCAAGAATACAACATTCTTTTCGACATGCTAAACATCATCATTGTCGACCCCGTGAACATGATTTACCTTTTCATCCGAGTAATCGGCAAAAATCTGCCCAAGAAGAATTCCCCACCAAAGTTGTGAGTTTTCATCCTAAAAATTCATAGTTTTTTTGAATGTTAGGAAAGTTCTCACAAATTTTTGTGGTAGAATTTGCCAAACATCAACTGAAGCCAGAAAATGGAGCAGAGTCGCTAACTCTTTCGGTGACAGCACACTAAAATAAGTGTTTTAAAGTCTGTGTGAAACATATTGAAACTCACGCTAAGCACAGTCGGACATCATTGTAACAAGACGGCTGAATGAAAAACAACAAAATGTAACGAATCAATTTCTCCACAAAGTGTGCTTCTTCTAAAAGTTAATAAAAATCCTCATTTGTGTAAAAAATCTACCATCCACTATCCAATTTTTCCAATCATTGTTATTGCTTTGGCGAACCCTCTTGAATAATTCGATTTCAGCCAGAATAATATTCTGATTTGAAGGCTTCAGTTGCTTGAGTTCTTTCAAAATCAAGCACACGTTTTCCAAGGTTCTAAATTTTATTACAGCATTTACTATCAGCTTCAAAACCTACTCTTGCTGAATTGCACTAGAAGATGTATGCAGGAATTGCAAAATACAATCGTAAGTGAGATTCCAATAAGAAAAGTTTACATCCCTAAATTATTGATCTATGCAATCAAAAGTTAAAATATACCCCTCATTCTCCAGAACAAATGTAAAACAACGAATGAAAGCTTCCTCGATTTTTCCTCTCTTCAGATAACAATCGATGAGCTTCATGAAAAATTCGTCATCCGAGAGTCCCGACTAAAAAAGAAAGTTAGGATGAATTTAAAGGTTAAAGGCTTACCGTTTCCTTGTAAGATGGAGATTCAATCAATTTTTCCAGTTTTTCGTAATCTTCTAGTTCGGTACAAACCAACTCGTATAGTTCAACTAAACAATATGTAAAAAGGATAATTTTAATAAGTTACATACTTATTGAAAAGAGTAAACCGTGATTGGCCATCAAGCTATCTAACATTTTCATAGCAAGCGGGAGAAACATCTTCTTGCCCATTATCGGATCAGAAATCCCCTAAACATAAAGTAAAATCTGTTTAATGAACTCTTTTAAATACCTGCATAAAAACACTTGCCACTTGCCATAAAGAAAAGTTCAAACTAGGAAATTCCTTCACCAGACGAGTCGCAATCTAAAGTGCAGTGATTCATTTTATCATAGTTATCTTTCCCCCACTTGCTGTTGCTTTTTGTATTCATGCAGACGAACATAAGCGAGAAACAAATGAACCAAAGTGGCCTCGGTAGGTTTAAGCTCCACTTGAGATTCATACAACAAGCGAATTCGTCCTGGTGTTGAGGCTTCCTAAAATGAAGTTATTTAATTTGAACCTAATATCTAATATTATCTTATTTCCTAAATGTCGTCATTAGAAAACCCAACGACTAAACATACCTTAAAGCAGTGACAAAGAGCTTTCAATGTTCCATCATCGAGAATTTGTTTCTTTGCTAGCTGTTCAACATCATTGATAATCGTGAAAGCCTCATCATTTCGTTCTAGTCGCAGCAATGCAAGACTTTTCAAAGCCTAAACGTTGATTGAATTGGATTTCAAGAAGATCAACACCTTTGCGCAAATCAGATCCGGGTGCTTTTTCAAAATCTTTTCTGCCTCTTGAACAGCTCTTTTCGAGTTTCCACTATCGATTAATTCTAAAAGTAAAAAAGATTTAAAATAAAACGATAATGTTTACCATAAAGTGGCTTTAGTCGTCTCTCAATGACCGCTTGTTCGGCATTTTTTGTTCTCGACATATTCTCAGTCAAGATATAAATGCTGGTTATCTGAAATGTCCATCACTTAAAAACCAACATGCAAATGAAACCAAAAACGCACAAAGGTAACCGTTCACGTTTTCGGGGAGTGCTGTTAATTTTTTGTTTCCTTAATTATCCAAGTCCTTTTACTATTTTTTCTTTGTCTTTTAGATATTCAGTAAAGGGCTGGATTGACTCAAGATAATGACTGGTACAACGAGCTTTACCGTTTCAAATAAAAGGAAGGCTGCAAAAACATTATAATCATTTTTATCAGCATAAAGTAACTTTTAAAAGTAATCCAAACAAAACAACGAAAAGGTCGGTTTAATAATAAGACGATGGTGCATCGGGGGCACGTTCCAAAACCGATTGAGTGGGCTGTTTTAGAATACCCTTCTGTCGCGATTTTTTCAGCAGAGACATCTGAAATTTTTTCAGATGAGAATTTATGTCATGATTTCTTTGTTTTTCTACCTGTAAAACGATTTTCCAATTGTGGGATAGTGCGTAGGCAAATCCATTCCCAAGTGGTGGAGGTCCCTACATTATTTAATTAGAAAAGAAATCGGGGATGACTTGCTTTATTTTGATTTAGTGTGATGCTAAGTCGATTTGCGCCCACACATGGCGTTCCCAGAAAAATAGCCGACTTCTTCGAAGCGCTGAAAGTCGACATTGAGATTATGAAACTTTAACCGACGTATTCATTGGGCCATATTGTTCAATGAACTGGATTGGTATCATATCGTCGTCATTTAGCACTGGTTCAGTCTCCAAAGGCGAGTCGCCCCATAGGGCCAGGTGCCACTAAAATGATGCTTTTAACAGATTTCTTGGCGGAGCACTTACCCTGTTAGTTTCATCAACGACCGCGGTTGCCACAAATAGCACAAAAAAGTATTCAGCGGTCGGAATCTTTTCAGCATTATAGTGAAAATCAAACCATAACTTTGGACCCTCATAGAAATTGGCGACATACATCGGACTCACGGGGTGTACCTCTTCGATGTCACTAAAGGTGTGATATGCGGATCACAGTAAGCACAAACTTACATTAGCACTTTTCTTTTTGCATCATTGAATCGCTGCTTGAGCATATGAAAATGCTTGAGCAAGTCCTCCTTGATAAACTTGTTAAACGGGACTTTGTTGTGGCGGATCTCATGCTAATTAAAGACTGTTGAGAAATCAATCAAAGTTTACCTCTAGTGGAGCAAAATTAGCTCCATTATCCAACAAGAGTTTGAAAATCAGACGATTGTTAGCAATGTATGTCTAAATCTTGCATTGTTTATCGAAAAAGTGAGTTAACTTGATAGAGAATAGAGTTTTTTAGCTCAATGCCTCGAATGTTAACTGGCGCACGAAGTGCTAAAAGACGGCGAACTCGACAAAGGATTTTCTAAAATTGAATTTGAAGATAGGCGGAGAATTTGATAACCTTATCGATAGCATACTGAAGAGCTGTTTTCTCGGAGGAATCGACTTGACGAGGATCCAGCCCAGATACAATGAGATATTCAGCAGTATCACAAAGTGCGTGTGTATATTCAGGACGACGGACTTTTGCGTCATTGCATGAAATTTGACAAACCTAGAAAAAGTTGAGGACACGTTAGATAGGTTTTCGAACCTTATGGAGTAAGTTTTGTCCGGTTATTCGATCGGTGGCAAGGAGATTAAAATCACTCGACATTGGGCACACTTTGTGAAACTCGACAAGTTCCCGGGCTCTTTCGATCTTGCCTTCCAAAATAGCTTGTGTGAATGTCTGAAAGAAGCTGCTTGATTTTAGTCATTCGAAAGTTCACCTCTTGAATCGAGCTATTTCGAAGCGATCCAGCAATCTTGTCAACTTGATCGGCTAGCTCTTCATGTGCCTTTCTTGCCACGAGTCGTTTAGTCTAGAAGTATAAAATTACTAACCACTAATAAATAATAATAACCAATCATTAACCTCATCAAACGGCTTTGACGCTTGTTCAATCATCGCTGTTGTAATGCCCATTTCTTCAAGTGAAAGCACGCGTCTTCCCACCAAAGCTCGCTAATAAATGGTTAACGTAGTAAACTCTCTTGAATACTTTTTTGATTGGATGCTGGGCTGCGGAAGTCGATTCATTGGATTCCTGTGCCGCTGTTTTGTTTTCGATTGGTTGTGTATCCTCTAAATTCTCGATGTATTTCGAAACTTATAAAGCGAACCGTCATCTTCAAGAGTTACGCGTTTTTTCACGGATTTTTTGGGTGACTTGCTTGGAGTATTCGAAGCTACAGATGACGTTGGCGAATCCTCTGAAATTGTCAACTTGTACAACCCTACACACTTAGCATACCCTCCGGAAAGGCAACACTTGGCACAAATTGAATAATTGGCTCATCCGATACAACCTAAATCCCAATAAATTGAAACTTTAAAGAGCTTGAACCTCATTTTCCACCGTACTATCAGCATTTTCTTGTTCGACTCGGGTTGAGCCAGCTTGTTTTCTGCCCCTTCCACGACGAGCTGGAGGGGCTTTGGTTACCCCGCGGGTTTTTCGACCACGAATTGGAACTGGCTGTAAGATTGTATTTCTATAAGTTATCTTTACCGTGCACCTTTAATTATTCGTCATTCATTTTACCCTTAAAAACCGATTGCCTACCGTAGTACCGCGACTTGGAGGAGCACTGCTATCGCTGCCTTCATTCTTGCGTACAACGTTTAGTTGAGACCTCGTTAAACGTTTGCCGGAAAGTGTGTTCACTTTTGCTAACATCTGAAGCAATTCTTGTTTTAGTTTTTAAATTGGACGCAAGCTTGTTAGTAGAAAAAAAGCGGAAAATTTATAATATCTTGATTTTCAAACCAAAACCCAACGGGACAGCTACGCACTGCGACGGAAAAAAAATTGCGGAAAAACGTAGCTGCCCCATTTGTTGAATTTTTCTTTGAAAATTAAAAGATATTATAAATTTTTGCGCTTTTTTTCTACTGACAAGCTTGCGTCCGATTTCAATTTTCCGCTTTTTTCCACCTGCAAGCCTGATCGGAAACCTTTGATAACCCAAAAATTTTGCCTTTTCTGTTTCAGTGAATTTGTGAGATGGGTCAAATAACCGGGCCGTTTCGCCGGCCAATTGATCAGTGCTCGATCCATAAAAAACTTCTGGCTCATCCTCAGCTGCACCACCTGGTCTTTCCTAGAAATGTTCTTTTAAAACTTCTGGTATAGCTAGTTACTTCATATACCCAACCGGGACCAGATTTCTTTGTCTCCAACTCCGTTTTCTTCTGCATTGCAACTTTTAAAGCATCTTGTTTACAAAATTGAAAATCTTGAAACACAATGGCGACCATTGGATCTGAAAACGATTTTGTTTATGAAAATTGAACCCTTTTTACCTCTTGTCCAAGTTTGCATCTGCTTTTCAGTTTCCCATGTTTTTCTCAAAACACCTCCCTGATACCAACAAACGCGATAAAGAATATCGCCGTGCGGTCGCGAAAACTTCACATCGCAAATCCTTGTGATGAGGGACTAACAATAAGAAGAATTAAACAGTATTCGGGGGTAGTCAGAACAGCGCAATAGTAAAAAATAGCACGATATCCTATTTTTTTCTAGATTTCGGAACTTTTGCCTGGGTTTTATGGTTTTGCCCTTTTTTTTTCATTCATTCATAGTGCACGGCTATGAGTATCTAAAGCGCAGAGAAAACGATTGAATTTGCCCAGACAAGTCGTTTTTTTGATGTGAGATTTCTTATTTTTTAAAATCTACCCCCAAATATACTTTCAAAGTTCAAAGTTTCAAATATATTTGTCCACTCAGCTGAATATGAATATCTAGTTTAGGGGGATTTTCAAACAAAAGGGGCGGGGCTTCGTACCTTTTACAGCTACCCCATTTTTTTTTTTTAAACTTTCCCAAAAGATATTCAACTAGAGCTTCGGGGACACTTTGAAAGTATACCCCAAACTGCTTGTTTTTAATGTTTTTTCTAGTGTTCTTGTAGTTTTCCAGTTATTTGCGCTTAAGGCAGGTGTAGTTGCAGTCCCTTCTATTTAGCTCCATTTCAACCGTTTTAAGCAAAAATATTTTACTGTTTTGGTTTGTTTTGATAATAGCGCTGTTCTGATTGCTTTTTGACTACCCCCTGCATTGTTTTGCTCACTGGGTCTTTGCAATGGTCGCCGTTATCTTCATTACTGTCTTCTTCCATCGTTTCGTCGTTTCCTTCATTTTGATTTGAATGAGGTGTTGTTGAGCGACTTTTCAATTCGTCGTGTGGAGATGAATCTTCGGAGTCTCTCCTTGACATTTTTCACAAATAGGGTTTTAAACCTAAAAATTCAAAGGATCAAATACTTTAGTTTTTAAAAAGAGCAGTGAAGAAAAAAGAAACTCACTGTGCCAATAATAAAATTAGTTTGAAGTAATAATTTTAGCCTTTTTCGCCTTAAGGGGTCTTTTTCGTTATTGTAGCACTAGGTTATTTCGTTGCTAGGAGTTTAAAGTCCTTGATTACGTTACATAATTTTTTTACATAGCGTTTACAATTCTTTTTTCACTTTTCACATAAAAATTAATCATTCTTTTTTTCAGGTAATGGTCAAACATTCAGATGAATGCAATGGAAGGTGCGAGCTTGAAACGAGGGATTTCATCGACGATGCCGGAAACGTTCATTTTTATTGTTTTAGTAAATCCAAGATATACCTAGATAATTATGTAGCTAGTTTACAATTTTCTTTACTTAGGTCAACTAACTCTTTTTAGGAAACATGCTACGTCGAGCTACCAAAATGCAAATGGCGAGAATTCGATAAATATTCCGAAAAAGCGGCCGATGAACTTATAGCAGAAATAGAAGCAGAAGGAGACGATTTGATGTGGTAAGAGTTAAGTGGAATATATCGGGGTGGGGAGAATGATTACTTAAGAGGCAGTGTACTAATAAACTGACAAATCCTTTGTAGCATAATTTGCGACTATTTAGTTTGTATCCGCCACCACCGGTTCCGACTCGTCAAAACGTGGATGGTCGTAAGTACTTGCTTGTAATACTTAAGTATCTAGTTTTTATAAACAATACGGAGATTTTTTTTTATGTTTAATGAGTTTAATAGATAATTATGTTTAGTGCTCAGAAAGCAAGCCTTTTCATTGTATAGCAATGAATTTGCGAACGCTGCTGCGGTGAGACAGAAATATAGAGAATTTGTAGAATTGCTCGAATTTAAGGCAAAAGTGGAGTTTGACGGTGAGTAGTGGTTTGCATTTTGAAAAGTTGTGGTATATTTAGACTTACAACCGCAATCGGGCAATGATGAAGACTCCAAGTTAATTTTAATGGAAGAGCGATACGAGAGTGTCGATTTCGAAGTAAGTTAAAGAATTGCGCTTATAGTTAATTAAAACTCTTTTTAGATTGCTAGAGAGCATGCTTATAAAAGGTCGAATGGATGTGGAGTCTCGGTGAAAGGTCAACAAAAATGGAAGTTATCTGTGAGTTGGATTTTTTTTAAAGTGTGAAGGAGCCATTGCTTTAGGAAAATTTTCCGCATTGTCCGTTTCCAGTTCTTTTTGCCGACCACCCGCTTATTAAAGCCCTCGAAAAGTATGTGTTATGTAGCGCGAAGGCGATGCTTTATGGTTAACTCTTTAGATTGCCTTGGGAAGCTGAAAGAATGATTATTAACGAATTGGAAAGCGATGAAAATAGTCTGCCAATACACATTAGAAAAAATCCATTTGTTCCCACGCCAATTCATATTGCCATCTGGGAAAGGAATGTGGAGGTCAGTTTTTTTGCACCTAGCATGAGCATGTAATTTATGTTTTAAGATCATCGACATTTATCTAAAACTTGCGGGAGCTCGTGCAAACGGGATTCGAATTACTCAAAGTGCCGAAGAAAAGTGCCAGTTTTGGCTAAAAAGCTGGCTTAAAAGGTAACTATTGGGAGTATTCGTTATAGGCCCTGATAGCGAAATGTGATTTTAATATTACTGTTTTATTTAGTTTTTCCGTTTCGCCGTATAACGCGATTGCAGACAACTCTCGGCTTTGGCAAAGTGATGATACTTCGACCCCAAATCACTCCAAAAGTATGCCGCTAGTAGTCAGTTTAATTAATTTTCTTTAGTTGATCAAACTTTGCTCGAAAAGATAAACCAGCTGATCTCAATCATCCCTCCGGATAGACAATTTTCCTTCGAAATTCTTCGATGGGGCGACGCTGGATATCAAGGAAGAGGGCAGCCAACTGAAATTGAGGTAAGATTGCTCATAGTTATGGAAATTGCTCAAATGGTTGCTTTGTTTAGATTATTATTTACACAATCTGTAATATATTTTTTAGAATCCCGTCTCCATCGCCTGCTCTAGCGGAGATCTTGGGCTTTTGAAAGCTCTGCTTTCGTCTATTCTAGAGTATATTTGCGATAGCGATGAAGACGCGTTCAGCTTTATGCTGTACATCGAATCGGCTTTGCTCAATCTTATTCGCTTTGGTTGGGTTTTTACAAACCGATCCCCCAAATTGTTTGTTGTTTAGGAGATGTGGCCGTCTTCGAAGAAGGAAGCGATTTAATCTGGAACTTTGTTGGAGATGTCTACAACCAATGGGGCAATGTTTTCCCGGAGAGCTCGAAGGTATGCATGGATTTTGTGGCAATGAAAGGAGTGTTGTTAAGGGAAACGATAAGCATCAATTGAAAATTGTTGGCCTTGATTCAACCTTCAGCGCAGCGATTGCGACAGGCCTTCCTGAAATGGTTTGCTTTTTATTTATGCTCGACCAATGATTTTTCCTTTTCTAGGAAAAAGCTGTGACGAAGTTTTGGCAAAGCTTTAAGGACACATTTGGATTTTCTTTTGCGGTGACAAACCTTGATGGTAAAGTAGCCGCTTTTAGACGCATATTTTGAATTTTCAGATGAATGTCGAGTAGCGGAAACGGCGATTGCTGGCGAGTTCTCCCCAACCGAATAGCATCCAAGTATTTTTTGGTTGGTTTATTAAAAGTTTATATTCTAACCTTCCTAACCTAAAGATTATTTAAGCAATCTTAATTTTATATTTCAGACTTCGAAGATCTTCACGCCCACCAAATGGCGATCTCATTAACCGTGCAAAAATCTTTTTTTTATTTGTTGTTTAATAAATTGTTATAACGTATCAAAGATAAAAATTTATGAACAACGATCAACAATCGTTAAAATGCCCGCAGCGAACTGGCCACAAAAAATGGAATTGAGACGAGAAAACAAATTTTAAAACATCGACTTCTTTTTAATATTTGGTCATTCTTTTGACTATGACTGAAATTGGCGATAATGAAAAACTGTACAAATGATACAATGAGATACTGTAGATGGGAATGTGTAGGAATGATTAGAGTTTGGAGAAATTGCCCAGATTAGTTTGAACTGATCATTGCGCTGAGTCTCCCAACTCCGGAAATGATATTGTCACTCGTTATGAACCAATTGATTCATTTTCAATGGTTACTTATGAAATCATTGTAAATTAGATCAAATTCTATGATACTATCGTTTAAAAAATGAGCTACTCGAAAATTGCCAAAAGAACACGGAAAATGAGTGCGAGTAAAGCGAAGAAAATCGCCGAATCAAGATTGAGATGAGGTGATGAAGAAGGAATGGAATTGAGGAGATTTGAGTGGAGAAATTGTCGGGATTGGGCACAACGACATCGATGTCTTCTCGCAACAAAGATCTTTCCGATGAATCCATTCGAGTTTCTGAAATTTGTATGGCTTAGCTTGGTTTTGTTTTACCCTAAAAAATGAAAAGCTATTCAAATTTGCACTGACAATCCTTGTGTCTATGCATTTTGGAATGATTTTTCTCCCTTCAACATCCCACTCACCGGTGCCTCAGCTCGTTTCCTCCGCGTCGAGCTCGTAGAAGTGAATCGAGACGACAAAAATCGCATTTAGTCCGTCTTGATCTCCAATGAATGAGCGTTTTTTTGGTCGGATTTCCCTAAATTCAACTTTTTTTTGTTGTTTTTTTTTGTTTGCGATCTTTCAATTCAATTTTTTTTTCAAAAAGGCAATCTTTCTAAAATGTGAAATGTGTCACCAAATTTGTAGAGAAGAAAAAAAACGATAACTTGCGAAAGTTGACACGTTTTAGAAAGCATATTACTTGCGAGGTACGAATGATAGCCATTTGTTGCACACCTTTCTTTCTTTGGAAGATCTCATCGATGAGTCGTCGACGAAAATCGAGCTCTCCATTGTAAATGAAATGAGAGAATTCGGAGAGAAAGCTCAAATGATTATTGCAATGAATTCAAATGAATTTCCCTCTCTACACTTACGATTTTGTTCATTTTCATTCATTCGATTGTATGATCGATTCATCATTGGATCTGTTGATTGACGCTGAAAAAAAAGGATATATACAATATGTTCATATTGTATTCTTTATCATTTCTCACTCGTGACAATCGTGGCCATTGCTCAGTCTCGAATTGGGACATTCGTGGACGATTGAGGAGTCGAGTTGATGAGGAAGAATGGATGAATTGCGAAGAAGTGCGGAGATTTGATGAGAGAAGATTTGGTGATCGAGATCGATCATGATTCCCACTCACTGATAGAAGACATCTGAAATCGAGAGTCGTTTGTGCTCGCAAGCCCTCTGGCGCACTGAATGAGAGGAAAAGCAAGGGAACGAGTGCGTTAGAAAGCGTGCTTTTACTCGAACACACAAAGTACACAGCCGTTCTCGAAGGATTAATGGGTATTTTCAACTAGTAACTAGGTACGGTAGCCTCTATAGGTAGCCTCTATATGTCTGTGATACGGTAGCCTCTATATGTCTGTGATACGGTAGCCTCTATATGTCTGTGATACGGTAGCCTCTATAGGTCTATTTTTGAAGAGACTTGTATGCCAATTTTCTAAGCTACGGTAGCAAATTTCTTGAGTTTCCAATGAATTCACCTGAGATCCCCTTTCGGCAGTGTTCTCGGTGTCCCCTGGAGACTTCTCTCGATTGTTTCTCTCGCAATTTCTCGAAGATTCATTCGACTGAAATATTAGCAATATATTATTATTATTATTCCGTTTATCCAACCGTTTATCCTCATGTTCACACAATTGTTCCCGACTACCGCATGGTGCAGACATCACCATTTGCTGAGAGCGTCTCGTCGTTTTTCTTGACTCATTCGATACAGAGAATGATGCCGACAGAATTGGTCTCGGAATTTGTGTCCTCCGGGGGGAAAAGCTTAGAATATTTTGCTTTGACTTTGTTAAAATGATCAATTCTTACTTGTAAAAGGAAGAACTCATCGGTGAGACGCTGGGCGATCTTCTCGCTTCGTCATTTTCAGAGAATGGATTCTCTCTCGGCATCGAGACACAACGACGACCCGATGAAATGACCAATTCACTGAAAATTATGGTAATGTGAATGGAATTGGTCACAGTCTGTAAGTGATATCAATGGCTTAGTTTGCTGCAAATTATCCAACTCATGTCAAACCTTAAATCCAATGGTGGAACAATGTATTCATTGAAATCGATGCTCATTTGAAGATTCGGACAAGGACCAAAAATGGATGATGGATGGAAAGAACTGGAAGAATTTGATATGAGAAAAGAAAAGGAATAAACCTTGGCATTTGTTGATTTAATGGAGGGAAATCCGCGCAAATCCCTTCACTTTCACTTGACGCGCTTGATGTTGAGGGTTTTCGATCCTGGAAATTGATAAAGATCGATAAAAGTTAATCATTGTTTAGTTAAAATATGATACAGTATCATTAGAACGGTTTTTTAGCCTAGTCTAAGCTCTCAGTGGTCAAACTCAGTGGTCCAACTCAGTGGTTTCAGTGGTCCAACTCAGTGGTCCAACATCTCAACTTTCTCAACTATCGTTATCTAGCGAGGAGACACTCTATAGGAGTACGATAATTCTATAAGTTACCTGGTGAAATCCTCGATCTTCTTCTAAGTTACCTTGGCTTTAAATTTAGATAAAATGAAGCTGAATCAAATGTACTATCTCGAGGCTGGGATTTTAGAATAATAAACTTCCTTTTTTTCCTTACCTCCAAAATCCAGAATAATAAACTTCATTTTTCCTTACCTCCAAAATCCACATCACCGGTTGTTCATCGCACTCATTTTCCTGCTTTTTAATTGCATTTTCTTTAGAAGAGAAGTCAATGTTTTTTGTTGAGAAATCGATTTGTTTTATAGAAGACGATTGTTTTGTGAAGATCGTCCACCCACTAATCCTCGAGCTTTCGGATAAAGGGATGATGAGACGGCAACTGCAATTCAAGTTAGATATTTTCTTCAGAGGAATTGTTGTGAAGGTCCTTCACTCCCTTCACAATAATTGAAGGTTGCCGTCAATTCTATTTTGCACTTGTTTTATCTGTGTTTCCTAAACGGTGCTTTCTCATTTGAAAGAGAAAAAGAATCATTTGTCATTCAACTTTGCCCCATTAATACATAAACAAAAAATTCAAAAAATACAATTTCCTAATTTCCTTACCCTTTGTGTTTGTGTGGTTTTGCCCATCGTCTTTTTCTTCGTTCGTCGCCTTTCCAAGCGCGCTGCGGGCTCGTCCGTTTTTTGACACAGAACGGGGTCTGAAAAAGAAATTATTTATATACTTTTTCTAAAGAAACATACCCTTTCTAGTGCACTGAATTCTATTTTTTTTTTCTTGAAACAAAACCGAAGGGAAAATGATAAGGGAAAGGGTAACGGAAAGAAGAAAGAGTAAGGGAAAGAGGAAAGAGGAAAGGAAAGAGGAAAGCTTGTACGCTAGAAAGAAAATGTTTAGTTTTGAAACAAAAACTATTGTAGATAGGTGTATTGATATTATTTAGATATTCAATTTATTTTCTTAAAGCTAACCTTTGTATCGGTGCTGTGGCCGCGTGTCTCTCGAGTCGCATCGAGTTGAGTCGAGAGCCGAGCTTCGACACGTCGATCTCGATTCGTGAACTCGAGAGGTGATCCTGGAAAAAGAGTACTGTATAAGTGTATTTTGATTTTTAATCTACAATCTGTATTATCTCTTTTTTCCCCACCTGATTGTAGCATGAACTATTGTTGAGCGTTCTTGTCTCAAGCCGTTCCAAATCAGTGAACACCAACACGTTCTCGCCGCAGAAGCGTAAGATCTCTTCGGGTAACGTCTGGAAAACATTTGAGTACTTAAAAGATTTTACAAATATGAAAAAAAGGAATACTTTGAGAAGTTAATAGTTAATAGTTTTCTAGAGATGGTCTTTAGGCATCGATTGTTTCAGCAATAAAGCCAGATCTAGCTCGGTTTTCAGTTTTGGCTGGAGCTAGTCTAGGAATAGCTTTGTTTCCGATGAACAATGTACCATAAACATCAACAAACCCCTTGTGTTAAAGGAAAATTCTCGTTTGATGTGCTTGTCAACGGGATTCGCTTCGTTTTCTCCAATTTCTCTCGGGCTTTCTCGATTCTCAGCCTTTCATAGACGCTCATCGGTCGACGGAGACCAGGCAAGGATAACTGCAATTGGAATTGGAAGTGGAATTGGAATTGGAATTGGTGATAGGTAAAATATTCAACTGTTTTTAAATAGCAATCAAGATTGTAAGTCAAGATTGTAAGGGAATTAAGATTACCGTAATTAAGAAGTAAAAAAATGTAATCAGAACTTGATTACTAATGCCAAATATATAATATAATAATATACCGTAAATACTGTAATAGTACCCCACCCCCGATAATGACGGTGCGGAGCGTTGCGTAGTCTAGCTTTGAACGAGTTTTTCTCGACACTGGTTTATGCTACAATGCGCGCTTAGGTATCAAAAAATAGCTGAAATTCAGGGCTATTTTTTGATACCAAAGACGCATTTTTTGAAACTACGGGCCCTATAAAAAAATGAAATACTAAAAAACTTTTGCGACTACGCGACTGTACGAGGGGGGCGTGGGGTACTATTACAGTATTTACGGTATGTAATAAATGGGTAGCACAGATAGCGTCAAGGATCCACTAGAGCTTCAAGAGCAAGATCATCTACAGATAATTGAAAGGTTTCGAGCCTATTGGACTCTCTCAAAACTCTGGGGAGTCGATTCCAAATTCTGACAGTTCTTATTCGAAAAGAGTTATACACAAATTTATTGGAGGTGACTGGAATTTCTAAAACGAAAGAATCTCTCGTTGAACTAACCGTGGCATTAACTTTGAATAAATCTCGAAAAAGAGGGTTAGGGTTGTCTGCCCTTTCTGTCTGCACAAATTTATTGGAGGTGACTGGAGTATTAACGGTATGCCAAATATTAGAATGATATCTTGTATTTAGATTTGAAAAGAATTCTATAAACTGTAGGATTTCAAAAATGATTATCTCTTTATTATCGATTTAATCATTTAAAAAGAACTATCATAAACAAACCGGTCGATTTGCTAAAATATCCCTTCTATCTTGATCAATGTCACTCCCGCAAACGCCCGAATCTCCACCCGTCGATCGACTCAATAAACCATCAACTGAAATAATTAAATTCTTTAAATCAAAAGCTATTCAGTAAATAAATCAATAAGTAGGCATAAAATAAGCGTGCAAATTGTAATTTGATACCGAAAGTGGACGCTTCTTTTCCTTTTCTTTCTTGAGAAAATTGAGAAAGGAAAAGAAAAAGAAAAGAATGAAAAGAAAATGGAAATTGGAAATTATCGTACTAATCAAAGAGTTTTATAGATTATTGTTTTTTAAAATTTGCAAGAACCAAACCCAGTAATGCCTGTCCGGCGGTGGCTGGTCGAGTTGGCACTTTGGAGTCCTGAAGAAAATTGTAAAAAGGAATTATGACTTTCAAAATTTGATCTATTCGATAGAATTTAGATATATATATGTTGTGTCCGATTTAGATTTCCGTCCGATTTAGATTACAGTCTATGTCGGACGTCCGATTTAGATTACAGTCTATGTCGGACGTCCGATTTAGATTCAATCTAAATCTTATATAGATTGAACAATAAATAACAGCAAAATGTTCTAAGCGTCTGTAGTTTTCTGCATTTTTCAAAGGTCCGTTACGGTCTTTTTTGAAAAGAAAACCCAACTATAGACTGTAATCAATAAAAGACCTTTGAAAAATTCAGAAAACTACAGAAAACGCTTAAGAACATATATTATGCATGTTTATATTATTGTTCAATCTATATAAGATTTAGATTGAATCTAAATCGGACGGAAATCTAAATCGGACACAACATATATATATATTCGTTCTAAAATAGTATATATATCTATTTTCGTTCTAAAATAGTATAAATAGTCAGAAAATGATTCACCAGATGGTGTTTAGAGTAAAAATTAATTAAATTACACCATGAAAGAAACATTTTTAAGTTGAAGCTCTTGGTTTAGCTTTGCCGTTTTTTAATCATTTTTTCTAAGCACTGGTTAATGCTAAAAATTTGTTTTATCTCTCAAAATAACACTCATTTTCTCGACTTTAATTTGATACTTAAGCGCGTAGAAATAAACGAACTCATGTCAAGATATGAGCGCTTTTTTGGGGGCAAATTTATTTACGGGACTCTTTTATTGGCTAATCTTTGGCTGATTGGCTGATTGACTGATTGACTGATTAAAAACTTGTTTATTGGGTTTAGTTTTAAAACTTTACCCAGTTGAGTTTTCCTTTTCTTTCTTTTTCACCTGTGATAACGGCCTTGCTCCAGGTAAATTCCAATTGTGTGTCTCGTCGTCCCAAATCGCTTTTGATCGCACACGATCGGCAACGTCAAATGGAATGAAATTCTCGACAATCAGCAATCTAAAAAGAAATTGAAAACATTGAAAACATTTGAAAAGCTTTAAATTCGATTTAGAGATGACTATTTTGGTAATAGTTCAGGGACTAGCTATTCAAGCTAGACCTCTTGAATAGCTAGACTAGACCTAGCTGTTCTAGCTATTCAAGCTAACAAAAAGAAAGTAATAAAGTAAAGATAAGGAAAATAATAAAGTTAAGTTAAAGAAAGTAAGTCAGGACAACTTTTTAGAATTAATTGACATAAGCTTTTAGACCTCTACAGTGCCCGGATAGCTAAATATCTTTCAAGCTGTTTAATAGCTAGTTATTTCAACTGGCTAGTTGAAACAAAGTTATTCAAAGTTATTCAGTCCTAGGCTGAATACTTTAAGCCTACGATAGTCGATAAACTATTGAATTTCACAAAATCTAAAGTTTGATAAACAAATGAAGAAGCTAAACCCGAAGTTGACTAGTAACGGAAGTCTTTAGAGAAAAAGAAAAAGAGGCAGAAAGAGGCAGAAAGATTTCTTCAGAAAAACTTTTCTTCCCGCTTTTTCATCAAATGAGCATTGATTTATGTGGGTCTTCAGTGAGAAAAAAAGCTTTTCTCTAGGTAAATCCTTCAGGGAACTCTTTGTTTTCCTTTACGTAAGAGTATCTTCGTATGGATTTTTAAATAATAAACTAATAAACTAACAAACTAATAAACTAATAAACTAATAAATAATAAACTTTATCAGGGCAAGCAAACAACAAACTTATTGTATACTTTATGGCAAAAACTACCGTAAATACTGTAATATTACCCCACGCCCCCTCGTACAGTCGCGTAGTCGCAAAAGTTTTTAGTATTTCATTTTTTTGCAAAGCACCCGTACTTTCAAAAAATGCGTCTTTGGTATCAAAAAATAGCTGAAATTCAGGGCTATTTTTTGATACCTAAGCGCGCATTATAGCATAAATCAGTGTCGAGAAAAACTCGTTCAAAGCTAGACTACGCAACGCTCCGCACCGTCATTATCGGGGGTGGGGTACTATTAAAGTATTTACGGTAGGTATATCTTTACAAATAGAATTCAGTTATACAAGGAAATCATGAAAATTGATCAGACAATCAGACAAAAACTACAATGCTAATAGAAAATGAAAATTCCTGGATCTTCTCCCGGGAATAAATTATTTAAACTATTAAATTTTTGGATTGATTGGATTGGATCATTAGAGAATGATGTTTTGATATCATTAGAGAACGATGAATGAGAATGATGAATGAGAACGATGAATGAGAATGATGAATGAGAATGATGTGCGAGCAGTTTTTTTTTGGCTCGACAAGTAAAATGAAGCATTTCTTGTACGCCAAAGAACAAGCGAATAAATGTAAATTGATTGGAAAGACATGAGAAAAAAAAGATAAGAGATTCATTCAAAAGCTAAACTCAACGAATTGAAACTTGTCTACCGTTTTCGCTTTAAAGTCCACTTTTTAAAGTTCAACTCATTTTAATTAGTATTTTCTTAAAAACCCCCCTCAAAATGATTGGTCTGAAAAGTCTGAAAAGTTTCAGTCAAATCACTTTTCTCCAATTTAAACAACAAACAACAACATCATCAATCAATAGAACTAGTTTTTTTATGAACATAAGGAAATAAACGAGTGGACACTTGTTGAACTTTTTGAAAGTTGACGGGGAGAAATAAAATAAAGAAAAGAAACAGCTGTCACGGTCATAATTTTCGCAAAAAAAAAAGAAGAAATTGAAAAGAATTTCGAAGTGAAAGTGACTGATTTAGTTTCAGATATCAAATTGAAATTCGCTGTTACCATACAGTAACAGCGTGTTACCATTTCTCTAAAACTGAAGCGTTAAATATTTTCTAACGATAAAAACGATTCAGGGAGAGTATAAAGATCAAATTTTTAGACATTTTTAGATGATTAGACAACAATTAATACGAATAAGAAACGAGAATTATGGAAAAAAAAAATGCCGTATTCTCTCTAATAGTAGTGCACCGTGAGCGTCGCCAAAATTCCTCGAAATCTCGAGAACCACGCTTATCAGAAACTATCGATGTGGGATTGGAAAATGTAGCTCACGATGAGATCTAGTGGGCGGATTAGAGTTTTGAGCTTCTGCAAAAGCTTTGAAACCGTAAAATCGTCACCAACTCGGGCTCGCCGGGGTGCACTACTATTAGAGAAAAAGACGGTAGTCGCAAACTATAAATGCTGGTATGAATGCTATGGTTTAATCCAAAACAAATTGTTCTACTAGCTGATAATTTACCTTAAATTTTTCATCTTAAAATATGCAATTAACAGATTATATCAAAAATGATTTAGGCAATCAATTTCTCATAGCAAATGAGCAACAATGAACAACAAATTAGCCAATCAATCTTTTTAGCCAATCAACTCAGTAGACTGAACTTTGTCTAAACAATTTCCCGTGAATCACAAAGGACACCAAAGGACACTATTTAGCAGATTGATTGAATAAAAATAGATAAGAGTAGGGTAGAAGTAGGCGTTAGAGGAGTTCAGCGCTTTAACTCCTGCAGCTTTAGAATTAGAATATAACAAAAGCTCAACTATCAACAAAGAAATATGTAAATGTGTTCAAAAAGAGAAGGCGACCTTCACTACTCATTTCTTTGTCGTTTCTTTGTCTTTGTCTTTTCTTTAAACACTATACGATTCATTCTCATCACCTATAATTTGATACCAAGTGAAAGAAACGAAAAAGAAAATTTTTCCCATAGAATCCCGAAATTTATTGCGATAAATGAAGAGAAATGAATATTTTGAGCAATTTTGAGAAATCTCTAAATTAATCCACTTGAATATCCCCATTTTTAGGCACAATTTTTCGATGAAAATGAATCAAATGCATATTAACTCTAGTAAGATGCTCGTAAACTCTAGTAATGCATAAAAACTCTAGTAAGATGAGGATTTTTAAAGCGCTTGGTAGACTGAGTTATGAAATCTCTAGATCATGAAAGAACTAGAGAATTTCTACTTAAATTTAGAATTCAATAAGAATTCAATGAAAATTTGAACAAGTAAACACTTAGAAGGATGAAATTGATTGAGAAATTGATTGAGAAATAGAAATACATGTGTGGCACACAACAGAAAAAAAAAACAAGAAAAGAAAAAAGAAAAGAAAACAAGAAAAGAAAACAAGAAAAGAAAACAAGAAAAAAAATAAGGGGAATAAGGGAAAGCTTGAAGTGAAAAGAATCGGAGAAATGGGAAAATGGCAAAGAAAAGAAAAGAAAAGGAAAGAAAAGAAAAGAAATGGAATGGAATGGGTATTGTTCATGGATGAATTGAAGGTTGAAGGGGAATCGGGGGAAGAGAAGAGGTGAAACATTTCCATCCACTTCTTACATCAAGTGTTTTAATGGAATGGAAAAGAATTTCAACAGTGTGCAGAACTTTATAATGATTCTAGTTACATAATAAAGAAATGAAGGAAGAAAAGAATATTTCTGGAAGTGTTCCATTACGATAGGATACGGTAGATAAGATTTCTATAACAAGTATTACGGTGGACATGAATTACGGTAGACTAAAAGTAGATATGAAGGTAGAATATTAGCCAAAAGTTATCATCATCAAAAGCCTTTCATGCTTCAGCGTTGTTTGAGTTCTTGGGGAAAATGGGGAAAATGGATTATTGTCAAGGAAGAGGTGAATTGTTCAGAAAAGTGGTGAACAGACAACGTTTCAAGCTGGTGAGAAGAGATGAATGTGTGAAAAAAAGAGAGAGAGAGAGAGTAAGAATGAGAGGAGATCGATGTATGCACAGCAATGTACCCCTCTTCTCCTCGATTCCCTTTCCACCACTTCTCTTTCAATATAATCATGCTTATTTGTACTGCGCTCACCGCAATATTATTGAATAGAGAAAAACCGGAATCACTTTTAGCGATTTAGGCTTAAATTTTTGCTCAGAAGAGTTTCACACTTAGTCACCCCGTCATTTGATATTTACTCAACAAAAACTTTGACCTAATGAAATGGATAGAAAGAGAAAAGAATTTTAAATTAAGCATTTAAATCAAGCATTTAAATTAAGCATTTCAATTAAGCATTTAAATAATTTTAAACAGCAAGGAAATCTTTCTGAAGACATTTGCTGAAGAGATTGTTAATGATTTTTAAAGAAAATCTTTCTCTTAAACATTTGAGAAAGATTTGAGAATCATGACTAAAAAGATGTTTTCACAAAAATCTCTGAACTAATCGTAATTCATTCACTTACTTGAGTTTTAGCTCCATATTCATTTGTGACACATCTCTTTCCAATTCTCTTCGCTCATCCGAATGTGATAGATGAATGTCTTGAAGTTCTCGACGAGCCTGTAAATCGATTTGTAATTTGAGTTAATTCTCGATTTCTTGTTGTTGATGTTGACGGGCTTTAAAGCAAAGCTATAACAAAACTAAAACTATTAACCCTAATCCTAATCTAACTTTATAACACAATTCACTACTCACTTTTTGCAATTTTATCGATAACTTCTTGAGCTTTCTCGTCTTTGCCTCAACTTCTTGTCGTAGTGAAGTGAAAGTGGTATCTAGCTGAAAATGATTGGGATTACAGGGTGTTCAATATTTATGGGAACTTTCCTTTTTTAGCATTAAACTTATACAAAATGAGCTGTAAACCTAGTAATCTACTGGTCCCTATAAATATTGAACACAGTAGGATTGTTATAAGGCGAGAAATTGTTATCGTCGACTAGACAAAAGCTACGGTAGAATTAATTCTGATATATATGTTGTGTCCGATTTAGATTTCCGTCCGATTTAGATTGAACTTATCGCGGACGTCCGATTTAGATTACAGTCTATATCGGACGTCCGATTTAGACTCAATCTAAATCGGACGTCTTATATAGATTAAACAATAATATAAACATGTTTAATATATGTTCTTAAGCGTTTTCTGTAGTTTTCTGCATTTTTCAAAGGTCTGTTACTGTCTTTTTCTGAAAAGAAAACCCAACTATGAAATAATCAATAAAAGACCTTTGAAAATGCAGAAAACTACAGAAAACGCTTAAGAACATCTACTAAACATGTTTATATTATTGTTCAATCTATATAAGACGTTCGATTTAGATTGAGTCGTCCGATATAGACTGTAATCTAAATCGGACGTCCGCGATAAGTTCAATCTAAATCGGACGGAAATCTAAATCGGACACAACATATATATATATATAAAGGTACCGTCACATTGAATTTTTGACTCCAAAACGCATTTTTTTTTGACAGTTTTTCATCGTTTTTTTTTCCGGGATTTTTAGTGTTTTCAAGGCCTTTATGCAATTCTTGTAGAAGAGATTTAAACGCGTCGATTGGTATACTAGTATATAGTTGATTGGTATATAGTCGTGATTCTAGGAAATCACTTTTGAAACCTCCAATACTCCAATCCTTTAAAGTTGCTAACAAAGTTGTTAACATTGGGTGTATTGATAAGTATGTTTCCTTTTTTTTAGCATTAAACTTATACAAAATGAGCTCTAAACCTAGTAATCCATTGATCCCTATAAATATTGAACACAGTAGGATTGTGTTCTTGAGGAAATTATTTTTTCTAAACAACAATGTCCAACTTTCGAAAATTATCATGAATATCTAATCTAATCTATCTAGTTGTTTTTTATTCTATAATTTTCTCGATAAATTTAATCGCAATCCAAACCTCAGCCACCGATTCCTCTTGTTGTTCCAATTGTTGAAGCATTTCACGTTCTCGTCTCTAAAATATCAAGTTTTATAGATTGCATTTAAATTCAAGATCTTGAATCTTTAAAAAAAAAAACTTAAAATTAAAATAACTCAATGCAAATTTCTCTGTGACTTTTTGTGATTTCTCTTCCAAAAGCCGAACCTTTCTTTCAGCAATCTCCACTCGTTTCGTCTCGAGTTCATCGCGTTGTCGGCGTGTGTGATCGAGAAGATCCATTCCACCTTTAATATTACATATAAATCTCATTTTTATTTCTCATTTCTTATCACTTTAATCCTTTGTTCTTTACCCGATAACAGCTTGCTCTGCATCTGTTCGATCTTGGCCGTCACTTCGGCTTGTCCATTCCTTTCCTCTTCCAGCATCCGCGCTCTTTCCTCGATCTCAGCCAACATTCTTCGTTTCTCCTTTAATATTCCTTTTTTTGTCAATTTTCCCCATTTCCTTACTTCTTTCCTTATCGATCCATCTTCATTTATCGCTTCTCTTTCTCTTTCGATTTTCCTTTCCTCTTCTCCGATTTCCTCTTTCCCCCGCCTTTTCCGAGTGGCCAGCATTGCGCGAAGGCGATCGATCTCTTCCTGAATGCAGATTTGAAAAGATTTTTAAGCCAAAGCTCAATTTTTATCTATCATCGCTCACCTGGAATTCCCGCAAAAGCGCATCTTTCGGATCCTCGTTGATCTTTGGCTTGTTTTTGATGTTTTTCGCTCTAAATCTTGAATAATTTAAAGAAAAAGGATTTTTTTTTACCGATTTGCATATCGAAGAGTACCAAGAGATTCCTCGAAATTGTACGACGCCGGTCCGATACACGCAACCATCACCGTTTTCGAGTTCCCACCAAGGGAATCTAAGAAAATAAATAGATAGTTAGATTTTAGATTTTAGATATTAGATATGAGAGATTAGATATTAGATCTAGATTTAGATTTAGATTTAGAAATATTTCCCTTAAAATTCGCCCACCCTGCAATAATCGCGTCAATTTGCTGTCTCTGTACGGAATATGGGTGCTTCGACCATCAACAAGCGCCGAGATAACATTGCCCAAAGCGGATAGAGATAAATTGATCTTTGTGGCCTCCTAAAAATGAATACGGATTACGGTAGCTTTTCAACGTCTATAAAATCCTATTATCTATCTAAGCTAACCTTGAATCTTTCTCCAGTCGCTCCGGTTTTCGCCTGTCGTTCACTGCCCGCCAAGTCAACGAGATTTAATCGGCCCACTCTGAAATGTGAAATTGGTCATAAATATGAATTGATAACACCTAAAATATCTATTTTTATATCTAAAATATCTTTATTCATATCTAAAATATCTAAAAACATCTAATTTAAACACATTCGCGACAAAGCCATGTTGTCGCCAATGTGTTAAAAAATACTGTAAATCTCATTACAATAAACCGGGAAAAGCTGAATGATTGAATACCCGTAACTTTTAACGAATTTGAAGATAATGTTTCATTTTGTTTGTCATCATTTTGTCATCAAAATACTGTCATTTTTGAGACTTTGCAGTATTCTTAGTTCTTTAGAAAAGATACTTGACGAATTTTGAGCAAAAGTAAAACCAGAATTACCGAATATGATTTTCCCCATCGACTCCGATCTCCGAGCATTCGACGGTTATCATGAAGATGGCGTGTGATCGACTCGAGTGTTCATTCATATCAGTTCTCCTGAATTATCCATCATTCTATGCAATCATTTCCCCTCATTTACTCACCCAACCGATCGATTCGCGTTTCCCACCCGCATCACGTGTTGAATCTCTTCGACACTTTTTGTCACGAATGATGAAAGATCTTTCACATAAACGCCGACATCCGGACGCTCCTGGAAACATTTTTCCTCTTTACTCTATTATCTTTACTGTTAGTTGTTATTAATATTCTATTTTAGGTAAAGTGGCATCCAAATTTCCCTCCACTCTCACTCACCTTCAACTCCAATCTCGTTTTCGAGTCCTTATTGAGAAGATCTCGGATTTCTTCCTAGAATTTTATTTGAATGATTTCTATTCCATTTCTATTCCCTCTCCACTCACCTGATAAATCTCTAAATAGCTTGCGCGAACTAAATATTGTTGATCGTGACTTCTCGCAATGTGATTAAAAATGTGCTCAAAAGAGTTATGAATGACGCCTCGTTCGTCCGCTTTTTCCAAGCCTAAATGGAAACTTTTAAGGCCTTTTAGGCTTTTAATTTAAACCATATTATATACCAATTAAACTCGCGTTTTTTGAAACTTTAGAAAGCGATTGTAAACTTTAGAAAACGATCGTAATCTTGTCTCCACTTTTTCTCAAGTCTTATTGAATTGAAGGCTTTATTATTGAAGAAATTTCACCGATAATCTGGCAATTATATAGATTGGATTAATTTAGGCAAGAGATTACGATAGTTTTCGAAAAAAAATAGGACACATTTTAGACACAAAAACAAAGAGATTTTTAATCCCGCTCACCTTCCATTGTGTACGTTTTCCCGGTGCCCGTTTGGCCATACGCGAAAATCGTCCCATTAAACCCATTCAGCACAGATTCGACCAAATCGCGAAATGTCTCATCATACAATTCCATTTGTTTCGAGCTAAATCCCCAATTTTTCTTTCAAAATTTCTATTCAAATTTTCTCACCTTCCATCATAAATCGCATCGAAAGTGAAATCTTTTGTCGGTTCATTTAATTCTTTCGGATTTTTCAGCTCGATCACTCCTCTTTTTGTGTCCATTGAGATGATACTGGAAATGAAAAAGATCATATTTTTATTATATTATTTTCATTTTCTCACCTTTGATGTCCTTGCGCGACCTCATTGTGGCTCAATGGTCGACATCGGACGACCACCTTCACGCATTCGGTTTTTGATGGATTTGAGGTGGCCGTCATCTAAAATAAAGCATATAAAAATTATAAAAATTATAAAAATTATTTGATCTCTTTTCACTTTTCTACACTATATTTTATCAGAATAGTCAAACAATAATAATTCATTTTTAGAAAGAAATAATTGTGCTTGATTCAAAAACACTCAAAAAGAAGCCAAAAAAGAGTTGTCTGTACATTTTGAAAAATGTTTGAGTTTTTTTAAAATATGTTACCTATATTTCGATGCAAATTTGTCTACAAGTCTACAGTATCCTAAGAGAATGTTGTTTTCTTTTAGTGGCCCAGGAGTTAGATCTACAGTGCCGCAACTGATACTGAATAAAACGTAAACATATGCAAATTTCTTTCAAAATGATCAGTGGCTAAAGTCGAAAACAATAAAAAGTCATTTTGAGAATCTGTTTTCCAATAATTTGAAAGCAAAAAATTGCTTTCAATGCAATTAAAAAAAATGTAAAAAAAAGCAATTAATGCTCTCAGCCTTAACCTCCCCATAAGTCATCTGAAATCGATTGCGCCAAATAAAAAGCCAAAAGAGAAATTTTGAGTATCTTAACGAAATCTCACAAATGAAATATCTTTTAGAGAAAAGGAAATAGCAGTGAGAAATCGGAATCACGAAAAAAAATGGGGGAGGGTTTTGTCGTCATGGAGAGGTGGAAAGGAGAAAAGTAGTGCTGGTTGAGGGGGTTATTCTTTAAGAAAACGAAAACGTTTTCCTCTCTATCTTTGAAAATCTATTCATGGAAGAGTCTACTTTTCTATTAAATCAGCTCACCTTTCAGTTATTGTTTTTATTTAATCGTCAAGTGTCGTTGTCTCGACTTCATTCCCTTGATGAGAAATCTTCCGACCGAGTAACTCTATCGAATATCCGTTGGATGGTTAGAAGAATGTATCTGAAATTGGCTTACAACTAAAAAATGTTCAGAAAATCAGAGAAAAGCAAAGAGTCAATTTCTTTCAAAACAATTTTTTTTAAAAAGTACTATCCGGCAATATCCTTTTACTCTCGAATAGTTGTTTTGCCGCAAGTTCGCTCAAGTTCTATATCCAAGGCTTGAATCCAGTAAAATAGATATACATGACTATACAAGACACCAACGGAGAAAAATAAGGTACTCTTGCATCAGGGGTCTAATTTTACCATTACTATAAGAGAAAATTTGTGTGAGTAGAGAAGTTCAATTTGAGTTCAAGATCTCTTTTTTAAAAATTCCCTCGAAGAGTCCATTCCAAAAATTAGCATAACATTTAGCCACCTAATGGTAAAAGAGTATCGATATGTGAACTACTATTGTTTCTTTATTTTAAGTGCACAATCGAATACCTAGTTGTCCAAAACGGTACCCAAAAAGGTGGTCAAAAACGGTAGCTGGGTGTAGATCCCATTTTTTGGCATAACAACAAATAAACTCCAAAATGGGAAAGAGAGCAAAAAGGGGAAAGTGGCTCCTATCGGGATTTGTGTAAGTGAGTGAGGAGAGGAGGAGAGGGAGAGTGGTCAGAATATATTGTGAAAAAGGGGGGGGGGAGGAGGGGAGCGGAGGAAGGGGTATTCCCCCTTTCATTCCCTTGCCTCTCCTCTAATCACCCAATATTTTCTCTCATCTACACGAAAGGGAGGCAAAAGGAGAGCCTTCATTTGACACAAATGGCCTCTTCTTTTTGAATGAATAGTCAAAGAGGGAAGTGAGCGAGAGAGATGAAAGAGACAAGAAGCCCCCATTTCCCTCTTTTGTGTCCCTTCACCCCCAAATCGATACCCTTTTCGGTGTAAGACAAGGTAGAGAAGCCCTAAACAAAAGCCTGCATACTAGACGTGTAGTAAACAAAACGATTGTAGATTTGTACAAACTTATCAGCCCTTCGCTATTTTAAGCCTTCTCAGTACATTACACAGAATATCTGACCAGTATTGTTCATTGTTCACGAATTTCCACGGCTGTCTTTATGCAACCGAAATAAAAATTTATTCCAACAAAAATGAAGCATTTTTAAAATTGTTCAAAGTTCAAAAAATATACAAAACGAAATAACAAGAATTATTTAAACAGCATTAAAGTCACCGCGCCTGTGACCTCCTCGACCACGACCGCGATTGGCTCCTCCCATTACAACGCGCTTCTTCCATTTTTCGGCTTCCGCCCTCATCCATGTGGGGACCTCCTAAATGTACATATGAATGTGCATTATTAAATGCACCATATCTGATCGCTTTTTTCGAGTATGTCGATCAATTTCGCAAGATGAAATCGACTGCGATAAGTGACAAACGTCAGTGCTTCTCCTTTCTTTCTAAAGGAAGTTTATTTTACTCAAAAGTTAGCCCATGTTTATTTAAAGTTATAGCCGAATAGGAAATAGTAATCCATACCCTGCCCTGCCAGTGCGGCCCACCCTGTGCACATATTCCTCAATCTAAAAGAGAATAGTTGCATACATAGAAAAGTAGCTAATTAACCTCTGATGGGAAATCGTAGTTGATGACGTGTGTGACATCAGGTACGTCTATACCTCGGCTGGCAAGATCCGTCGCAATAAGAACTCTCACTCGTCCGGTTCGAAAATCCTTAAAAAAAGTACAATTAAACAAATACGGTAGGTTTTATAAAAGTTCAGCGTGCTTTCTTGTTCATTTTTGTCTTATAGCTTTTTAAAAAATAAAAACCTTAAGCGTGTTTTCTCTGTCTTGTTGTGACCGTCCGCTGTGGAGAGCTTGAGCATTCACACCTAAAGCTTATCAAATGGACATAGGCAAGCTTCATATCAGATCAGCAATATGTCAGTCACAAACAATAGCACTTGCCAATCATAATTAAATCAGAAGCCACGTGATCCGCACTAAATTTGAATTTGATAGTGAGAATAACAAATTTATAACTTACTAGACTTTTTGAGAGACAAACACTAAAAGCTTCAACTTCTTATCGTGAATTTGTACAAGGGTACTCATCACCTGAATAAAAAAAATTAAACAGCAAGAGCTTCACAAATACCTCTTCCAATCTATTCTTTTTGAAGTCTTCATCTTCAAACCATTCGAAATACTGGCGAACCGACTTACAAGCCTGAAAAACAGCAAAGGATTTATTTGCATATCTTTCTTTACGGTGAGATCAAGAGTTCCGACGTTACAGATCACAGAGTTCTTCAAGTACTTTTCGGAAAGTGTGCTTACAGTCTCTGGCCAAGTAGCGCTGAACATTAAAATTAATACGTAACACAAGTTAGATTACCTAGTCAAGACCGTCACGCGATCAGGGCGAATTTCTAACATGATTCGACGAATATCAGCCTATAAACTTTGATTATATGCGGCAATAATAGCTTTACATCAAATCCCAGATCCAACATGCGATCAGCCTCATCGAGAACGACATATGTGACCGTTTTCAAGCAAACACTTCCCTGGGAAGCCAAATCGGCCAATCGACCAGGTGTTGCAATAGCTGAAGTAGTGCTAGCTCCACATATCATTATTAAAATTACCGGTTCTTTTCCAATATCGGGGGAGCGGAAGGATTATCGGGGGAGCGAAAGAAAAACGGGGAGCAAATTTTGGCAGCGCTACATGTGCCTATTTAAAATTGGACGAACGGGAGCTGCTGTTGCAAAAGTATCGACCGAATTCCTCTTGGGGACCTTTCGCCGTGCGCAAGTGTCACATACCCAGCGAAATAGATCTTTTCCCTTTGAGCGGACTTTCATCGATTCGCCACAGTTGCAAATCCACGACTGGATGACTCCTTTGGTGACGAAATAATCGATTGCCGTCGATTTCTTGACGCACAAATATCGGAGAGCGCATCGTCGTAAAGTTTAAACTGCCGTTATACAGTCCCGGAAATGCATTTTCGAGGGGGCAAAATTTGCTCCCCCGATTTTCCTTTCGCTCCCCCGATAATCGGACCGCTCCCCCGATATTGGAAAAGTACCAAATTACCAATTTCAACTCCGTTAGCGCAAGTTGCAATTTGTTCGCCTCGATAAGCACCCCCGTAAAGACAAACACTTTTGTAGTCGTTGTAGCTGTACTTCTGGACTTCGCTGTGAATTTGAAGAGCCAATTCACGAGTTGGAGTCAGTACCAAAACCGACGGGCATGGACGCTTTTCTCCAGCAGCATAATGTCTAAAAGAGCAATCTTCATCATTTACCTATTTAAGCTATGGCTTTTATAAATAAAAGCTCACTTCAGCTGCGCATCACAGTGCAAAAAGGCTGGTACAAGGAATGCCAAAGTTTTTCCACTTCCCGTTTGCGAAATTCCAACACAATCGATTCCCTGTAGTAAACAATTTATTTCGTTGCTTAAAAACATCAACCTTAAGTAATATTGGCCACATCTGACATTGAACTGGAGACGGTTTTGTAAAGTTGTTCTTTCGAAATTGCTCAAGAAGGTGCACTAAGCACTCCATGAACAGCATTAAAAACAAGACAAACCATTTCCCTCAACTCCTTCCTCGAAAGTTTCCACTGGTGCCGGAATATCGGTATGGTTACTTGAATTGGTCGAGCGCACTTCAAGTCCGAGCTGTCGGCGTAACAATACCGCAGCCTCTGTCGATACTTTACGAGTAGTCGTCCTAACATCTTTGATCACCGGCTTCAAATCTAAAAATTTTAGTAGAATTGCAAAATCAGCGAAACCTCACCCGCGAATTCATCAACCACTGGTTGGTCTCGATTCTGTGCTGCCCATTGTGAAAACATTTTTTTCTGAATAATTTCGAGATGAAAGCATCATCAAGATAAACTTTACAAGACTTTAATCATCTCTTTATCAGTTAGAAATTGAGTTCAAGCTGCATATTACAAAAAAATCAAATTGGTTTGCATAGACAATTTATTTATTGGACTAAAAAGTCTTCAATATAATCGTACAGAAGTTTAAAAATAGAATAGACAAGTTCGAAGGAAATGCAAAAGCTCTCAATGCAATCATAAAGCAGTTTAAATACAGAATAGACAATTAATGGAATGAAAAGTTGGAATCAAGCACATTAAATTTTTGTTTGCTCAAATCACCATAGCCGATTGTCACCTCATCGATCTCCTCGAAAAGTTCTTCCATCATGTGATGTTTGCTTGTGGGGGCGCTGCTTGTGAAAAATGGGGCGTTAATTCGGATTTCCATTAATGCCTAAAAACACTGTAGCTTTTTAAAATAGAGCTAAATATGCACCTTCCCCAGCTGTTGCATTTTCTGGTCGCACTTCGACAAACCGCCTGCTTTATCTTTGCGGACTGTGGCTACTTGTTGAAGTTGAGGCTTGAACTTTTTGACGATCTAAAAAAGCAAAATGTATATTTAGAAAGCAAAATTACCTGGTCCAGTGCCGTGAGTAAAATGGAACGATGAGCCTTTACGGTTGAACCCGAAGTAGCTTTGGGCCAAATCGCTCGAAAGCGTAACAATAGTCTCAGCGCAGATTCGCTGGACCAGCTGCCATCAGTGTTGATTATTTCGACCAAAATGATTAATTCATATCTAAAACAAAAGGTTATACAAGAAAGGAATATATGAATAACCTGCCGACTCGATCAAAAGCTCCATCAATACCGTTGAGCTCGATCACAGAGAGAACAGCTTTGAGGCGTCGTCCTTGTTCTTGCGCGTTGCTTATCACTTCAATCGAGGTTTGGTGAATCCATTGTAGAACTTCTCCACACTAAAGTTGAATGTTTATACATGTATCAGTTTTAACGGTATCTTAAAGCTTTTAGAAATAGCCCATTTACAATCATCAATGTAACTACTGCCAAAATCCTCATTGCCCTTAGATTAAGAAAAAAACCAACCGTCATATTTTCCTCCGTTTTTCCAATGATCGATTCGTTCGATGATGTGGAGAGCTTCGAAGTGCTGCTGATCCGTCGATACATCTGAAAACAAACATAATAACGAAAAGATAAAGAATGTAATGAGTGAGAAAAAGAAATGATATTATTACGGTGAATACCTAGGTTTATAAAACTGTATTCTATAAAGTCATTATGATATTCATCGTCAGCAAAAGCGGCTACGTTCGATGAGAGCGTACCAAAAACTTTTCTATTGAAGCTAGCAGAAAAAAATCTAGCAAATGTCTCACATATTTTCGTGCTTTCCGTTATTGCTTGAATATCCTTTAAAGTCTAAGTAACTACCTTTTTATTTGCGTTTCGTATCTTCGTTTGGTATTTTGGTACATTGTTCGGGGTGGCTACTTTGCGCCAAATTTTTTTTGCGCAACTGGGTCTTTTGCAAAACTCGCCATAACTTTATTCTAAGTGGACCAATCTTTATGATTTTTGGTTTCATTTTGTAGATCTCAATAAGTGCAACAAAATGACACAAAAATCATAAAGATTAGTCCACTTAGAATAAAGTTATGGCGAGCTTTGCAAAAGACCCAGTTGCGCAAAGTAGCCACCCCCACATTGTTGTAATCACTACTCGAAGTTTTTTAAACGACAAAAAACTCTGGCCCATTTCTAAAATTGTGTCCGAATTGTTTTCATTCTTCTTTTATCTGCAACGATCAACACAAACATAGTTCCTCTTTTCTGAACAGCCGGAATTAGTTTTCTCCATTTATTTCTCCCGGAATCTTCTTCCCAAATGTTATGTTTCGCAATAAGTTTTTCCGAAGAAAGACTTCTCTTTCGCAGAAAAAAGGCGAGCTTTCTAGTTTTGTGTTTGTACGATTACACTTTTTTTGATATGTAGTAAATGTTTTAATTTTCAGATATGGATATTCGGTTTGATCCTCATACTCCACCGTTCGAACCAAGGCCGAAGCTGAAACTGGGCGAATTCGAGCTAACCGAAACTTTGGGATCAGGGACTTTTGGAAAAGTAAAAGGTTTTTGTTAATACCTTGACGCTATGATTTTTTTATTTAGTTGGTGTTCATGAGGTGACTGGTTATAAAGTTGCAATCAAAATGATGTCACGCGCAGTTATAAAGTAAGATTTTTCAGTTTGCGCTAATAAATTCAATTTAGGCATTTGGATGTCGCCAATAAAATTCGTCGCGAGATCCAGAATTTATCCCAATTTTCTCATCCACACATAATTCAGCTGTAAGTTTTATTCCCTAACGAATTGTTTATAATGAAAATTTTTAGTTATGCCGTAGTTTCAACTCCTACGCACATATTCATGGTGATGGAATACGTATCCGGTGGCGAATTGTTTGAATATATCGTGAAGAAAGGAAGTGTAAGTGAATAGGTGCAAAGTATGCAAATTTTGCGCTGTTAGCTCAACACCAACGACGCTCGGCGTTTCTTTCAACAAATTATTTCCGGCGTCAGCTACTGCCACAATCATTTTGTTGTTCATCGAGATCTTAAACCCGAAAATCTCTTGCTCGACAAAGATCTCAATGTGAAAATTGCTGATTTTGGTGAGATTTATTTCATGTTAAAAAGCTTCTGATTTCTAGGGCTATCGAACATGATGCGTGACGGGGATTTTCTGAGGACCAGTTGTGGATCTCCAAATTATGCCGCACCGGAAGTTATTAGTGGCATGTATGTTTTACGGTGTTTGAAGCTCTCTTTATTATGTAAACTTTTAGGCTTTACTGTGGGCCCGAAGTGGACATATGGTCGTGTGGAGTCATTCTTTTTGCTCTTCTTTCGGGAAGACTTCCTTTTGACGACGATCATATTCCAGCTCTTTTTCGTAAGATTAAGGGTGAGCTTTGTTGGGTAAAGGTAGTTATAATTTTTCCCTTTTCAGCCGGTGTTTTCACTATTCCTCAGCACTTTGATCAACTTGTAACCGATTTATTGAAGCGAATGTTGGAAGTGGATGCAACGAAACGTGCAAAAATTCACGAAATAATGTGAGTTTTGTGCATGGTTTGAGAATTGTCTCGATTCCAGCGTTCATCCATGGTTCAATGTTGATTTGCCGGGTCATCTTTTTCCAAGCAATAATGAGACTTCAAATATTATCGATATCCATGTCGTTCGAGATTTAGCCAAAGTTTTCTCTTTTTTTTTCTAAAGTTTATTAGCATTTTAGCAATGTTCGGTCAGCGAGGAGGAACTCACAACCGTGTTGCTTTCTGACAAACCATTTCATCACTTCACCATTGCTTACAATGAGATGGTCAAAAATAAACGTCCATCGACAGTTGGTTTGTTTTAGTTTTTGTGTGTTTTTATAGTCAAATTCAGGACCTTTCGCTGATGAACACTCGATAAACTTCAGAAGCGAGTCATTTATGGATTTTCAAGGTTGCTTTTTAGCCTGAATCTATTTAGTTATTGCTTTAAATTTAGACATCCCCTTATTTGGGGTCGGCTCTCCTCCATCGCAGTCATTCCTCAATGCGTCTCCATTGTCAACGAGCAGGATGAGTTCACCCCTGCCACAGCGTGATTTCTCGCCTATGCTAATTCGTGGACAATGCAACAATAATCATGCCGCATCTCCTAATGGAAACAACGAGAAGAGCGATAAATGGTACTTGGGTATTCGAAGCTCAGCAAATCCAGGTTAGTATTATTGCCTAAAACCTCGTCAATTCAAAAGTTTAGCCGACATAATGCTGCAAATATTCAACACCTTATCAAGACTCAATTTTGAATGGATTACTGTTGACGTGTATCATCTTATTGTCCGAAAGAAAGTTGATGTTGAAAAGGTAATGAATGGACTTGAAAGAGAAACGTTATTTTTTATCTAGAATGGAGTCGCTTATGATTCGCCGTCGATCGCCTTACAATTATTTAAGGTCCGTTTTCATAAATGAACCAGCTGCCCAGGGCATACACTACGCGGCTGCTTTGCTAAAATTTGCATACTAAAATTATCCTTTCTTTCATTCTTGCCAAAACTTCGACTGGTTCATTTATTTTCAGAAATTTGCATATTTGATATCAAAAACGCAAGAATTTTTAAAAATCTGAGCACGGCTGTTTTCCCATCCCCGTTTACCCCTAGTTAAACGCTTTACTCTGCAAAACGCAACTGGTGAAGCGAGATCGTGGTAACAGACACACAAATCGACAGACAAAATTTCAAAATATGGTAGAAGTAGATAATTAGTTTTATCTTGCGTGGATTTAAAAAGATTGAATTCAGGTTCGCAGCGACTATTACATTCTCGATTTCAAAAATGTTGTTGATGATCAAGCTGGTACGTATTTGCTTCATAGAAAGCCTACTGACTATTATTTAGCTACGTCAACGGCACCAACACCAAGTGATTCGTATGCCGAACTCGAGAATTTGACAATTGAGCAATTACAAGTACAACTTTATTTGATTTCAATTAATGAAATGCCTTTAGAATGAAGTATCTGCGTATGTGACCCCGCGTGGTAGAACGATGCCTTTCTTTGAAGCTTGCTCGGAACTTTTGCTCAGCTTGGCTTGTAAATAATTTTTTTGATATTTATCCCAAATTCGTACTTGAACATGTGATACTGTTGACAATAAACTTTTCAACCATTTATTCAGGACCAAAAAATCACCAAAAGAAACGCATATTTAGTCGGGAAAATTTCAACTACTATAAACAAAGTAAGTTGTTATTGGCGTTTTGCTTTTTTCAGCGAAGAGATGTAAGAAGTATAGAAAAAGCGGGAAAACAATCCAACGTAGCTTAGTTCCATAAGGAGGCAGATGTAGAAGGAAGGAAAATGGATGGCTCGCTCACAGCCTAAATGTTTGAGATAAACGAATATCGCCTGAAATTGACTAACCCCAATTGATGTAAAGGTGGTAGGCGTAAAACTGTACAGCGATCGAAAGGAAGAATTGCATAATCTGCGCCATCGTCAAGCACTGAGCGAACCAACCCGGAATACGTATTTGCGTTGCTCGACAGAAAAAGTAACTAAACGGATACATACAGGTTTTTTTTCCAAATTAAAGGCCTTACCTGTACATGAAAGTGTGAATGGCAAAATTGATGAGTCCGATGTATAAATGCACACCCTTCATGACTTCAAAAGTCCAGATGCTAAGATTTTTTTTTAAGAACAGCAACATATTATATAACCTACCAATAATTAAGAGTGAATACATGGTGGTACCAATGCAAGAAGATCAATGGTCGCTTCCTCAGCACGATAAATACCGTATCTCCAAGTTCAATCACTTTGCTCAGCACAAAGAGAACCTAAAAATCACATTGTGCGAATCAACCTTTATGTAACAACCTGATACCAACCGGACCAACCATTCAAAATTTCTGTCTCCAACGGGTTACAGAAAGCCGCTAAAATCAAATAAAAAAAAGTTTTCATTCATTCTGACAAAAAAACCTACAAGAAAAGCCATTGACTTTAATGTCCATCCATGTTTTTCGTGCAACAACAGAGAAACCGATGCCGCTGAAGGTTGCCAAACAAAGATTCCATAAAGCCAATGGAGTTGTTAACTAAAATTTATTACATACACTCCAGAAACACACACCTGAAACGGCTTTCGATCGCGAAGAAAGCGTTTACTGGAGAAAATTGCAATGATGTAGAGAGTGGTGGAGATGATGCCGAAGATTCGAGCATCTTTCATGAACTCTATTGACTCAACGAAGCGAAACGATGATGGACGTGAAAGCTAAAAATGAAAAAGTTTATCGAATTGAACGCTCCAGTCTTGTAGACTTGAGTCACTAAAACTATATCAAAGACTCAGAAAAGGTAAACTCTTTTATAAAGAAAAAAAAACTCACAATAGTAAGCATGTCCGACATCGTTTGAAAAATGACATTTTTCTTTTGAGCAATTCGAAAGCCGTTGCTATATGCAAATCATTTCTGAAATTAAACTTGAAGATTTGTCTGAAGAGTCCCAAATTACCATTTATCGGTTCAATAAAAAAAACGCTTGCCAGGTCTCTTTATTTTTTTTTCTTGATCGCATCTCATTCTTTCATTCGTCACCTATCGTCTATCGTCTATTCGTCTATCCTCTATTCGTCTATCCTCTATTCGTCTATCGTCTATTCGTCTATCGTCTATTCGTCTATCGTCTATTCGTCTATCGTCTATTCGTCTATCGTCTATTCGTCTATCCTCTATTCGTCTATCCACTATTCGTCTATCGTCTATTCGTCTATCGTCTATCGTCTATCGTCTCTTCCTGCTCGTCCACTCAAATATTAAGGTCTGTTTTAGAGTTTTTTGTTCTAATCTGTTATTTTGTTGATTACCTTAACTTACGTTTTGTTAGTTCGGTGGATTTAGTAACCGTCTTGTATTTGGTTGTTTGTTGCTAGAATAGTTACCAGTTTGAACACTCTGGTTTTTGTAGCTTTACTTGCCTAAGTACGTGCTTAAATTTGTTCTTTGTAGGAAAAGATCGGAATCCTCGTGCAAACCACCAACGCCCCAATGTTCGTCCCACGTGCAGTTTGAGAACGTGAGACAAAGAATGCCGCCTCGGTTTCTTTTACATATATTTGAATATTTTTAGAAGCTAGTCTCAAAGACGCTTGACACCCTGATGATTAATACCGAAGCAATCAAGGAAATCATCAGTCAGACTGGAAATGGTCGCAGGATGGTCGACATGGCTGATCAAATCTACCGTGCTAAGCTCGATGGGAAAAGTTTCGATGAGATCCGGAAGCTCGACGATGAGGAAAGGGCCATGCATGAGGAGGAAACGGCCGATGAACGCACCCGTCTTCTTCCCGAACACCAGGTTTTATTTTATCGATTACTTGTTATTTTTTCTCGATTCAGAAACTATTCGAAGGCTGCTCGAGCTTCTACAATTTTACTACAACTTCTACAGCTTCTACAATGAGGCTGGTCGCATTTACGATACCACCAAGTGAATCTCTCATAACTTTTAATGACCTACCGACTTTCTCGAAAATTATGTTTGCTAAAGAAATGAACACTGAATGGTCAATTTAACCATTCAGTTGGTTGAAATTGAAGTTGAATTTGTTTCATAAATAGAGAAAATTTTGTTTGATTACTACAGTTTTTACTTACTTAAAGAACTAAGACTAATTTTATAGCCTTGTCCTAATTTTGCAGGATTGATGTTTCGGAGGTTCACGAGTGAAAAAACTTCGATTTTCGAGATGACCTTGACAGAAAAAAAAAGAGCGACCTAAAGTGGAGAGTGATCATTCGATTCGAGAGATTTTTAGATCGACTCGTTGAGGGGAAAAGAGAAAGAAGAGAAATTTCACGACAAACACGCGCCGAAACTCTCGCTCCTCATGTGTTGCATTCATGAATATGGAGAAGTAAACACAAAAAGTAGGTTCTTGTTTTTGATAGAAACACTTGTATTCGAATGGGAAATTGATTGTTGATATAGGTTTGGAATTCTGCTTTGTTTGATTAAAATTTGGTTAAATTTTAATCTAAACAATTTTATGAAGAGCTTTTTGAATTAATTTTTTTGATTTTTAAGCCTTTTTTGATTCTCTAAAAGTCGAGTTCTTTGAAAAAGCACTTGTCTGTTCATTTTTTTTCCCGTCTAAACTTTGCCGGTTGCAAAATGATTTTAATCGAGAACTCCTTTCATTTTCCCCTTTTCCCCTCATTTCTTTTTTTTTCTTTTCAATAGGTAAACAGGCACTCGATGATTTCTCTGGTTGACCCATTGGTTGATCTCAGAATCCGACAAACAGACAGCGAGTCCCCCTCCCCTCTCCTTTCATCCATTCCAACAAATGACACAATTCTCTCAGCAATCCATCGATGGTTTACGGGTTCATCCCCTCAAATGGATCACACAACCCATATTGCTTTTTCTCATTATTTTTCTTTCTTTTGTCTTCAATCAGAGATAATCTCGTTTTCATCACACCAATCACTCTTTTTTTTGATCTCTTTTTTGATCGCAACGTGTTATCATTTTTGTTTTTCAAAACTTTCATTATTTTCTTTATTTTTAGGCAAAGAAATTTAATTTTTATTGATTTTTATCCCTCTTTTGAACCAAATTGTTTAGTGAAACGATAAACGAGATCATTTCTTTAAAATATAATGCGAACTCGATCCTCGAGCGATGATCCCGAAATGTTCGATTCGTCGGATTTAAGGTGAATCTAAGGCGTGCTTCTAATTGAATATGAGTCTTATTGTAATTCGATTGATAAGATTGATTCGTAAACTTTGACAAAAGTTCAACAACTTTGTTCAAAAGTGAATTCAGAGCTCTCCGTCATCGAATCGACACCACTTACGATGATATGAGGCGACTGATCTTGCTGGCTGCTATTTTCTTCCTCGTCGGCATTCTAGTGATCATGGCGAGGTTGCAGGTGAGAGAAAAGAATTATCTTCATTACTCAATTCGTTTTTATGAGAAAAAATACTTGCAAAAGTGTCTCGTCTCGCATAAAATTAAGACCCACGAGTTGAGAATCGGGAAAAAGAAAAGAGAACTAGGGATGATTGGAGTGAAAAGAAAAGCACATCCAACGGATATCCACGTTCTTTTTTTGCTTTTTATCCTCTTTTCCCGCATTTTTGCCTTAAGTCACAGAATCACTTGGGTTCAGTAGCAAAAATTTTCATTTTAGTTTAATTTTAAAGAAATTTGAGCTTTAATGAGCTTTAAGAATGCCTCCATGTTCTGCATATTTCTTTGTAAATTGGATTATTTTTTTTTAAATTTCTAATTAACGATTAAAACTTGGCTTACTTCAAGATCAATCTCATACTAGTGGGTTAAATTTCAGAAATCTCTTTCAGGAATCTCTTTCAGGAGTCTCTAGAATTTAGGGGTTTAGGGAAATGAATTTGAATTGAATCGCAATGTTCAGTAATACAAAAGTAAAATCAAATCCAGATCAAATCCGATTTGAGAATTTTACAGAAAATCCTTTAATCGAAGCCAAGTTAGGTCAAGTTATCAGCTCAAATTTGGCTTTCTGGCTTTCTGGCTTGCTTGATTTGAGTTAACCTAGAAAATTGAGTCTAGCAATGCCCCGGGATACTGGTGCTAAAGTTAAGTACTAGATAATTGTTATCCGAAAGGATCTCCTCACATTTTGCTCTATTTTTTTCACATCAATATGTTCCCAACTTGTTGAATCTTTTTTTTTGTTTTTCTTTTAAGGAAAAGCTCTTGTTTTCTCTTTTCTCCCCTTACCAATGAAAGTTTTTGATTGATATCTCTGCGGTCGGACTGGGCCCATTCCTTTGAACTCAAAGAATAAATAAAAAGTAGTCAATGCTCAGATATTCTACATTCGGTTTTTAAAAGTTAATCGTTTATCGAGGGTTTAACTTCTCCAAAACTTTTTTTACGTTTAAAAAACGATTTGCTTGAAGTTTTTTTGCTACTTTTAGAATATTCTAGATTTACCTGAGTCTTTAGAGTTTAATTTAAAAATCTTCTCCCTACAATCTCTACTAATTCCTTTTACTTTTGTTTCTAGGTGGCAACAGAGGACATCTTCCGGTGGGCGCCCGTCATTTGGCTGCTGGGTGTCGTTGTTGCTGGTGAGAATAATGATCACTTTCTAGACATGTCGATAACGATAACAATTGAAAACTGGTTGCTTGTGGTTCACTCAACAAACTCAACTGGTTCACTCAACAAATCCCGTATTAAACTTCAGGAACTTTCATGAACCTTTTCCTCCAATGCGCCCGTTTCTTCTCAAAACGTCGAAAGAGGAGAACGCGCCGTGCATCGGTTTGAAAAGACAATTTTTTATTTTTGTGCTCATTCTTTTCTCAGATTTCATCCTCACACCTTTCGTCGCTTTTCGGGAATTTCCCGAATTCTTTCCCTTGTTTAGCTCCATCACCACATGTTGGATGTTGCAGGTGAGAAAAGAGGAATCAATCGGTTTAGACTTTGATAAAGAATACTTTGATAAAGATCTAGCCTGGCATCTATAACAATCTAGCCTAAATTACATGACCTTCAACTAGTCTGACAGTACTTTTTTTCTGACTAGTCTACTAACAGACTAATAGTCTGACTATTGTAATTTTTTTTCAGAGATCCAGCCCGTCGCATTGCGAGAGATCTCTCGGAAAGCAAAGAGAGTCTTCCAGCATATGAAGATATTGTACAGGTTATTTGACTTCGACGATAAGTACAATAAATAGAAATACCGGATATTGAACAGAGTTTTGATTTGGGACAGATCCCAAGGCTTTGTCTCGGATCTGTCCCAAATCAAAACTGCGAACCTCTTTTCCAGTCGCCCTCAACCGAGAGTCCTCCTCCCGCTTACGAGGAGGCAATGTTGAGTCGTTTATCGATATTCTCTTCACCTTTCAAAAGAACTCAACCACTCTATTGCCCAGTGCACGGAAAAATTGTAAGTGATAGAAGAATTGGTTTGATGATTGTAAGCTCAAAGTTCACGTGCTCGATTGAAACCAGTTAATCTAACAGATTTCAGTCTCGAAGTACGACATTGGTACAAATGGATTCACCCGCAAATCCACTTTCCACAATTGTCGATGAGGTAAACTTGTATAAAATATTGGATCGAGTCAGGCAAATGATTGAAGCTATTCATTTTATTAACTCTACCATTCTCTCGGATTTAATTGTTCTAAACTTTTAGATAAATTAGCCTATCTTAAAGATTTATAACTTTCAAGCTATAAACTTTAAGTTCTATCTTTAACAATAAGCTTAAAACGATATTTCAGACTTCTCAATGCACCTTTTCCAATCAATCCAATCAATCACCGGCTTCATAACTTCAAAAATTCTTTATCTAAAAAAAAATAACAAAGAAGGCGATACATGCACATAACGATTGAATGAGTGAATTGAAACGGGTAAAACTATTGTAAATTCGAATAAAAATAAATCGTTTTGATACCCTAACAAAAAAAAAACCGATATTCCACATTTAATCCCTCTTTTTCGTTTTCTCTCCGTCTTTCTTCGTGGTCGGTTTCTTGAGAATATATCGCTTGACAAAGAAATTGATGAACAAAGCGAGATAGGTGACATCCATGAAAGTTGCCAAATAGAAAACACGAGGATCGAAATCGACTTGTCTCTGGAATTGGAGGGTATTGTAGTTTGTTCATAGTTTGGAGAATTTAAAATGACTACACTGAACGTTTTCGAAAATCACCGTATCAAGCAGTTAATTAGCTCAATTTTGGTGGTGATTGTGCCTGTGATTCCTTAACGAATGATACAAAACTGCCGCTTTGATTACGGTAGATGAAATAGATGCTTTTTAGGAAACGCAAGACACTAAGAGATTTGAGGTGAGAGCTTTTAAATGACAGCAATACTTTGCAACAGCTATAAACTCTCCAAGATACTGTACTCATTTATAAATTTGGTGTAGAGAAATCTCTTAAGCTAGCTTTATAAGAAGTTCTATTGTAAACCGTAATTTGCAAACTCACGTCTGTAAAGTAGACAAGATATCCGTTATGTAAAAGAGCGCCAACGGAGATGATGAATTGCCAGATTTGAATCGAGGTGATGAATTTGGCGACTGGTGAGGGAAGGCGGATGTTCAGAGCGGCAATGAAGTAGTATCTATTAAGTAGCTTTATTCATTTGAGTAATACTAATTTGGTATCAGCTAATCAGCTTACAGATTGGCATATTGTATCTATTGCTTAAGTAAGGCATAAGGCTCTACTCTGGCGGCAATGGGATACGTGTCGGTGTAGCTCACTAGTAGTGGTAGCGTTCACCGGGTAAGCGAGAGCTCGCGGGTTCGAACCCCGGCGCCAACCATGTTTTGTATTCCCAGTTCCAACTCGTAAAAGGACTGGCATTTTCAACTCTTCGACTTAATGAAAAGAAAACTTACGAGTACATGAAGCTGTGAACGAGGAAATTCAAGTAGATACCGTAACGATTGAAACCGGGAGAGATTGGATAGGAGTAGAAAGCGTAAATCAACTGAAAATTGAGGTTTTTGTAGATGATTCACTTTTTGTGATGAACTTTGTGCTCAACTGTGTGTAAACACACGATTTCTAGGGCACTGGACTCTTTTTTCTAGTAAACACAAGAAAATTACTTGAGTGCGCTAGAAAGTGCGCGTGTTTAGACTTTCTGGGCACAAAGTACAAAAAAAAATCACGTTGTGATCTTTGTTCAAAGATCAATGTTTTCTTTAAAATAACTTACAGTGAGAATGTGATGATACCAATGCAAGAACATCAATGGTTTCTTTCTCAACACGATGAACACTGTATCGACAAGTTCGATGAGTTTCGAGCAAATGAAAAGGAAAACCCAATAGCCATTGTTTCCCTCGGTGAAATTGTAGATTCGAGTGTACGCATCTGAGAATTTTTTAGATCAATTAATTCATTTTAAACAAACTACCGTAATCAAACCGCTAATTTTTATTCAATCAGCTTAATTTTTGTATCATTGCTTATGATTCCTCATCGAATAAGACCAAAATTGGCTGATCGAGTGAAAACTGGTGGTTTGATTACGGTAGTTTTTGGAAATAGGTGACCTTTAGATTCATTTACTTTGGTAAAACACCCACTAACTAATCCCTTTTCCTTGTGTGTGTTGATGAACTCCGGTGTCAATTGGATTGTTCCGTAAATCGAGAAAACGGCCAAGAAGAGATTCCAAATGGCTAACGGGTTCTGCAATTGGAAACAATTAGTTTAGTTTAGCCTTAGCTTTTGCTTAGATTTAAGTTTTTGTTGTCAATTTACCTGCAAGCCGAATGGTTGTCGATTTTTCATGAAAAACTTGATCCCAAAGATGGTCAAACAGTAGAGAATCGATGCCTGGAAATGATTTCATATTAGTGAATTCATCAAAGAGAACTGTCGCTATCTTGCGCCCTTTGATCACATATTTGCAAACGCTAGAAAATGAATTTAGTGCACTAGATAGCGAAAGCTTGAGAATTAACATGATAACTTTAAGAGCAAAACTCAAACACATTGTCCTAAGTTCAATTTCAGAAAAACCTGCCAAGAAAACGAAAAGGTAAAATTAAATTTTTTCATGTCTGCAGCACACTATTAAACTCATTATAAGTTTTATATTATCCATGTACTATATTAATCTTGATCTTGATACTAATGAATGCTATTTGAATAATTTTCCCCCATTTCTCACCTGTATCGTGATATCGAAGTGATCGCCGATCCAACTCTTCGCTTGTTTGTCATCGAAATTCTTCGCAGTCACGATCGAGAACCATCTCTACAAAAACAAATGTCTTCGTCTTTAGACCGAAAAAAAAATCGATTAAAAATCTAAGTAACATACAATTTTGAGCTTAAATTTTCCCAATCCAAAACCCAACTCACCGAAAAATCGAAGCGAAACTCGAGCAATCGTTGCACAAGCGGGTGATCCATTTTTGAGGCTGAAAAAAGGTAAAAATAAAAATGAAATGGAAAGTATTGAAATTATAAAAGTAATAAAAAAATATAAAACTGAAGAAAAGTGAGTGAAATGTGAAATTCGAGTGAAACTAGAATTGACCAGGGATCAGGCCATCGGGTGCAAAAGACAGTCCACCCTGTTTTTTTTCCTTTCTCAAATTTCTCTCCTTATTACCTTATCTTTTTTGCAATCTTTTCTTTCTTTACTTGAAATGAAAAGAGCAAAAGAAAAAGAGAGAGAAGTGATACATTCACCTTTGAGAGGACGCCCAATGGCAGACTTTCGTGGGTTTTGTGTGCCTTTTTGAGAGATAGACTACAAATTTGACCAGATAGAATGTATAGAAAGCATTGAAACTGATAAAGCAAGCGTTCTAGATGTCTTTTTTTACACGAAACTTTGAATCTTTGCTTAGCCCTGACTGGGTTTTTCCCCCAGGCTAAGCCAGAGTTAGCAACGATTTAACCTTACCCAATACCTTTTTCTAAAATAATTAGACACAGAAAAGAAGAAGAAAAACCCCCAAGAAGATCACGCCGATTTGATTTGGTAGATTTCGTGCGTTTTAGTTGAAAGAGAATTGGTTAAGCTCAGTTGATACAGCACGTACAAAAAGATTCGAAGATAATGGAGTAGAAGGGAGCCGAGAGAAACGAAACAAAACCATTTTAGAAATTCAAGCAGGAAACACGGGCGGAACAATATAAAAAGAACGAACGAGGGGAGAGGGGGCACTTTAAAAACGCGCTACAAGAACATAATAGATTTTACGAAGAGGGAGAAAACTTGGCGGGACTCGGCTTAAAAGCCGGACAACATTCATGACCCCATCACGGAATGCCGAAAAATGAAAAGAATGGCACAAGTGAAATTTTGTGCGGGGTACGGTAGCGTGTCCACACTTTAGAAAGCGTGCCTGCGCCGCTTTCGCACCAGTCCCTTTAAACCGCACGTGAATAGGATTCTAACTGCAGTCTTGGTTTGACTACTGGATAGTTTACCCAGGTATTATAGTTTTCTTTTGTGCCAAGTCCTGTATTTAGACAATAGACCGGGATTTTTGAAAGCGCTAACCTTATCTGACTATTGCTAAAAGGTATTTTTGAGGATAACGATGCGGTTAGTTTATGGATTGATGGGGTACGCAAAAGGTCATATCAGGGTACGGCCAAGACACGGTAAATATTTGACAGTATTGCCACGTACTGGTAGTCCTTAAACACTGAAGTACTGTCAATCAAGTCTAGACCTCACACATCAAAGCAAAATTGCAATAGAAGATCCACTTTGACTTCTTTCAAAAAAATCTTTCACAGCGACAATCATTCAACTGTTCTCAAAATACAATCCTCCAATCATTCAATTCTTTATTCCATATTTATTCACAACGATCAACCCTAAAAAAAAATAATTTATTATTACTATGACTAGGGGAAAATAAGTGAAATTTTTCACAAAAAGCTAACATTTTGGCAAGAGGATAAATATTAGATAAAAAGTTTTAACTATAAGGGGAGTGGGACAAATGCTACCTTTTTTTTGCGCACCCGGACATTTGCGCACCTTGCCCATTAGCGCACCTTTTTTCGCGTTTTTTTTTCAAAAAGGCTCTAAAAGCTAATATTAACCAATTTCTATTCCAAAAGTTGTTTTCCTAGGTAATTTTAGGGCGTAGAATCGAAATTTTGGCATATCAGAGCTTGTGGAAGCGAACGGACGGAGTTATACAAAGAGAAAAATCGACAATTTTTTGTAATTTGATCTAGCCGTTTTGTCATTCAAATTGGTTCCACAAGCTCTGATATGTCAAAATTTGAATTCGACACTCTCAAATTACCTAGAAAAACAACATTTGGAATAGAAATTGGTTAATATTAGCTTTTTAGAGCTTTTTAAAACGTGAAAAAAGGTGCGCTAATGGGTAAGGTGCGGAAAAAAAGGTGCGCAAATGTCCGGGTGCGCAAAAAAAAGGTCGCATTTGTCCCACTCCCACTATAAGTACTAGAAAAATGATGGCAACAAAGCTTTGTGAGATCATTTTGATAAAAAGCCCTTTCGATAACCTAACAACTTAGAATCACAAATAAATGAGTGAGACTAGAAAGAATAAAATGATGACAGAAAAAAAAAAGACAGACAAAAAGACAGACATTGAATGACTACGGTAGAAAAGGAAATGCATTCATTTCTTTCCGCACTAGATTTACCGATCAGCTATTTTCAGGGATTTTCCAGATCAGCACTAGGCCCAGGTCTTTTTGCGGGTTATCGGACACGCCCCGCCCCTTTTACCATTGGCAATCTAACTTTAGGCTCAAATATCTTGGTGTTGGGCTGTCCAATTTAAAAATTCTTTATATCATTGAATGTGCCAAGTCTTTCTCTGTCGATTTATAGAAAAAAACTATTTAAATGAAAAATCCCAACACCAAGATATTTGAGCTCAAAGTTGAATTGCCAATGGTAAAGCGGGCGGGCCGCGTATCAGATGTCCCACAATCCTTTTTGTGGGCCAGGATTAGGTCCTAGCCTGAGTTCAGGGTATTTTTGTGGATCTAGCTTGGTCTTCCTAAAAGGGTTGCCTAAAAAATAGCTTTTGAACCATCCTGTGTGTTCCTCACGAGCATTGCGTTTTCTAAAAGATGGGTAACTTTGAGAAAAATTACCTTGTGGTCAAATTTTACTTTTTTACTCACAAGGAACACACTCTACCGTTTAATTGCTTACAAATTGACATATTTAGGGCGTGGCGGGATTTTGGGTACATTATTGGAAGAGGTTGATGAGTCGATTGATGGAGCTGAAGAGACTGGGGGTAAACGGGGAGGGATTGATGGAGACATTGAATGAAATCTTTGTGGAATTGGGGGTGATGGAGAGGGATCATTCCAGACAGAAGAATAGGGATCATTGGGTTGCGGAAGGGGAGCTTTGAAATCCGATGTGGAATGATTGGCGGAAGAGGAGGGGACACCGGAGAATGACTGCGAGAAACCGTCCCTGAAAATTGTTGTTGTTTCCTCTGTTGATTCAGAGAATGCTAATTTCTATTTGTCAACAAAAAGAGAAGGCTGAGAAATCTACTAGCTAAACCCTTCAATCTACTATCTAAACACAATAATATTCTTTTACCAATTGGGCGAATTTCTTGATGTATTCAACGAGGAGATTGAAGAATGAAGAGAAAATGATGGAGGAGGAGTGGGAGCGGGATGAGTGGGAGTGAGGTGATGATGGAGAAGACCTTTTCGTTGAGGACAAGAGCTGGAGAGAGCTGCTGCAAGTGGGTTTAGTGCTTATAAATCTTTAAATCTATCAACCCAGTTTTCAGTAAACTTACAGTAAGACGAGGCGGACTCATTGTCGGGCCAATCGAGGGCGACGAGTTGAATTGCTGAGCTACTTGTTGGGATATGCTAAAAGGAATATTCTGATTGAACAAGGATGAAAGAAAGCCACAACAACACTTTCACAAAACGACTATTTCCATACCTTTCACTATTGAAAAGAGCCCTTAAAACTTAAAATAGAAAAAGAAGAAATGGAAAAAAAAGAGATAATCACCAGATTGACGGAAGCTGGTCGTTGTGGTCGTTCGGGTGGGCCACGACTTGGTGGACGGGGACGTTCAGGAGGAGCTGTGGAAAGTAAAGAGAGACGCGAAATGGAGGCTGTTTCTGAGAGATCATCGTCTTCTGAAATGGGTTGATTTTGATTGTGAATTGCTCATGCTAGAATGCTTAAAGGATTACGATCGTTTCCGAAAGTTTACACGTTTTAGAAAACACGAGACAGACATTAAGCTTGCAATTCGTTACCGTCATCCCTATAAACCAACCATCAAACAGGAATTCATTCGTTTCCCCATACTCGACTCCAGGCACATCCATCTGCTCAACAGTGACATCGAATTTGGCGAGTCGAGGTTTCACGTGATCTGTCCATTCGGGAGTTCTGTAAAATTCTCTCGAAAAAGCTCGAAAAAAATAATGACAAGAAAACCTTAATTGAACATTTAATTGATGTCGATTGATGATCAATCCGTCCATCGAAAGTGCAGCAATTGCACATTCGCCTGTCGAGAAGATTAACCATAACTCTGGACCGTCTAATCTGAAAAATTTCATCGATTTTGCAAATCTTATTTGTTTAATGTTTGGTCTTTAATAGAAAAACTACCCTAAAGTCTCGAGTATAAGTTCTGCCTTAATTTACATTCACTTTAATTGCTTTGAATTTCTTTTTGTTGGGTTTTTATACATTTTTATTGTTATATAAACTTTTATTATTGTTCTTGGAGCGCGGGATACTACAGGGTGACAGCCTATCACCATTGCTATTTGTTATTTGCATGGATACATCCAGATGATAGTGTTGAAGAAGACGCTGGAAAGCATCTCTTTCGACCGTCGACGTGGACTTTGGCCGGATGAAGAGGCCAGGGAGGGATCCATAAGACTGAGCACCGAAGAGGAGCAGGGCGGCCGCGCCGAGCCACGCCCGGAGCAACAAATAACAGCATAAAATTGCTATAACCCTCAATAAATTTACTTCTATTATTGTCCTTAAAAAGCAAAAAAGTTATGCTGCAGCGGGGTTCGAACCCTCGACACACCGCATCGGAGACAGCCGTCAATTTGCATGCGAAAACCAAACAGAACTTATACTCGCGACTTTAGGGTAATCCTTGTTAAACGTAAACTCAGTTTCAGAAAAGTTATCGTATTCTTTTTAGCTTTTTAAATAGTAAACATCGGCTAAAACTGCTCTAGGATTTGGTGGATGAGTTCTGGCGTCTAGAATTACGTCCAGCGTCTAGAATTACGGTAGCTTTTTTTTAGAAAATACACTCTAGATGCATACTTCCTAGCACTTTTTAGATATCCAGATAGAGGAATTCATTAGTTAGTCTATTTTTTATTTCATTACTTGCTCGTAAGCAGTTGTAACTCCAATTCCCGAATTTTGATCAAAATCTCGCGGACGAGCTCTGGCGGAAAGTGGGAAAGGCCCTCAATCGAGCAGATAATCGTCCCATCCGGCGGCCCCATGCTACTAAAATTATCCATTTTTCTAATAAAGCTTATTGTTTTTTTACCTAACAATATCTTCAACGAGCCCCTCACATTTCGACCAATCCACCCGATAAACGTCGGTTTGAAAAACGGCGAACACTGGTCGATGATCCGATGTGCGTAACTCGGCTCGATCATAGCTGAATAAAGATTATTTTGTTTATTTTAGAGCTTTAGATCAAGGTTACTGTATCTAGATAGATCTGAACCAAGCCAGACCAGGTCAAGCCCTGCCTTCTGGATTGGCTGGTCCTGGACTGGCTGGTCCTGGACTGGCTGGTCCTGGACTGGCTGGTCCTGGACTGGCTGGTCCTGGACTGGCTGGTCCTGGACTGGCTGGTCCTGGACTGGCTGGTCCTGGACTGGCTGGTCCTGGACTGGCTGGTCCTGGACTGGCTGGTCCTGGACTGGCTGGTCCTGGACTGGCTGGTCCTGGACTGGCCCTAGCCTTGCCTAGCCTAAACCTAAAGGCTCATTGAATATCTTTCACCAACTACACTGGGATACTGCAACGTGACAAGAGCCTTGAGACAATAGTTTTGCATGAAATCTAATGCAACTCATACTTGATCAAATTCGTAGCACTCTTCTTCCCGCGATTATCTTTCCACAAAACTCGATCCGTCCACGCGGGTACCTAAGTAGAATTTGATCGATACAAGCGCTCTTTTCTTACTCGACATTTCTCGCTCGTATCGTAATCATCGGAAAACGTATCGTATTTGTAAGTTGGAGGGAAATGGAGGGGACCTTCATTGAAACCGACGAATGTCTGAAATGATTTTTTTACTTTTTTTTTTCTAAAGGATTTTACATTTGAAGCAGCTCTTTGTTGAGTGAGTTGATCATTTGGGACGAGCTCATCGAATTGTCTCCCGGCAATCGCTCGCTTCACATCCTCTCGACCCATTGAAATGCCTGTAAAATACAATACAGAAATGAAGCAAGAAATGAATGAATTGTCAGTAGAGAAGTTAAAAGTAAAAAGTAAAAAGGTAAAATGAAGCTCTTATATAAGCTTTCATTATCTTCAGAAAAGTAACAAATAAATAAATAAATAAATAAACAAATAAATAAATAAATAAATAAATAAACAAACAAATAAATAAATAAATAAACAAACAACCAAACAAACAAAGAAACGGGGGTGGGACAAATGCGACCTTTTTTTGCGCACCTGGACATTTGCGCACCTTTTTTTTTGCTGGAAAAGGCCTTAGGAAAGGTCGTAGAGCTTCAAAAATGTTTTCATAGAAGGGAATACATGTTTCATAGGCAACTTAACGCTTTTCCGCATTTTTTGCCTTTTAGCCCAAATTTGACGTGTCAGCGAGGTCTGATTTGTCGAAATTCGGAATCTACGCATACGATTCCCTTGTATGGAAATGTTTTCGAAATGTTTTCGAAGCTCTACAACCTTTCCTAAGGCCTTTTCCAGCAAAAAAAAAGGTGCGCAAATGTCCAGGTGCGCAAAAAAAAGGTCGCATTTGTCCCACCCCCCAAAGAAACAAACAAAAAAGAAACTTACGATAGTTGAAATCTCCAAACCAAAAGATAACATCGTGACTTGCAATATCTCTTCCCTGAGGGAAACGGAGTTTTCGCATTGCCGTTTGCCAATCCGCATTTCGATCGGGTATCTAGAAATATTGGATAGAAATATTTGAAGAGTTCAATCGATACTCTTAAATATTATCAATCTTTTCATTATCCAATAATAAAATACTTCATTTTGTCCTGCAGCAAAATGCGAGCAAACAAAGCACAACGAAGTCGAATGAACGACCAAACGGAAAGCGACCGAACCCTGGAATAAATAGTAATTCAAATAAAACTTAAAACTATATCTATATCAAAAATTATCTTACTTTATTAGCCGTTGCTCCACCCATTCCCGTTTTCACACTCCCGATCGCGAAATCTTTCAACGCGGGCGCTAGCCGAGGATGAATGAAAACATATAGACAAACGCCCATCTAGAAAAAAAAGGTTTGAATAAAGTTGAAATAAAATAATGAAAATGATTAGGGTAAATTCTTGATCTCTTCATAAATTCTAATCACCAACCAATTGCTCACATCCCAACAAAATATACGGGGCTTTCTCGTGGAGAGCTTTCCGAATCCCCTCCAACCAGACGCGTTGATTTGTTGTGCTGAAAGGAATGGAGATATTAAAGGTTGTCCTAGCCACGTCCGTATTGTAAAGACAAGATTTCAGGCTTTCAAATGATACCAAAAAGAGGTTAATTGGACCACGGACTCCTGCGGAAATCGAGGGATAAAAATCTTAAGTTGGATCCTATCGGTCTCTTAATATAGCTACTGTTTAAGGGTTTAATGAATTTATTTATTTATTTAATGGTTTAATAAAATATGGAATTTGTGGCAAAAATACAGATACAAAAATACAAAAATACAAAATTGTTCCCAAAAAAATTTGAGCATGGTGACCTCGAAAAGTGAAAGGCCGTCTCAGTGCCCCAATAACTTATGAAGTCCGAAAACCAAAGCCCTTATGCCAGAGGCATACGCCAGATGGAGAGCGATTGTGTGCGCGCACAGAGAACATTTTCCCAATCATTTACACGCTAATTTTTCTTTTGCATTGTTGTACAGAAAGAAGATATTCAGCTGTAAATTTGTACCCGGGGATTTTTGAAGGTCAGGCAATCAATTGGAGCTATCCATTTTATCAAATCTACCACTAGACTATTCCATTTGGCTCAAAGGCCGCAACACTTTCAAATCACCTCGCTTTCACCATATTCTGTGCATTCAAATCCACCAATTCCTCCAATCCGATCGCAACAACATCTGCAATTTTCTCGATATCCGTCGAAATTGTCACTGAAAACTTTAGTTGCCACTTTTTTCAATCGTTTTCCCAAACCCAAATTGCTATCGTTCGGGAAAAGCCAATCGGCGATGCGTTCCTGATTTCGAAAGGCCACATTGTACATGTTTTTTCCGCCATTCACATTCCATGTGCCACAGAAAACCTGGAATGAAAAGTTTAGAAATAATCTAGACTAGATTTATAATCTAGACTTACTATCTATCTTGACTGGGGAAAACTTTTAGCCATACTTTTACTAACCTTTATTTTCTCATTGGCCGTAATTTCCGAGCTTCGATTCACGAGTTGTTCGACAGCTTCTGAGTATTCTAAATGAAGGGAAATGAAGGGAAATTTTCTTCAAGATCTCTCAACCGTTAAATACTGTAATTGAGATTGAATACTATTGAGTTAGATATATATATGTCGTAGCCGATTATGAATTTCAGCCGATTATGAATGAGCGGGTCTAGGAGCGTCCAACCATCAAGTATTTGGTATCATTCAACGCAGAATCATTAACAATTATGTTAAATTTTTAAAATTAGAAAGATTGGATAAAAAGAAAAAAAATTAGAGCAAAAAAGCTGTTTGTTTAAGAGAAAACTTTGAAGCCCCATAATTTGTGTTCTTTTTATCAAATCTTTCTAATTTAAAAATTTAACATAATTATTAATGATTCTGCGTTGAATGATACCAAAAACTTGATGGTTGGACGCTCCTAGACCCGCTCATTCATAATCGGCTATGGGGGTCCCGCCGATTTTGAATGAAACGTTGTAGGGCCGGTAATTTTTAACCTAAACTCACAAATTTAGTACCAATCGACGTAGAATTTAATTCGCTACAGGATGATATAATATTGTCCTCATACATTAAAGGGTTGCTCTACTAGAAAGATTTATCAAAAAATTTCATTCATAATCGGCTACGAGATATATAGATACTGTAATCGAATCTCAACTACAGTACCGATTCTATATCATCACGTTTGTTCATTTGTCTATCAAATTTCAAGCCACCACACATGCTTTTACATACTAATTAGACATCACTTTCACCAATTAGACATCAAAATTAGACAACAATTCGGAAAACAAACCTGAGAAATAAAAAGACCCTAAAGATTTAGTCATTATTATTAATAACATTATTAATATTTAAAACAAAAAACCCACCTTGCATTAGAGTTTGTGGCAACAAGGAAGAAGCTCGGTCAAAGAGAGAATTCTCGAATGAAGTGCCGCAAAGGAATAAATCGAATGATTCCTGAAGTTAAATTAAGCAATTATTTGATTAGAGATTATCGAAAGATTCCGGAATTTGTTTGAAAATGATGTTAATTGTTAGATGAGAATCGATTTGATTGTGAGATAGTTTTTTGCGAAAGGAAACAAGCTATTGTAATGGCTATTTAGCTACTGTATGCCGGAAAGTAACTCCAGTTCAGTTGTTAAGACTGAAGATGTAAATAAAGATAAAGATAAAGATAACGATATGTTACAAGCTAGCTTACAAGAACTGGAACTTACAGCTTACTTACCTTACAAGAATACTCTAACGAGACAAGACACTGGAACTATTGTATCAGCAGAATTATTCCAGCCCAGGCAAGCTATGGACTAAATTGGTCTAACTAGCTAGACTCACTAGATTGGCCCTGTTTGAAGTTGTTCTTTATGAAATTGTTGATATTGTTGTCCTTTATGATATAGCTTTCAGTTGGAATATAGCTGAAGTTTCTTCATCTTTTCTTCATCTTTTCATCATCTACATCTTCCTTTTTCAATCTGTTAATTTCAATCAGTGAACTGAGCTCACCAATCCACTTTAAATCTCCACTTTTTGCTTTCAGTTTTCCACTAAAACCTTGACTTTAGAATACTCAGAAGCTGTCGAACAACTCGTGAATCGAAGCTCGGAAATTACGGTCAATGAGAAAATAAAGGTTAATAAAAGTATGGCTAAAAGTTTTCCCCAGTCAAGATCGATAGTAAGTCTGATAGAAAGATTATAAACGTTTCTAAACTTTCTCATGCACTCATTGACCTCAACTTCTTTGATAGAGTTCAATCTCAAATTACTTTTTTAAAAAGTCTCTGTTTTACTTTCTTCCTTTTCTGCAGTCGGTTTTCAATAAAAAATCATTCATCTTATTGCAAGAGCATCGTCGCTTAAGGCTGAGAAAAAAAAAAGAGTCTGTATAAATTGTCTGTTGAATCTCTTGACAAAAGATACAAAAAAAAAGAACCGGAAGTGATCGAAACTTCAATAAATCACCACAGCTCAATGGGGAAAAGGGCATAGAGAACGACTTTTGATAGAAAAAAAGGACTGACAATGAGTGACAATGTTGTGGGTGGGAAGAAAACTTGATCCAGGTGATAAGCACGGGAAAAAAGTGGATGCTTTTTGAAGATTTATGCAATGATTTGTGAATTTGGTGACTTTTTTTTTGACTAGTGCTTTACAGGAAACATTTACAGTAATCATTTAAAAGAAACCTTTCATTTAATAAGAGGCAAAAGAAAGAAAAAGTGCTATCAAAAAACCCTAAATTGTCTATCGCCTATCTAACACTTACAGCATTGTACTTGTCAACTTTGATCACAGTACTAGTTTAAATCATTGCATACCTAGATCCAAGAATTCAAACCGAAACTACATCTTAACAATAATGCTGCAAAAGTCTACTGTATTTGATAATAAACTTATGGCCTGAACAGCAACAGAAACATTTTACCAACACAAATATTTCACTTTAACCTATTAGATTTGAAAGAAAGTTCTCGAAAAAAGTTTGGACGGTCATTTCTCAAAAATCAAGCCTTTTCTTCTTCCCTTCTTCCCTTCTTCTCTTCTTCCCTTCTTCCATTCTTCCCGTCTTCCCTTCTTCCCTTCTTCTCTTCTTCCCTTCTTCTCTTCTTCTCTTCTTCTCTTCTTCCCTTCTTCTCTTCTCTTCTTCTCCTCTTTATCCCTTCGGTATTCTTTTTGTTTCTTGAAAATCAGCTGCTCATCAAGAAAATCTAACTATAAATACAGTGATAGTAGTTGAAAGATATTAGAATATTCTTAGAATTAGAATGTCGAAAGATATTAGAAAGATTGAAGCTCGAATTTTTGAATATTAGTTTTGAAAGAAAGTTCTCGAAAAAAGTTTGGACGGTCATTTCTTAAAAACCAAGCCATAAATTCTTCCCAGCTTTTTTTTTGATAAACTTGTCTATATTTCAAAAAGTTTTTAACAAAACAAACAGAGTGGGGTTGAGGTAAAAAATAAGAGATTTCTTCAGCTGAAGTGACTTGGTCACTTTTTGAGGTCCTTTAGACAAGTTTTTAATAGGTTAATGAATAGGCAATGGGTTCCATTTAAAATCTAAAATCAACCAAAAACTTTCTTCTAAGTGAGCCAATCTTTATGATTTTGATTTCATTTTATAGATCTCAATAAGTGCAACAAAAATGACACCAAAATCATAAAGATTGGCTGACTAAGAAGGAAGTTATGGCAAGTTGCGGAAATGACCCTGTTGCGCAACTGGGTCGTTTGCGCAACTCGCCATAACTTCCTTCTTAGTCAGCCAATCTTTATGATTTTGGTTTCATTTTATAGATCTCAATAAGTGCGACAAAATGACACAAAAATCATAAAGATTGATCCACTTAGAAGAAAGTTATGGCGAGTTGAGCAAAAAAAAAAATTGCGGAAATTAGCCTACCCCAAAAAGTGAGCTGGAAGCTGGAAAATAATAATTTTTTTTAAAAATTTCTATTTTAAGGGAAAGCTGCACTCATTTTTTTTTACGAGTAATTTTCTTCTTGGAGTCGTAAATAATAGAAAATGTTCTTGAATTGATGGATTCGTTTGTTAAGAAAACTTCAGTCAAACTTTTTTTTGAGAACTTTCTTTCCAACCTAATTAATTAACCGTGCAGTACCCAAATAATAAAAAAAAATCTCAGAATGCCAACCTGTTTTGACTGATCCATGAAATTGTTTTGCAGGGTTCGGGTGATCGAACGAGACGCATCTTTTAACTGAAATATGAATGTAAAATTATTCATAAGTTTTTAGAGTACACTGCTTTTAGAGTACACAGTTTTTAGAGTACACTTTGTTTTTAGAGTACACTGCTTTTAGAGTACACAGTTTTTAGAGTACACAGTTTTTAGAGTACACTTTGTTTTTAGAGTACACTTTGTTTTTAGAGTACACTTTGTTTTTAGAGTACACTTTGTTTTTAGAGTACACTGCTTTTAGAGTACACAGTTTTTAGAGTACACTTTGTTTTTAGAGTACACTGCTTTTAGAGTACACTGCTTTTAGAGTACACTTTGTTTTTAGAGTACACTTTGTTTTTAGAGTACACTTTGTTTTTAGAGTACACTGCTTTTAGAGTACACTGCTTTTAGAGTACAGAGTACACAGTTTTTAGAGTACACTTTGTTTTCATTTCTTTTTCATTGCAATAACTGTTCGGAATCTAATACACAAATATTGATATGAAAATTTTAAAGCATAGCCAATTTAGATAAGTTAGATAAAGATTATACTAGTATTTAGTATTTATTATGTAAGTTTATTCATAGAATGAAAGCCTTGAAAGGATATAACAAGTATCAAGAGCTTTATATCTGCAGCACCAGTTGACTACAGTAAGACACTGCAGAAGTGGAGATTCAGAAGTGTTTTAGAAGGTTTGATTACCCTAGTGTCTATCAATTACTATTTAGATTAACATAGAGCCAGTCGTTTCTATTTGTCACTGTTTCAGCTGATCTTTTCGACTCTTAGCTATTCATAGATTTAAATCAAATATGATTATAGGTATGTTACCGTATTTTCTCTAATAGTAGCACTACTAGAGCCTTAGCTCTAGTAGTGCGTCGACCCTGAGCGTCGCCTAAATTCCTCGAAATCTCGAGAACCGCTTAACAGAACCTATCGATGTGGGGTCGGAAAATGTAGCTGACGATGAGATCTAGTGGGCGGATTAGAGTGTTGAGCTTCTGCAAAAGCTTGGAAACCGTAAAATAGTCATCAACTCAGCTCGCTTGGGTGCATAAATATTAGAGAAAATACAGTATCCTAAAATCCTTAGATTTTCGATCTCTAACTTCTTTTCTTTTACTATAACTGTAGGAAAAGTTTCTCTCTAATTTTGTCCCCCAAAAAGGCGACACTTTGTCTGACAAAATTTTGCCTATTTCTTTTTCAATTTCTTTTTTTTTGCGAGAGTAAATCCTGTTTTCAAAAACTGATGATCTGAGTGAAAGGAAAAAGCGAAAATGAAACGAAAAACGTTAAGAGTCACGGAAAAATTAACAGTAAAAAGTCAGTCAGTTAAAGGTCAAAAAAAAGTGTGTTTTGTTTGTATGAGATAGTTACCGGAAATCGGATGGGAAATTGTAGAGATCGAGAATCATTTTAAAATCGGATTTCAAAAGACGATGATTCCAAAAAGATGACAAGAAACTACCGTCATTCTTGTATAATCAACTAAATTCTGATTAAATATAGTAATTTAAAACTTAGCTAATTACTGTATTACTAATTAGCTTTTTTTAAAAGCTCCTTTAGCTAAACAGGATTGGTGTTAGCTTGAGGTGGAGATGATGTTAGCTTGAGGTGGAGATGATGTTAGCTTGAGGTGGAGATGATGTTAGCTTGAGGTGGAGATGATGTTAGCTTGAGGTGGAGATGATGTTAGCTTGAGGTGGAGATGATGCTAGCTTGAGTTGAAGCTGATGTTAGCTTTAAAAAGAATTCTCAGTTTTTTGTTAGCTTTACAGTTACGGTGACTTCTCTCAAAGAGTTCAAGAAATGCTTTTTGATATTTAAACAACGATTACTTTAGTTTAGGATTACGTACTTTAGTTTAGGATTACGGTAGGAAAGTTGCAAGAGCAAATTCTAGAAATTTATCTATTTGTTTGTTTATTTGCAGCGACACTTTGTCTACCAAATTTTTTTGTTTTTTTTTAAAATTCTGTTTTTCAAAATTGACCAAATAAGCGGAAAATGATCTGTAAAAAGAAAAGAAAAGAACAAAAAAAATGATCACTAATGTTTAAGGATGAGTACGGTTACCGGAAATCGGAAATGATGGGTTTAGAGATTTACAGTGAATCATCGATCTATTTCAAAATTCAATGAGATCTTAAAAGTTAACGATACTTTTACAATATGATACGGGGTGCGGTACTTTTACGGTAAGAATATGGTAACCACAATAGCTCTCCGTACTACCGTACTCGGAGAGCCGTACTCGGAGAGCTATTGCTATGGTAGCTGTTGTGTTATGGTAGCTTTTTCCAAGTTTAGTACGATAGCTTTTAGCTTTCGGGTAGTGATAACGGTATGTCGAAAGAGGATTTCTTAGAAATGACACTACTTTATGATAAAGTTGTGTAACCTAAAATTACATGAATTGACAACCGGAAATGTTTGGATTTGAAAATTGTTGAGTCACTGTTCTTTTTCCTCGAAATTCTCGTTAACCTTGACAAGAAAACCTTTAATTTTTTTTGGCTTTCATTCAACAATTCGTCTTCCGTTTTCCGTTTCCCATAAACCATATGCATATCCACGAATTTTCCCCGTCACATTCTCACTTTTCACACTAGATTTATAACTTTAAGATTTGAAACAATTTGAAAAGAATTTTCTTTGAGAAATGATTAATGATTGCTGAAATAGATATACAGCAAAGTTAGCAGAAATGGAGAAAAGAGAAAGAGAAAGAGAAAGAGAAGAGAAAGAGAAGAGAAAGAGAAGAGAAAGAGAAGAGAAAGAGAAAGAGAAAGAGAAGAAAAGAAGAGAAGATTGAACAGAGAAATGTTCGCTCTCACCAATGGGATAGTTCCACCAAATGATATCAATTTTTGAAAGCTGAAGGGGCAAAGGAGTAGGCTTATGATCTTTTGTCTTATGAAATAGATAGATTTTGCAAGAGTTTTTGCGAGACAAAGTTCTACTGTAACTGGAATCTATTGTAGAGTGAAGAAAGTGAAGCATCAAACTTTTTGGTAACTGGTCCAAATCCTAGTGTAGCCATATCTTTGTCTACTGGTTTTCTAAAACATTTCAACTTTCGAGAACTACCATAATCGTGTCTTGTCTTTGTCTTATCTTTGTCTTATCTTTGTCTTGCCTTTGTCTTGTCTTTGGCTTATCTTTGTCTTGTCTTATCTTTGTCTTGTCTTTGTCTTGTCTTTGTCCTGTCTTGTCTTTGTCTTGTCTTTGTCCTGTCTTGTCTTTGTCTTGTCTTATCTTTGTCTTGTCTTTGTCTTGTCTTTGTCTTGTCTTGTCTTTGTCTTGTCTTTGTCTTGTCTTTGGCTTATCTTTGTCTTGTCTTTGTCTTTTTTCCGTTCTCTAATCTATTGTTTACTGATCGAAAACCTGAACTCATCAATGAAAACAAAGTGTACTATAAAAACTGTAATCTTACATATTTACGAGTTATTCCAGATAGATAGATAGATAGAATAAAAACTAAAACCAGATTACGGTAGTTTTTGAAAATTGATTGGGTTTAGAAAAGAAAATAAAAAAAACCCTCTGTGTTCCTCTCAAGTAATTTTTTTTCTAAAAAGGATTTATTTGAGAAAAGTATCGTAATCAAACCGTTATTTTACATTCAATCCATGCGATTTTGATCTCATTCGATAAGGAATTACAATGCTCATTCAAGAGAAAAGATCTTCAGTTATCTGGTTAATTCTTGGGTTAATTTTTAACCAAAACAGAACCCCACTAGGGACTATTTAGTTCCTTTATAGTTCCTCTTTGGTTACTTTATAGTTCCTATTTAGTTCCTATTTAGTTCATTTATAGTTCCTATTTAGTTCCTTTTTAGTTCTTATTTAGTTCCTTTATAGTTCCTTCATAGTTCCTATTTAGTTCCTTTTTAGTTCCCATTTAGTTCTTTTATAGTTCCTATTTGGTTACTGTATAGTTCCTATTTAGTTCCCATTTAGTTCCTTTATAGTTCCTTAGGGACAAAGGGACAATAGAGACAAAAGGACAAATCCTAGACTTACAATTGCCGTAATACTTCAGCCAAAAAATCCCCTTAATGCAAAAAGTCAACTCTAGTGATTCGTAAAGGCTTTTAGAAAGTTTTAGATTTAAAAATAACCATATTCTCTTCGTATTTGACTCTTAAAGAATCCTTTTGACTTTTGAGATAACTATTAGGATGACGAATTGTTTAAAAACAAAAAAAAAGTTTTAAAAAATTATCTACCGGATATGTTAGAGAAATTCCCATTGACCGATTTGTTTTTTTCTACAGTACCGCTAATATATTTGACTATTTAACTTAAACATTAACTACCGGAAGGTCGCATTGCCACAAATTGTTGAGAGATAGATAGATATGGAGACGACGAAATGAAAGGAAAGATCGGGGAAAGAGGGGAAAGAGCTTCCGGTGATTCGAACATTTGAATGCAAAAGAAAGAGGGGCGAACACACGAACACTGAGAAGGTGAAATGGAAAAGAATGGAAGAGAATGAAAAAGAATTAAAAGAGAGAAAGGGCAAGCAAAAACTACAGCTCCCCGCGCACATTTATCACTCTTTCGAGCAGCAGCCAACCCCCCCATTTCAGCCAAAATCCACGATGACCGGGGGGCGGGCAAGGACCTGCAAAAAAGGTGGAGACAAGAGGAAAGACCCATTCGACTATATAAGTCGATCGTCTTGTTCATCATCAAATCACTCCTACAACTCCTACAACTACTAAACTACTATTGAAAAATGATGAAACTTACTCTCCTTGCCCTCATTTTGGTTCGTTTATCGTTTTGCAACAATTTTTTTCATTTAATTTCTTTAGATTCAAACCACACTGGCAATCAAGTATACCTCGTGGCCTGTGCAACCGATTTACAATGTGAAACGGGATGTGAGTGATTGTTTTAATAGCTAGAAAGTTGAATAAATTCAATAGATTACTATAGCTTAGTTCAATAGCTTAGTAGCTGAATTAGTATAGCATAGATGATAGATTGTAGACTGTTACTGTACTGAACGTACTCAACGAAGTAGTTGAATAAACCTACTGAAGTTAATTTGATTTGAGAACTAAATAACCTTTTGTTTTCTAGATTCCGAAAGATCAGACAACGCTGGTTTTTGTCTATAGCTGTATGTGCCCACGCAGTCAACGAACCATTCCCGAGTTCACAAAAGCAGCGAAAGAGTTGAAGAACTATTATGGAATCAAGGTGAGAAAATGACTAATGACTTTTGATAAAATAGCTAAAATAGCTCATCGTTTTGAATAAAATAGCTTAAAGAATATAATGTTATCTTTTTCCAGACGAAATCTCTCGAGTACTACATGACTGGTTTCGAGTTTGTTAAAGTGTTGCCATTCATCAACCGTTTCCCTATCCTCATGCTTTACCGTGCTGATGGAAGCAAGGTGAGTTGGAAAAGAAGTAGGGAAGGATTTGATAAGGTTTAAGTCTTAGATTTAGTTTGAAATCTCTAGATCTCTGAATATAGATCTAGATCTAGCTCTAGATCTAGCTCTAGATCTAGCTCTAGCTCTAGATCTAGATCTAGATTCAGTCAACTATCCAGTTATATCAAAAACCAATACGATCTCATTTCCAGATTCGTTACGATGGAATCGATCCTCCAAGCGCTAGCTCCGATGATTTCGTTCGTTTCACCCTTGACAACGAGTACGCTTACAATGGAGACAACGAAAACTCGGTCTCGTCAAACACTGTTTGGTAAAAAGGGATTTATTTCAAAGATTAGAGCTGAAATAATCTTTTCTAACTAACTAGTCCTTGTAAAAGCTTCTTCATAAACCCAGTCATTGTGATACTCATTGCACGTGTGCCAAAGCTTTCATTTATTTTTCTATAGGAAATGATTGAGACATCTTCCTTTTCTTCATTAGATTTCCATGTACTTATATTTGTCGACGAAAAGCCGATTGCTTTCATGTATATAATAAATATTATTCTCTGAGGTACAGTAAGACAGAAAAAAAGACAGAAAAAAGACGTAAGACGGAAAAAAGGATACTGTAAGACGGTGACATTTTCAATCAGTCGTGTTAACAAATGTATCAGTGAGCGCCCTGATTTTCTTTTCTTTCTTACTTTCATAAAGATCAAAGTATTCAGTTCTTCTGCAGAATGAACTACTACAAGGTTACAAACGTTTTTCTTTTCTTTCATTTTATAGTATTCTTAATTTTCAATTTGCACGTTACATGTTCAAAAAATAATTTGTTTTTTTGTAGAAGTCAAAAATCGTCGAAATGTGATCACTTGTCATTTGCAAAATTCTCGCGAAATTGGCTCAAAGCACTGGATAATCAGGAAGATAAAGAAAGAAAGAAAGAAAGAAAGAAAGAAAGAAAGTAAGAAAGAAAGAAAGAAAGAAAGAAAGAAAGAAAGAAAGAAAGTAAGAAAGAAAGAAAGAAAGAAAGAAAGAAAGAAAGAAAGAAAGAAAGAAAAAGAAAGAAAGAAAAGAAAATCAGGGCGCTCACTGATACATTTGTTAACACGATTTTATCTCTGCTACTCTAGACCACCCCCAACCCAGTTTTAATACCCATCAGTCTCAGTCTCAGCCTCATCCGTTCTTTCTAGATCCTTCTCCCTTTCCGGTGTCCGAAAACTACAAAAAAGATATTATAGTGTGGATCACTCTTTTCTCTTGACAACGGGTTCTCAAGAAGCAAAAAACGCCTCTCCACCGAGTGGAACACCGGAAGACAAATTGGCGCTCAACCCTTTCCCCTTCTCATTCACAGGTAACCACGAAATCTCGAGAAAAACAAACGGAAACCACTACTCGACGAAATTGATGGAGATTATCAGAGAGAGACTTTTTTTCTGAACTTTTTCTGAACTCTCTTCTTTGGAACTTTGATTTCACTAATAAATCTATTCATTGTGCACGCGATTTTTACGAGTTATGCCTTTTTCTTCAATAGAAAACGGCCCTGAAGAGGATTAAAATGATCTCTGAAATGTTCTTGCCATAAATTGACTTTTCTAATCAAGCTGAACTTTTGCATGCATAGATTTAGATAATTTGTAAAACTGAAAGAACCTAGAGAAAGCTGGGAATTTGTTTTTCTTCGGCCTATTGCCTATTGCCTCTAATAAGTGCTGCGCCAGAATTTGTAAAGACACATTCTCAGTAACGAAAATTCCAGAGAAAAAGGGTCAGCTTTTGAGCTATAAGCACACATTGTAGTTTAAAAAAAACGCTAAGCCTGAGTCGTTCAACGTTACGACTACGCTACACCCCGCCCGTGGCAATGTGGTGGTTTGCTACTTTTAAAATCTCTTAATGAACTCACTTTACTTTTCCCCTCAAGTGCTCCCGTTCCAGCGTAAATGATACTACATTGATCTCCATTTTTCACCCAAGCATCCTAAAGTTTTTTTTGTTAAGTTTTCAATTCACTAACAGATTTGCATACTTTAAGAACTTCTTCAAAACGTTGATGTAAATTTGCGTTAGCCGACTCGATTCGCATAGATGTGATTTGATCTCGAAGCATCTAAACGGGGAAAAGTTATCGATGAATTATAAATGATAAAGTTATGTCAATAAGTTGAATTTGATTAGCTTAAAGATCTCATAAATCTGCAATAATAGATCTTAAAAAGCACTGGTTTTATATTAATTAACTGAGTTTAATTGGAACTAGGGGAGATCAAAAACATCGAAAAAATTCGAACCAGCTACAGTACTGGACAATGAAATATGATATTTGAAAAACGATCGTCACTTTCGTGCGTCTGTAACTCCCTTGTCTTTGAGTTTAAACTATTAGTGTTATACATTTTCTGAAAGCTCTTTTCAAGGGCTACACAATGGTAATATTAATATTTAGAAATACGGTAAAGACAAGGGAGTTACAGACGTGCGAAAGTGACGATCGTTTTTCAAATATGATATTTCATTGTCCAGTAGTGTACCTTTCGATTATCGGACAACTATGCTAACCATTACACCATAACGCACTTGATTTACTTGTTAACTTTTTAGGAGTTAACTTTTTAGTTAATCAAATGAAATCAAATGAAATCAAATGAAATCAAATGAAATCAAATGAAATCAAATGAAATCAAATGAAATCAAATGAAATCAAATGAAATCAAATGAAATCAAATGAAATCAAATGAAATCAAATGAAATCAAATGAAATCAAATGAAATCAAATGAAATCAAATGAAATCAAATGAAATCAAATGAAATCAAATGAAATCAAATGAAATCAAATGAAATCAAATGAAATCAAATGAAATCAAATGAAATCAAATGAAATCAAATGAAATCAAATGAAATCAAATGAAATCAAATGAAATCAAATGAAATCAAATGAAATCAAATGAAATCAAATGAAATCAAATGAAATCAAATGAAATCAAATGAAATCAAATGAAATCAAATGAAATCAAATGAAATCAAATGAAATCAAATGAAATCAAATGAAATCAAAAAGCCATCAAAGTCGACAAAAACAAACGTAAAAAGGAAAAAGACGGAAAAAGGTGAATTTTAGAGGCCGTAAAATAGAATTTAACTTTTTTAGGGTTACCACATATCATTTTTGTACTCCTTGGTTGTTAAAGTCATTAAAAAATGTTACAATTCTTCTATTCTATATAAAATTCTATGTAATTTTCTAATTAATTGTTATTTTAAATTTAAATGAAATTTGTTATTTTAACTAATTGTTATTTTGTTACTAATTGTTATTTTAAACTCAAACCATCAGCCCAAGCAATGTCTGAACATTATTCGTTCGATCAAGACAATCCAAACAATTCGTCCTCACAACTCCTGTTTGATTTCTAAAATAAAACTTTAAAAAAACGTATTCTCCTTTTGCATTTACCTTAAAACTTTCGCATTAATTTGTTGAAAGAATCCATTATCATTTAGAAATGTTTGCAAATCTTTCTTCAAATAGTTAATGTTATCTCGACTTATCTAAAGATTTGAATAAGATTTTACACAATATACCGTATTATCTCTAATACTAGTGCACCCCGGCGAGCCGAGTTGATGACTATTTTACGGTTTCCAAGCTTTTGCAGAAGCTCAACACTCAAATCCCCCACAAGATCTCACCGTCAGCTACATTTTCCGATCCCACATCGATAGATTCTGATAAGCGATTCTCGAGATTTCGAGGAATTTAGGCGACGCTCAGGGTGCACTACTATTAGAGAAAATACGCTATTTTCAAACCTTCATTTGTGCATGATAATCGAAATGTATAAATGGAATCGTTTCTTTCAAATGGGTATTCTTATGTTGAGTCTGAAATGATATTTGAATGATTTGAATGATTTGAATGATTTGAATGATTTAAATGATTTAAATGATTTGAATGATTTGAATGATTTGAATGATTTGAATGATTTGAATGATTTGAAATGATTTAAATCATTTGAATGATTTGAATGATTTAAATGATTTAAATGATTTGAATGATTTGAATGATTTAAATGATTTAAATGATTTGAATGATTTGAATGATTTAAATGATTTGAATGATTTGAATGATTTGAATGATTTAAATGATTTAAATGATTTAAATGATTTAAATGATTTAAATGATTTGAATCATTTGAATCATTTGAATCATTTGAATCATTTGAATCATTTGAATGAAGATCTAATCGATTTTCTTACCTGAAACGCATCACCGAGTACTCGTTCTCCTTCTTTATGCCCCAATAGATTCACCACAATTATATTTTCATACAATTTTTGAAGAGCCAGGAAATGTCTGAATGATTTGTGTGGTTTTTATTGATCTTTTCATAACTCTGTTAGACTCATTCAAATCTATAGTTCTAATTGATTGCCTAAAACTACCAGTACAAATTTACAGCCGAATATCTTCATTACTTTTAGTTAAACTGGGAGTATGCTATCTGACTTGAGTTTTGCCTCTTTGATTTACAGCTGAATATCTTTATTACTTGTCTCTTTGAACTCTTCTAATTGTTCATTTGAATAAAGATATTTCTTTTGATAATCTTTTGCTTTAGAAATACTCTTTTGAGTTCAATCTTACCTCTTATAAGCTGGAGCCGATGCCTCAAAGGCTCTCAATTTGACCTTGTGTGAGCCAACCTGAAAAATACTTTTTATGAAAGCTTCCAAAGCCAAAAGTGAGCCAAACATGAGCCAAACAAGAGCCAAACATGAGCCAAAAGTCTCATCATTCTAATCCATAACTAGCGATGAGATTTGCAAGATACAAGTTGAATCCAGAAACTATTTGAATCAATCCTAAGCTCAGCCTGTCCAGACTAGGGTGTAAATTAAACTTGAAGCTAGACTTGGTCAGTCTTATCAATTTGCTAGGCTATCAATTTGCTAGACTAAGACAACGTTGTCTGTCACATTCTTTACCTGTATTCCCGGTTGATCCCAAAACAGCGGAATCGAGCCTCGGATTTGGATAAATGAAGACTCTTGACCCTCGAAGAGAATCAACTGGAATAAACATGATTCTTTGTTGCTTTTCTTTTCTTTTCTTTTCTTTATTCTTTGTTTTCTATTTTGTGTACTTGTTCAGTTTCCACAAAATTCGCCACATTTCCCATGTCGTTTGCCCCTCGGACATTGAATCGTGTGCCGACTCGCTCACAGCTCAGCCTTGACAGAATTGCTACCTGAATTCATTATTAAAGCCAAAACTAAAGGTTTCAGTCATTTTATTACAGTACTCACTATGGAAATATTCAGATGTCTTTGGACAAAAATTTTGCCGAAACTCAGTATAACTAATACAGTATCCTTAACTTTTGAATTTGTCTGTCTGCCTGTCTGTCTGTTTGTCTGTTTGTGTCTTTTGTCTGTCTGCCTGTCCTGTCTGTTTGCCTGTCTGTCTGTTTGTCTGTTTGTCTTTTGTCTGTCTGTCTGTCTGTTTGTCTGTCTGTTTTCCTTTTTCGATTAGTTCACCTTTCCAGTCTTTGCTCCAATGTAAACAGTTCGAATGATACACGATCCACTGATACATTTGAGAAACCATTGCTTTGAATCAATTCCAAATCTTTGCAGAGGGAAATGGAGGCTTCGATTCCTAAAGTTGAATTGAAAAAAATGTTATTAAATCAAACTTTTATAGATCCTTTTCATTAACAAACCAGAAAAATCGCTCATCACTTTGCGCTCCTTGGGCTCTTTTCTGTGCGCATAGGGTGAGATCGTATTCGGTGAGGGCCGAGAAGTAAAACATTCCCGATGAGATCAACTTTTGTAGCTGGAAATGGTTGTGATTTAGAAAACAAGAGAAGCTAGACAGAAACGGGACAATAGTTACCGTAATACTTGCTTTATGGCACTATGAATTCACAAAAGTATAAATCTTTAAGAAGCGATACAGGTACTACGGTAATTCTTATATTAAATACTGTATGCTTTTAGAATAAGTACGGTAACTCGATTTTCTTGAATGTTTATACTTTTTTACCTCGACAATTCTTGGATCGATATGCTCGGCAACCCCAAGAGTCTTTAATGGAATAAACTCGCTCATTGTGATCTGAAAACTAGTTTAGTTAAACAATTATCTGAAGACCTTTGAATAGAAATCTTGAATCTAAGAAAAATCTTGATCTTTAGTAAAACTTGAATTTATTTTACCTTGTAAATATCACTGTTGAAGAGTTGCCCGGATGAAAGAACACCCTTGATCGCTATCAAATAGCTTTCTTCTAAAGAAAAAGAGTTTAGTGATGAATTAAAATTTAAACCTTTTGTTCTCAGAATTCCCATCAAACCGTAGGCGTCGGTGATTTTCGTGTAGCCGAGTTTCCAGTCCTCGAATTGGGATCGTTCTAGAGAAAATCGATTTTCAGTTAAAGATTGCTTGTGAATTTGTTTAAGTCTATCAATTTGCATTTTAAAATCATCAACCTAAAGCTTGTACAGGAGCTGGATTAGTTTAATATTGCGTTTTAGTGCAATATTAGTTTAATATTGCGTCAAGAAGGTAAAGATCAAGCTTGTTTAGTTTAAGATTAGCGTTTAGCTTAAGATTAGCGTTTAGCCTGATTCCAAAGCTTTTCTCTAGCTATTATTTTTGGATAATTTGAATGCGATAATGTGTACTTCTTTGTGAACTCACTTATTTCCAAGCATGCTCCATTTTCGATCATCAAACATCCCTCATTCCTCGTGTGTTCGATCAAAAATGACGGCGGCAGGGTGACATCGATTCGCCGCCAAACGCGGACCCCCCGAACGGACATCTACAAATGAAAATATTTGAATTGAATAAAAATGACAGACAATTATCAAAGCTAAACCAAAAGTATGTAGATTTCTAAGCTTTTAAAAGCTAGATTTCTAAAAAACATTTCTCATAAAAATTGAAAGAAAACGCTTTTAACAAAATTTTAGAGTAATTTAAGAGCAAATCGATACAAAAAGCAATGATTATAAAGCATTTAATAACAATTGTCCTAACAATTCAATCGTTTATCATGTTTTGTTTATCTGAGCGATAAAATCTAAACAATATCGCGAATCATTAGGATTTCATTTAGGGGAAAACAAAAATCAATCAAAAAAATAAAATAAACAAATGAAAACAATCAAAAATAGAATTAACCTCAAAAGTTACTAAAGTAAAAAGAAAAGTGAGAAAACTGAAAATCTTTTCCCCCAAAAAGACAATCGATTTGGCCTGAGGGGAAGGGTTAAAAGGGAAAAGAAAAAGAAAAAGAAAAGAAAAGAAAAGAGAAGAAAAGAGAGCCCTCTTCCCACTCATTTTTTGAATGAAACGAGGCAAAACTAGAGACGGGGAAAGGCTCTTGAATTCCCCCCGCTTTCTATCGAGTAACACATCGGAAAGACATTTGAGAATGCGATTTTGAAATCATTAGAGAATTTGGCTCTTTACTTTTTCATTTCTAACGAACTACAACTTTTTTAAGTCCAAATTTTCGATCAAAACTTTTTATCCGTTTCTCTAGCCATTCTGAAAAAAGTTTCCGTTTAAAAATCACTATTTTGAATAACCTTTTTATTCAAAACTATTAAATGATTAAAATTTTCTCAATGTAAAGCCTTAAAAAACATATTAGACTGTATCGAAAATATGCAAAATAAACAAAAATTGAAGCGCCATTAAACAAAAATCCACATGATTTAACGTGGATAAATTACCGCACTTCCTTCCTTCAATTTCTTCTTCACTCTTGCAACTTTCATTTTCTGCAAAAGCTTTTGATTTTTCAATAAATATAATTTTACTTTTGTTTAGTGATGGCGTCCTTATATCAATCGGATCGCAACAAGTACGAATGCAGTTGCGGAGCCTGGGACTCGTTGGGGCTTTTGTATTTTTGTCGTCATTGCTCGGTTACCAGGTAAAAATCGTGTTGAAGCTTTATTTACTTTTGATTTAGATGTTCTTCTTGTGTTCTCGTCGAATTGGATTGTTTCCTTTGCCAGAATTGCCTCGAAAGCGCTCCCGTCACCGAAGCCCGCCTCAAAAAGAATCGATGTTTTGCGTGCAACTTTTGTCCTTTTTGCGGTACATTTAATTTTTCTACTTTTAAACAGTTCAATAGGTTTAATATTTTGTCTTTAGCTACGGTTCTTACGAAGAAAACGTGTGTGAATAGCGGAAATACGTTCCTGTCGTGTGGGGTGTGCCGATGGTCAACGCGCGATGCCGGAATTCCTGATCAAAGCAAGACTACGACCGATTGGCCAATGTATTTACCATATTTTTGAATCCATAACTATATTTTTGTATTTAGGCCGGAAAATCCACTCAGCAAAAGATTGAACGAAATTTCTGGCCATTTCAAGGACTTGGAAACGAGAGAAAAGGCTCGAAAAGAGAAAGACACAACTAAGAGGTTAGGTATTTTGTTTTAAAAAAATGGCAATCTAAAATTTAAAGGCGGACGAACTTTGGCGGTTTCGATGCTTCAAAGTTTTCGGATCGATTCGGAGTGCAAAAGATGATACAAGCTCGTAAAAAGGTAATGAAATTTTGGTCACATTTACGCTAGATTTCTTTAGGCTATCGAAACACCTGCTTCCACTGTCGAGTCTCACGTTGCCACAGCTGATGTTCCAGCATTGCCTGATGATGTGTTCGAATCAACGGCTGCTATTCAACTACCACTCAATGTCATCAATAAACAGCCATTGGTTGAGGAAACAACATTGCTTCCCGTTCGTCTTCCTTTAAAGGGCAGAAAGGCCATTAGGTAACTAGCGTTAGACAAACATTTTATTACTCTTGCTTTCAGATGCCGTAAATGTGAACACCATCTTTTGAAGCTAGACTATAGTCCAAATGCGATCAATTACAAAATCTCGGTAACTTGTCTTTCTTATATTTTTCATGGCTTTTTTAGGCTTTTGCCCGCAACACAATCCCAGAGATTCGATTGTCAAGGGGGGTCGAGCTTGTGGTCGGACAACAATCGTCTATTTTGCTCACCTTATTGAACCATAGTGAAAATGGGATGCAGGTTGGTGTTTTAAAGTTTTGACTCGTACATTCGCTAATGAAAAAGAGCTCTAAATTTGGTTTTAGATTATTCTCACGCCAGATGCGGATGATAGTGCTTTTGAAATTGTGACAGAAAGTATCGACATAACTTTATCCCCGTTAGATGCCGCCGACGTGTTGCTTGGAGCTGAAGAGTCAAAATACTCCGCCGCTTCTTCGTCAAGTTCTTCAAACATCGTGTTTCAACGAAGAAATCGTGTCGGAATTAGGCTCGATTTGTGCCCAAAGGTTTGAATTTTTCACGTTTTTTGATTTCATTTTTCATTTAGGTCGATTTCAAGTGCCTCCCGTTGTCTCTGAAGTTTAAAAACATCCATACTACAGCAAAATTGGAAACATCGGCCGATTGGAAGATGGTGAAAGTTCGAGTTGGACTAGACAAGTGATTTGATTAGAGATGTCAAAATGTATGTTTAAATTTCCTGTTGCATAATTTGTGATACTGTGTGCCTCTTATTTTTGATAAATAGTTTTTATATTACACTCAATTCTCTAAAGCAAACGCTAAAAATCATACAATCATTCTTCGATAACACCAATCTTTTTTCGGTCCGTTCCAGAAAGCTTTAGACTTTTGCGTATTTCTTCTCTCGCCTAAAAATCTCGCAATTGATAATTGATGTAATAAATTAATCAAAAAGCTATTTAAACATTTTACCTTCATTTCTTCTTGTCTGCCCATTACTACATTCGATTTCACCCAAACAAAAGCACCAAAACCGAATAAAATAATGGCTGAATATGTCAGCCAAATATAACGGTGATTGTTGTCCAATCCATGTTTATTCACTATCTAAAAGTTAATTTGAACAACCGAAGACATAATTCTCTCACTTCCGAACGATAATTCCATTTTTGTGCAACACCACCAATGTTCAATTCTCGCGTTTCTGTCCGTCTTTTGATTCTTTCCTCGAGCAAATCCATTTGACTAAAAGAATTTTAACAATTTTAAGATGTTTTAGTGGATAAATTCACCTGATATCTCGTTGATCGGGGCCACGTTTTAGAGCTTCTGCAAGTGGAGGGAGATCGGCCTAGAGAAGGATTTAAAGAGGGGTTTTAGTTGAAAATATTACCTTCGCCGTACTACTCATCGGTTGTATTATACATAAACATGTTCGAAGTGATTTGTTGAATCCTGAACCACGTAGAAGCATCGTATCTATAAAGATCTGTAAAGAAAATCGAATTTAATGGAATTGAAATAAAAAGAAAAGTATTGAAAAGGGTTTGTACATTAAATTGAGAGGGTTTTTACATTTCTTTTTTTTAAAGTCTCATAATGGATGAGTGTGCAAAGGGTTGTTCGTTGCCTATGTTATGATAGAGCAAAAGCAAGTATTGAAGTGATTGAAGGCAGGAAAAATGAATGGAAAACATGAAAAGTTCCAAATAAAATTAAAAAAACACGTTTTAATACAAAATATATTTAAAAACCTATAATACTTGAAATGAAAGTTTGAAAATGTAGCATTTCTTGCCATTTCTGAAGCGCATAACCCACAAGCAACCATGGCAACAGGGAGAATTTTACACGGAAACCTTTTTAAATCATTGGCATTTAAAAAAAAATATTATTAATAAAAAATATTATTTTCTTATAATGAAAGCCATTTCCTACGTTTCAACGAAAATGTATGGATAACTATTTGGTGTTGAGTCGAATCGGACAGGGATCCTATGGGGTGGTGCTGAAAGCGAGAAATGTGCAGGTAATATGGAAATGATGCTGATGATAAACCTTCGTGATGATAAACTTGTTTATAAAAACTTTTCACCTCTTTCGTCCGTACGTTTTCTAATGACAATCAATCCGTCGCAATTTAATGCAAATTTCGGCTAAATTAATCCTTACAGTCCAAAAAGTCGAATTTTTTTTTTGGTTTAAAAATTTTTCCCCTCATTATTTTTGTTTTCGGGAGTGGGACAAATGCGACCTTTTTTTGCGCACCCGGACATTTGCGCACCTTTTTTTCCGCACTTAGCCCATTAGCGCACCTTTTTTCGCGTTTTAAAAAGCTCTAAAAGCTAATATTAACCAATTTCTATTCCAAAAGTTGTTTTTCTAGGTAATTTTAGGGCGTAGAATCGAAATTTTGGCATATCAGAGCTTGTAGAAGCGAACAGACGGAGTTATACAAAGAGAAAAATCGACAATTTTTTGTAATTTGATCTAGCCGTTTTGTCTTTCAAACTGGTTCCACACGCTCTGATATGCCAAAATTTCGATTCTACGCCCTCAAATTACCTAGAAAAACCACTTTTGGAATAGAAATTGGTTAATATTAGCTTTTAGAGCTTTTTTAAAACGCGAAAAAAGGTGCGCTAATGGGCTAAGTGCGGAAAAAAAGGTGCGCAAATGTCCGGGTGCGCAAAAAAAAGGTCGCATTTGTCCCACTCCCTTGTTTTCTTTTTTTGTGCATAACTAGGCATAGTAAAGCATGGGGGTGGGACAAATGCGACAGTGGGGCAAAGCATGAGGGTGGGACAAACAAGGTAGCATTTGTCCCACCCCCTAAAGCATAAAAAATAAAACAAAATTGGTTTTGAATGTATTTTGGCCCTGAAAGTTCAATTTAGCCAAAATTTCATTTAGCAAATGTAAATCAAGCCAAAAATTTCAAAAACGAGATTGTCGATTTGGAATTGAATTCGAGAAATTTCCCTTTTCAGACATCCGAGATTGTCGCCTTGAAAAAAGTGAATCTCCGCTCGCGCTCAAGACTCGACATTCTGCGAGAGTTCTCAACCCTTCGAAATTGTCACTCAAAACATGTATAATCAAAAAAAATGACTTAAATATCAAGTTGCAATGTTTAGATCGTGAAATTGATCGACATTTTCTGTAGCCAGGACACGTTGACGATGGTCATGGAGTTTGTCGAGAGAAATCTCAAGGTTTGGGTAAAGTGTTTACGGAAAACTTGTACTTACAAGTAGTTTTTGTTTAAGGAATAGAGAAATGCCTAATTGTAAGCTAGATATTTCAATTGCAATCTAGGAGTACCAAAACAATGAATCGTTCAGACCGTCATCAACGATCCAAATCGTGTCAACTCGGAGACGTCGGCTCGTTTCTATTTCTCGCAACTTCTACGCGGTGTCCGCCATTTGCATCAACTCGGCATCATGCATAGAGTGAATTTGAGGATTCGAAAAGTGAAAAGTGGATGCATTTTAGGATCTAAAGCCAGAGAATGTCCTTGTGAGTGGCGGGGATGTCGTGAAAATTGCCGATTTCGGACAGGCTTGTTTATATTTTGCTGATGATCTGAATAAGGAATATGAGGAGCAGGTGAGTGGAAAAAAAAACTCAAAATCGCCAAGAATCTAATTGTTACAGTAGTCCTGCAATTTGGCTTACAGTAGTCTTGGGAATGACTTTAGTTCCTCGAATTGAAAAACATGACTGAATCCGCAAAATACAGTCGAATTTCGATAAAACGAATTTGAAATTCTAAAACGTGCCCAAAATCTCTGCGTAGCTGCCCCAAGCAAATGCAATCAGTGGCTTGGGGTTGGGGCAGCTAATTTGAGGCAAGTTTTAGGTTCGTTATAGGCCCGAGCGATTCGTTATATCAAATTTCGATTGTATTAAGAAAGTCTATAAGATTTGATAGCTAGAATAAAAATCTCAAATTTCAAAGTGACTACCGTAATGACGCTGTCTGTCTAGCTGTCTGTCTCTACCGTAATCGCACTGTCTGTCTAGCTGTCTGTCTATTTTGCAGTATTTTTCCAGAATTCTTTTTTGATCCCCTATTTACTTTCAAGACTTTCAAGGACTTAAAAATATGTTTTTGTGAGTTTATCCAGTTGAATACAGTAACCCAATCTTCAAATTTTTAGTCTTTTTTATGAATTTATTTGGTTTAATCAGGTCGCCACTCGTTGGTATCGTGCTCCGGAGCTTCTCTTCGGCACTCGTCTCTATACACCGACTGTCGACATTTGGGCTACAGGATGTATTTTAGCTGAAATCTGGAATCGATCACCCCTATTCAACGTTGAGAAGAATGTTCTCAGTTACCGTAATCTTTTTTAGGGCCGAAATGATTTCGAGCAAATCGCGAAAATCTTCGAAATTCTCGGCACTCCCACTGCGGAAAGTTGGCCTACATGGACAAAGGTTTGTTAAGGAAAAATTTAAGCCTACAGGCTTGTTAGGCTTAAGTTATAGTTAGGAAAACGGAAACAAACGTAAACAATTCAGCTAGCCGACAGTCAAAAGGTGATTTTCGAGGAGAGGAAAGAGGTCGACAATTGGAGTAATGTTGGTGAGTGGGATTTTTAAACAATATCCATAGCCTTTTGCCTTCTTCTATAGCCAATTGCTATACAAAAAAACAAGTATTCTCGTAATCCAGCTCTTCTTGAGCTCGTAATCCTAAAAGGGATTGATTCTTGTTGTAATTTGATAGAAGTCAAATTCTTGACAAATTTGAGTTTCCCCAAATTCATCTCATTTTACAGTACCCGGTTCATCTCCGCTTTTCATTTCCCTGCTTCGCCTTCAACTCCGCCTTTGTGGATCATTGAGGTAAATGAATAGCTGAATATCTAGAGTTTTTCTTCTCTAATTCTTCAGATCCTCAGCCGATTCTCTGCTTCAACATGAGTTTTTCACTTTTAATACAGCTTCATCATTGCCAAAATCAAATAGTTCAAAGTTTTAATGTTTTTAATTCATTGTTTAAGAATAAAATATAAAAAAGAATAAAAGAATAAAAGAATAAAATAAGAAAAGAATAAAGATATTCAATTTGCGTATTTGGTGCTTTATGAAAGAGAAATATGACACTATGTCGTTTCATCAAAAAGTCGGTTCTTCTATATTCTTGAAGAATTCGCAAGAGAGATTCATTCACCCCCAAGAGAGCCCTAAAATCTCACTATAAAGATAACCAGCAATTAATCTTTTTCGTGGCTATTTGAGGGGGATTATTTTTGGACTAAAGTTATCTAGAATAGTATCATTTTTGAAAAACTTATGAATCAGAACACTATGGCAAGTCTGGGTATTCCAAAATTGATTCCATTTCCGGGTCAAGCCAACTCTGAGCTGACTCGAACTTGACCTGTTTTATATATCTACATTTAAGTCATAAAGCAAAGCCAACTTGGTCCAACCCTAGCCAAAGACTAGACGAAGACCCTATCTCTAGCTTGTCCTGGCTTTTCCAAGTCCAACTTTGCTTGTTGCCTTCTCTTCAACTCTTTACCTCTTTTCCTCTCAAGGCAAACAATTCGCTAATTGATTAAGGTTTACTTATAAAGCTAAACAAAAGCTATGAAAGGGTTTTTTTCTTTGTAAATCAGTTGTACTTCTTCCTTGCTACACCAGTTGTACTTATTCCCTCTCCTATGAAATCAGATCATGTGTGTTTTGTGTCAAAATGGACAGAAACATCGTCTTGTTCTCATTTTTCTTCATTTTCTTCCCTTTCTTCCCTTTCTTCCCTTTCTTCCTCTTTTTTCAATATTTTCTTGTGTGATTGACGCAGCTGTTCTCTCTAATTTTCCTTTTCTTGACAGAAAACATGAAACTCTTCTCTTCAACTCTTCTCTTCAACTCTTTACCTCTTCCCTCTTCCCTCTTCCCTCTTCCCTCTTCACCTCTTCCCTGATCGATACTCTAACATCTCACCAATTTACAAGTACTACAATAGAAAAGTATCTTTTTGAATGGAAACTTGTAAAATTTGATTTAATAAAGCTAGAGTAATTCTGTCATTTTCCCTTTCTCAACCGATTGAAGAGACATTGACTGATCGAGGTGATCTTTCCCATTGACATTCAAACACCTGTTCAGTTTTTGGTCAAACAAAAAAAGAAAATTTTGAAAATTTGTAATCTTTTATATAGAAATATGAAAAAGCTAACGCTTTAAATCATAAGATTAAGATTGAATACATTACAGGACTAACGATAAACGATTCTATGCCAACGGCTGGCTTTGCATTGGCCTTACTATGTAGGAAATGATCTGGATAGATAAGTAATGATAAAACTGGTCGGCCAGGCATCGCTTCTAACTGACTCAGAATATTTCTTGTGGAAGCTAGCGTTGGACTGGATCAGCAATGATTCAACTGGATCTCAGGACTTGTAGATCAGAAGCCGAACAGTCAAGCCAAGGCATGACTTCTGGGATCCGGCTGAGTCAGATCAAGACTAGAGTTTGACTGGGTACTCAAATAAAAACCAAGTTGCCAAGATGTAAGCCAAGCGTCAGGCTTGGCTAAACTTTTGTGAGCCAAACATTGGCTTGAGCGCTGGTGTCAGTCAAGTCAAGTTCTGGAATTAGGGGTGAACCAAGCCGGGTTCATTCCGGAGAGCCGGCTAAACTTAGCAGATCAGATTTGGCTTGAACAGATTTTGGTAGATAGAACAGATGGAACAGATGGAACAGAACAGAACAGAACAGATCAGATTTTTGGCTTTGAACATCTTGCTACACAAATGATGGTTTGCTTGCTACACACACAAATCATGGTTTCAGAATTTGATTTCTTTCTTCTCGTCTAAATCTATCGCCTAAATCCACTAAAAAAAAACCCTATCTTTACCTAAAAAGACTCAGAAAAAAAAAAGAAATAAATTGGGCCAACTAATTGGAAAAAAAACGGATATGAGAAAATGGGGATAAATAAAAAAAGAAAAGAGAAAAGAGATCTCAACACTCAAATAACCTCTAAAGGGATATCATTTTTCGTCGTCCTCAGAAAAAAACCCCCGTTTGAGATGATTAAATGGGTGAGTAGCAAAAGAAATGGCCAGATATTAACTTTAAATTACGAGAGGAAATTTAGAAATCCCTTTGGCTTCCTCACAAATTTGTTAGAAATTTATTGAATCTCTCAATCTTTTTAACCCAAATACCTTAGTCAAAAAGTTAGTGAAAGTTAGTCAAAGTTTTCTACTCACTGCTCTTTCTAGTCTTTGCCATTGAATAGACCTCACAATTGTTTCTCGTCGACTCCTTTGTTTCAAACTTTTTCAAAACGTTGTAAAGAAATGCTTGGTGTTTTAGAAGTAAAGAAAGCTAGAAAGCTAGAGCTAGCTAGGCTAGAGGGCTTGAAAACTAGAGTTGCTATTTGGGTTGATGTTGATGTTGATGTTCTTGAGGATCATATTCAAATGATGATCATGGTCATGTTCAAATGATGATCATGATCATGTTCAAATGATGTTCTTATCATGTTCAAATGATGATCATGATCATCTTCAAATCTACGGTATAAGGCTCTAAAGATCAAAGTATTTCTTCGTATCTTTATTTGAGCAAATGCAGTTTTGAGTTGAGGAGATTGTTAGTTAAATGGGTGTTGAACGGGAAGAGTGTTTGATTCATTGAGCCATGAGATCATTAGGGCCGTTTTAAGGGGGGAAAGGGGTGGATTGAGAATGCGAAAGAGAAACGATCTCGATTCCATTCCACTCAACCAAACTCTCTTTACCCCGTTCGACTTGAGCACACACTAATTTATGGCAAAAAGCCCTCATTTGCTGTCGGAGAGATTTCTAGATAGAGAACAAGTTCAGAAACACGATATTTTTAAGCTAAAGTTGGCTAGAGCTCCTGGAGCTCCTGAAGCTCCTGAAGCTCCTGAAGCTCCTGAAGCTCCTGAAGCTCCTGAAGCTCCTGAAGCTCCTGAAGCTCTTGAAGCTCTGAAGCTCCTGGAGCTCCTGAAGCTCTTGAAGCTCTGAAGCTCCTGAAGCTCCTGAAGCTCCTGAAGCTCTGAAGCTCCTGGAGCTCCTGAAGCTCTTGAAGCTCTGAAGCTCCTGAAGCTCTTGAAGCTCTGAAGCTCCTGGAGCTCTTGGCAATCAGTCTTATAGAGTTGAAAACCCAGAACTTAACGAGGATCTTGCACTATTGATCAAACTTGGGTTCTAGTTTTGTCAAAATGATTAAAATAGCTAGTCCAAATCCTTTTCAGGTATCGCTCTTTCTGAATTGTTGCCAAAAAAAATGCGAATCTCGTCCACTTTTCACCTCTAGCAAAAACCCATTGAGAAGAGCGCTAAAAACTAGCAGCTTTCACCACATTTTATCTATAGAAAGAGGAAAGCTTTAGTCTGAGTTCTTCTTTTCGATGCTGGGGGAAAGGGTGAGAGTTGTGACACACAAGGAATGGGATAAAAAGAGATTAGAAGGAGAGCGGAGGGGGGTGAGACCAAGGAGAGGGGGAGGATGGGGAGGAAGGGGGAGGGCGGGCAGGGTGGGCAGGGTGGGGAGGGCGGGCCCCCGAGGCCCCCTCCCTCAGTCACTCAGTCTCTTCAGGTCCCCACCGATGCGGGCTAAAGATGGGGAAATTCTTCCGCGCATTCCGCATCCAAATCACGATGATGTCATTCCGTGTACATCTGCAATATTTGTAGAGATGCGATCAAATGATTCCACAGATTCTCTACCATCAAATCGACAATTCCCTTTCTCATCGACCTCTCCTCCTCGGTTAAAATCCCGTCGACGAATTTCCCGATTCTGTTTCCCGTTACTTCTACTGTTCGGGCTTTTCTCTGGCGGCAATGCGTTGAAATGTTATTGCACTGATGATCACTGTGTACCGTTTGGAGCTTGTGAGGTTTGTGAAAACTTGGCTTGATGATTAGAGGCTTTTTAGAATAGCTCTTGTAATCTTGCTGTAGCTTTAGCTATAGATCTAATAAAGTCAGCTAGACATGTTCAAAATGAATCAGTTACTGATTCTTTCTCTCTTCCAGGGTCCAGCATGTCTTGTCGGCATTTTGCGCGACACAAATCAAGTGATTCGAACGTGTGGGACGAGGCCAATCGGATGCCATAAGTGAGTGGAGAATGATTCCTATCTAGATATCTCTAGATCTAAAGATCTAGCTAGCTCTAGATCTAAAGATCTAGCTATCTCTAAATCTAAAGATCTAGCTATCATTATAGTAAGAATATTGAAAGAAATTAAAGAGGCGAAGTGCTCGCTCAATACTACGGGTAAATCACATCAAGAATCTTCTCTTTTTCACTCGTTTTTTGTCCATTTTCTCTTCTAGTAACACTTGTAGCTAGTTTTTAAGTTTTTTTCACAAAAATTTCCGTTTTTTATGGTGATTAGTGATTTTTGTTGGTTGTAGAATATTGATAAAATAAGATTCTCATTGAACATGTTGGGATTTTGGCTAAAAACCGCTGACTGAATATCTTTCAAATTGCAGAAATGATATTCAGCTTTCCTTTAAATGATATAAAATAATCTTTAAATGATATTCAGCTTTCCCCTTGAAAACACTATTTTCCGATTTTGACGAAAATGCAAACTTTTTATTTCATTTTCTTTTTAATTCATTTTCTTTTTATTTCATTTTCTTTTTATTTCATTCTCTTTTTATTTCATTTTCTTTTTATTCCATTATCTTTCCATTCCATTCTCTTTCCATTCCATTTTCTTTGCTAAAACTCAAGCTAAAACCCGTTTCTATTCAGTTAACTAAGTAAGCTTTTCAGTTGAAAAGTAAAAATTGTCGAAAAATTTATTAGAAAAATTTGTCTGTGACTGACAGAGCAATTAGAGGATCGATTTCCGGGCAAAATTTTGACGGGACAATGAATAGAAAGAGGAAAGAAGGAGGGGGGATTGAGTAGTCTAAAGAAACCTCGATTAAAATGCAATGCATTTTGGAAGAACAATGGAAAGATCATGAATATTGCATAAGCTCTTAGTTCTGTAGGTCTTAAAGATGTAGAATGTTGAGATATTCAGCTATAGAGCATAATTTGTCGTATTGTTTTTTTTGATATAAATCATCTACAAACTATCGTAAAGTAATCATAAATGTGAGCGCATTTAAAAGCGCATTTATCGCGTAATGAATGCTTGTAGAACTCGTAGAACTCGTAGAACTCGTAAAACTTTTGTGAAAAAGAGCAAATTTCTCTTTTTTTCCCACCAACCCGTCATTCTTTTCAGCCGAATTGCAAAAGGGTAATTTTAAGGGAGAAACGAAGAAGGGAAACACGGGTAGAAAGGGGTACACCAATTAGTGGTATGCCTTCCAAAGCTCTCTCTCTCTCTCTCTTCTATTCATTCACTGGATAGCCTTGATCTTTTCCCCTATTTTCCCCTCTTTTCCCCTCTTTCTTCCCATTTTTTCCCCCCAAACCATTCCCATTCAATTGCTTTCTTCTTCTTCTTCTTCGTGTTATTCTCCTTTTTTTTCGGCCCCCCAAAATTACGCCACAATTATAGGAGGGAAATATTGCTTGCGGAAGAAAAGACAAAGCTACGATCGACATTATAGTTATAGTTAGAAACTATAAGAAAACTACAAGGTTATAGTTAGAAATGGAGTTAGAAATGGAGTCAAACCGGGTATCGAGATGACTAATTGATTTGGAAACTGTTATAATTGAGTCTCAAAAGCTCTAGCTTTTCTGGTAATGAGTGGGATTTTATAGCGCTTGGAAAGGAGAGAACTTTTCACATTGTTCATTGAATATTTCGTGATTAGCTTGTGATTAGGCCAAGATACTTGAGTCACACAAAATTAGGCTTCAACTCAACTGAATTGATTGACTAGATAGGGTTTATGAGTTGCAGAAATGTAAACGGAAAGTATAAAGTATCTTTTTAGAACTTTAGAGTTGGTTATCTAGGTTAAATCCTATCTAGTCTAGTATTCTATTTAAATCCATCAATTCTAGTCAATTCCATCAATTCTAGTTAGATCCATCAATTCTAGTTAAATCCATCAATTCTAGTCAATTCCATCAATTCTAGTCAATTCCATCAATTCTAGTCAATTCCATCAATTCTAGTCAATTCCATCAATTCTAGTCAATTCCATCAATTCTAGCTAAATCCATCAATTCTATTTAAATCCATCTACTCCTCCATCTACAGATACTCTGAAATTTCCAATTCAATGAAGTTTTTCATTCTTTCAAACTTCTGAAAGCAAACTAACATAGCAAACTAGTAAAACTATGAGATTTTGATGCAGAAAATATCAATGTTATATAATGTATAATATAACTCTAAGTTGATTTAATAAAATTATCGAAACAAATCTTTTCAGGTATATTTCTAATATTTATTTAAAAAAGGTGAACATAAACTTTTTAGCTTTATGAAGTATAATAATGTTGTGTGTTTGTGTGTGTCCCTTTCCCCTTTCCCATCTCTTTTTTCCCCCCATCCAGCTTCTCGGATTTCTTCTCCTTTTTCCCGTGGACGGGCTGACCTCTTTTTTTTTCTCAAAAAGGGTGGGAAAATTTTTGAGTGACAAAGAAAGTGAAGAGATATATATCTCTTTTCTTTATCAAGTACACCTTACTTTCAACAAGAGAAACAAGGAAAAAAAAAGAGATAAAGAAACTAGGGATTTGAAAGAGTTCAAAATTGAATCAGTAAGAAGTAAGAAAGGGTTGATAAAGGATCTCGATATCCCGATTCAGGATATCGAGAAGAAATAGAATAATGGATATCTTTCTATGGGATAAGGGGTCAATCTTTTCAATAGCAAAAGAAAGGGAAAAGTCAGAGAGATCTCTGAAGATTCAATTCTCGACTTTCTTTTCTTCGAGTGGGGAAAAGAGAAAGCTGATTGGAGAGAATGGGAATAGAATGAGAAAAGGGATACTCACAACAAGCAGCATTTGCATTGCCAAAAAAAAAGGAGACAACTTAGTTGCTTCTTAGGGGAAAGGGAGTTGAGTAATCGGTCATGAATTGACTCATTTAAAGGATGATTTTGAAAGAAATCCGAATAATTTCAAATGTTTAAGGCTTTGAGCTGAGATTCGTTGTTAGGTAAGGTTGGAATAAGGGAACCAAATTTGTAGAGAAAAGGAACCAAATCTGAAGAGCATACTCAATCGAGCTCTTAACTTTACCAAGCAGCAATGTTTTCTCTGTAATTTGTATCTGTAAAAGTCCGGATCTCTACGCAAGCATACAAAGAACGAAAAGACGACTACGCGACACTCCAATAGATAGTTCATAGTACTGTCATGTGCCTACATCTTTTTCTTCTTTGTTTGCTTGCGTAGAGATGCGGATCGGATTCGGATCTCTCTGATCTGTAAGCCAGGCAATGCATGGAGTAATGGAACTCAAACCAATTAAAATTCCAATGAAATTCCAATTCAAAACAAATCCTTACCAAGCAGGAGTCTTTAAAATGTTCGTATCATTCTCTGTTTTCTCTTTGAAGGTTCCGTACTTCCTCATCATTGACTTCATCATCCCAAACGGGATTCTACGAGGATATTGATATCGAAACATATTGGTGAGTGAGAACAAATGAGAGCTGAAATCAAATGAGATTTACTGTGTGTTTATGGCTTTTCACTTCCACAATCTGATATCCATTTCTCTTTCTTTTTTTTCTCTTTTTCTCTTTCAATCATTCAGCGAAAATTTGAGCTTAGCTGAATATTCAGTCTGATATACTGTAGATCATTATCTTACTGTAGATCATTTTACTATTTTACAGTTATAAACAAGCAAATGATATTAAATTTTGACTTAGCTTAAAAGTACTGTAAAAGTGTGAGCTTAAAAGGCATATGCAGTAAACGTATGCAGTAAACGTATAGATATCCAAGCATTACACTGGATATTCAATCTGATATACTGCAGATCATTATCTTACTGTAGATCATTTTTACTATATCATTATCTTTCTCTTAAATCTTTCCTCTGATCGCTTTGTCGCAAGTAGTCGGCTTTTTTTTGTCCAAACACTGTCCAATTGGCTTTTGTTGATAAATTTCACAGCTTTTTCTGTACCAAACACGATTCTCTGTGCTTTTTTCGAGGTTTATGGTAGTTGATGATTGTCGAAAAAGCGCTCTATTGAAATAGATTTCTAATTTGATCAGTTTCAGGAACAATCCATGGAATTCGTGGGTTGAATAGGAAAAAGCTTCGGGAAATCAGCTAGTATTGCTGAGATTTTAAGTCTATAAGGTAGTAGACATGGGGAAATCCCAAGGTCAACCTAATTTCACATTTGTTTTCTTGACCGATTGCCCTGAAATTTTCTCTACAGATAGAAATCGTCATTTTCAGCTTGTAGACAAAATTGCAGGGCAATCCAGCCAAGAGATGGCTGAGGAAACGAAGGTGGAATTAGGTTTAGCTTGGAATGTCGATAAGGTATTACTACCGTATTTTCTCTAATAGTAGTGCACCCTGAGCGTCGCCTAAATTGCTTGAAATCTCGAGAGCCGCTTATCAGAACCTATCGATGTGGGATCGGAAAATGTAGCTCACGATGAGATCTAGTGGGGGATTTGAGTGTTGGGCTTCTGCAAAAGCTTGGAAACCGTAAAAATAGTCACCAACTCGGCTCCGGCGAGCCGAGTTGGTGACTATTAGAGAAAATACGGTATATCTAATTATATCAAAATCAGATACTCATTTCTTAATAAATATCTCATAGATTGCATTATTATCAACAAGAAACTGAATAAGAATTCATTGATACAATTTGTTTTATCCTTTCGAAACTAAACCGGAGATCACATTGTTTTCCAGTTTAAACTTGATTTATTGACTTTATTTGATTTCAAATTCAAATTGAATACCATCAACCTGTTTATTATCAATAGAATTATCAATGCAATTATCAATGCAATTATCTATTTAAAATTAAACAATCAATTAAACAAACATTTGAAATCAATTGAAAGTACTTCTTTAAAATAAAAAATCTCCTGTCTTGCCTAGGTAAAGTCTAGGTAAAGCCTAGGTAAAGCCTAGGTAAAGTCTAGGTAAAGCCTAGGTAAAGCCTAGGTAAAGCCTAGGTAAAGCCTAGGTAAAGTCTAGGTAAAGCCTAGGTAAAGCCTAGGTAAAGCCGTTCATTTTTCATAAATGCAAATTTTTCCCTTTAGAGTTTCAGTTCTATGAATGAAGTAAAATAAAAGAAAAGAGTGAGATGTTTAGTAAAAGATTCTAAAAGAAAAAGAAAGAGAAAGAGTAAATTTATAGGCCATCTGGGGGGTTAAGAAATGGCCAATAGATAGACCAACTCTTTTCCTCAACTCTTTTCCCCAAAACTTTTTTTCTTTTAGATGGATTTCCCGTAGAAGAGGTGGGCCTCAATTTCTTTCCCTTTTCCTTTTTTTTGAGCCGTTCCACTTCTTCTTCTTCTTCCTTTTTTCTAGGTTAAGACCTTCCCATTTATCTTTTTCTTTCCCTTTTTTTGTTTTGGAAGAAAACGAGAACGGGAAAACTCTTTTCTTGGTGGGGAGGTGAGTGAAAAGTATAGGTTACAAGAATGGAAACATTGATCATTCTGGTATCTGTTTTACAAATGAAAGCTAGCTTAATAGCTATTAGAGCCATCCAGTACTCTAACGCTGAACAGATCTCCACAGGGATTTCCCAAACGGATCCTAGGGTCAGGGGAAGTAAGACAAAAAAAAAGATTTATGTGAAAATTCTTCTCCTTAAAGATTCTTATCCAGGGATTTTAGTCTTAGCCAGCCTAGAATCTGATTTCTTAAGTACTGTACACAGTACGTAAGAACCAGAACAGTACTTAAGAACTTCTTCAAAACCAACCTTATCAGAAACCAGACCTAGCAACTCAAGCTTGGCCTAACTTCAGCCTAAATTTTTGTGGCTAGTATCACTTTACTATAGTGGATTCTTTTCCTTCTAACAAGTATTTATAAGCTTTTAAAATCCATTCAATCTATCTAGACTTTAACTTTTTCAATTGCCGTTAAAAATAGGCCTATAAAATTGATCTATAAGAAATGAAAGAGAAAGAGAAAAAGGAAGAGAAAAAGGAAGAGAAAAGGGAAGAGAAACCCCCAAAATGGCATAGGTTTTGTGGTGGAGAGGAATTCGAGGATTCTTTTTTTCTTTTTTTTTGATGGGTTTTCATTTCGTGTGCTCTTCACCCAAAAAAGAAGAGATTCTCGAGGGAATTTGATGGAATGCCTCTTCTGTTCCTCTTCTGTTCCTCTTCTTTTCCTCTTCTTTTCCTCTTCTTTTCCTCTTCTTTTCCCAGCGAACTCCTCTTTAGAAAAAGCTTTAAACTAATCGAAAGGGGAATAGAAATAGATAATAAAGTATAAGAATTAATATCGAGGCAAATGATGGCTGATTAATCAAAATCAACTAACTAATCTAGACAAACTCTTTCTAGTGCACTCAGGCAACGCTTTGGGATTTATTTCTAATTGAATACTCTAAAGAAGATTCGTTTACACTTTCTGGGCAAAAAGTACGTCCAAGTAATGATTATTTCCTTTTGAAAAATTTTTGTTGGCTTATCAGAAGTTTACCGACCCTGGAAAAGCTATCGTAAATTTTACCTCTTAAAATTTAAACCATTAGTGAACTGGTTAAAGTTTCGCGTTCAATTCAATCCATTAATCGCTTAACTTTAGCTATTCTTATTTTGTTTTGTTCAAAAAAAATTCTTAGGGATTTCCATAGGGACGGGGAAGGGGATGGGGAAGGGGGAGGGGAAGGGGACGGGGAAGGGGGTGAGGAAGGGGAAGAGGATGGGGAAGGGGATGGGTGACAAACTCGTCAAGAAAAACGAAATTTCGGAGGGTTTCGGAAAGAAAATATGAACAAAGTGAAGTTTTTGAAACTCGAGGGAAATACTCATAAAGATAATGAATCCCAGTCATTATTTTGCGATTAGCAAAGACTTTTCCTTTAAACCTGGACCTGGAGCTTGTAGTTTAAGGATTGTACTTAAAATTTAGAGTCCCCAGAGTCCAGATTTACAGTCCGTAACATTGAAAGACATTTAAAGGTAAGCTAAAGCTCAAAATCTGAGAGGAAAATTGATGAGAAGCAAAGCGATGCGATTTTTGATCATTAAACTTTTTGTCCAGCTTTGTCTAGCTATAAGTTTTGTGTTGAAGCTAGAGCTGAATCAGTAAATCAGTAAAAACTGAAATGATTTCTCTAAAATCAGAATCTTAACCACTAATTTGAAATCATGAATCTCTTGTTGTAGAATTGCTTTCCTCTAGCTTTCCTCTAGCTTTCCCTTTTTCTTCCTTTCCCTTGAACCCTTCCACTTTCATGAATAATAATGAAACCTTTCTGGCCTTACTCTTTTTCCCTTTAAATCATAATGTAGGAAAGTTTTAAAAACAAAAAAATTATACTAATTACCAAGCCTGGTCTTAAAAACTGCAAAAGTTACCCGATTTGGAGTTGCTGATTCCAGGATTCCAGGATTCCAGGATTCCAGGATTCCAGGATTCCAGGATTCCAGGATTCCAGGATTCCAGGATTCCAGGATTCCAGGATTCCAGGATTCCAGGATTCCAGGATTCCAGGATTCCAGGATTCCAGGATTCCAGGATTTTCAAATATCCAACCATCCACCTTCCAATACCAGTATCAGTCTTAATATTCCCAAGTGCTCAACTAAAAAAACTAACTCAAATTATCTAAAACGCTTCGTCAAGTCAGTATCATTTTTTAACTTATCAAAAATTTGCACTTTGAAGTGGTTATCGTCGTGAAAACAGAAAACACTAGACCTGAGGAATTTTTGGTGGGAACGTCAATAGATGTCCAACGGAAAAACGCCATATTACAGCCAATTTCACTCTAATCTTTTTTTGCTTTTAATATCAATTAACGCAAAATTTCATTTTCTATCGATTGAAATGAAAAGCAAAAAGATTAGAGTGAAATTGGCTGTAATATGGCGTTTTTCCGTTTGACATCTATTGACGTTCACATCGAAAACACAGGAATTTCTCGTGAAATGTGTGATTGATTGAGTAAATGAAGAGACGAAGATTATTTGGAAAGTTTTCAGGGACGATGATGAGAAATGGACGGATCTGTGCGCGTGTGATCAACCGTTTTGCAATACGTTCTCGTATTTGAGGTACGGATGGACGGGGGAAATCGATGATTAAAGCTAATAAAGCTAATAGAGCTAATAAAGCTAACAATAAAGCTAATAAAGCTAACAATAAAGTTATTGATTGGAATTTGTTGCTTTTTTCAGATCACACACCCGAAAAGAGACGGGTATCCCGTCGGAGGATACTCCTTTGATATTTCAACGAATGGATCGACCCGATGATGGGCATTATGTAAATTTTGACTCTTTTATCGATAAAGTCGCATTTATAAGTAGATAGACTATAATAGACTATAATAGAGCATTTCTACCGTACCCGAGGCACTGAAAATAAGAAATCCGCCGCTTCTTCTGAATAGCTATCCAGTGAACCAGTGAATACTTTAAATCAATGCTTGTCTGCTTTTTCTTGTCTACCCTACTACCAGTCTGTACGGTAGCACGTGTCCCAAAAAAGATCCCTAGCTCCGTAAACTATTGCAAAATCGTATCTGCACATAGCTTTTCCCTTTTCAGCATATGCCCGGCCCGGATGCGCCACTTTCCACTCGAAGTTCGATGCTGACGACTCTTTTAGTGGTTGTTCCACTCACCGTCGGTGGAGCTGCCATTGCGGTAAGTGGAAAGAAGTGAAAGTATCTGAAAATGACAGAAAATTATTGAAAACTAGTGTACTAAGGCATTTGCTTAGTCACAGAGAGAGATCTTCAAAAGATGGAACGTGGTGGCGTGTGGAGAAAAGGCAAAAGGGGGAAACCTCGTTATTCGGCCATTGCGTGCCAATGTGAAAGAGAAAGATAGTCAGAAAAGAGCTCCACTACAACTATCGCCTAATCAAAGGTGTCTTTCGGGGGTGCTTTTCTTTGACTGAACTCTCTTTTGAAACTTGAAAGCAAAAGAGAAGAGGGGAGGATGGCCAGCCGGCTGTCGGACGCCCGCTCGAACTCGATTATATTTGTCCCCTTGCCTCCCTCACTCACTCACAACACACAGCTTCACTTGCAAGCGTTTCTTAATTTGTTCATCTCTAGGCAAAAAGAGAAAGAAAGGGAGAAGCCAAAAATGGCCAACGGCTAAATTTAGTACACTTTTGTAGCTTTTTAAGAGAATGAAAGAGAAACCTTTAATAGAGATTACAGTATTCTTTTTGTACAATTGTAACTTTGTAACAATGGATACTGTATTAGTATCCATTGTTTAAACTATTGAGAAAAGTAGCTCATCCATTGAAACATCCATCAAATGATTTAAATTTCGAAAGCTACAGTACCCAACGTGTACTTTTTTTAATTGTGTTTTTTCCAGAGCACTTTTTAGAAAACGAAAACACAGTTTAGTCATTTCTTATTCACTTTCATGGTCATCTGATAAGGGAAAAATAAGGGAATTTTATGTTATTTTTCTGAAAATAAGGGAATTTTATCAGAATTCAGATTATCAGAATTCATTTCGGGCAAAAACCCGAGTTTTTGTGGATTTGGTGAAACCAGGCGAGAAGCGAGAGAGAAAACAGAATAATTCAAAATGTTGGGCGCTTTGGAGGAAAAAGGGAAAAGAGACAGGGATTGGGACGGGTGAAAAAGCACTGAAAATACCTAGGAAACACAATGGATTCCCTGCCTTTTTCACATTTCAACTTCTCCACCCAACATTTTTGAATAGGTTTTCAAGTTGAAGCACAGGGGTGGTGGAAGGTGAAAAGTGGAAACTCTTGAAAATAATAGAGGAAAAATATACGTACAAAAAGTTTCAGGTTGTCGCTTTCAACTACTACTGCCATCTATGCTAGGAGAAGAAATCAATAAAGTGAGAGAATTCTACTAAAAATATTGAATAATCAAATCCCTTTCAGATCTCGCTTCCAATCAATTCATATCTCATTGAGTGCCTTCAAGAATTCTATTCACAAAAACTCTTCCCACTAAAATCTTTCGGCAACTCTTTCTTGTCTTTTTTTGATCAAATATTTATCCCAAGTGCCTTCATTATATCTTTTCCATTATGCAATTCTCGAATTTGGACCAATCTCCTCTCTTTTCTATATGGGTTTATCAATATGATCTTCATACTTATTCTAGTTTATCTTCATAATTGTAGTATCTAAAGCATTTACTTCATCATCATCATTGTCATCTATCAAAACTGCCTCCTTGACGTATGTCGCCAAACAAGGAAAAGATATTGTTTGTCACTCAATCTCTCTTTTCTATTTCCTCTACTTGTCAGCTTTGTTCTTTCTCCCAGAGTCATTACATATTGAAGGGGAAATGCCAAACCAGGCCACAACATACGAATGTATGAATCTAGTCTTAGGGATACGATAAATATTTTGCCATTGCGGGTCTGCTTTTACATATAGATTTATTTCATAACATCCATAAAATGCACTTACAATCAGAAAAGCTTCAGAGATCTGAATACGTTTTTCACCTCATCTTTCGAATACGGTTTGAGGGCCACACAAACCGGCATATCGTCTTCAATCCAAACCTAAAAACAGAAACAATCAATAGTCGGACATGAAACGTACTTTATGATCTAGCTGTTTTTCTTCGAGCTTCTTGATTACTTGTGCGAGTTCGTCGGGACTGTCGACACCAAGAGTTACCTGAAGCAAAAGGACAATGGCATATAAAAAAATGAACGATACTTTATGCATTGAGTCCAGTTTGCTAGTGTATTCTGCAACATTCGGATCGTCTCTAAAATATTAGTTTAGCAATAGCCAAAACGAATGACTTAACAAAATAATTTTGAAAAATTCAAACCTGTAAATCCAAATCGCCGCAGAAGCAGCATGCGCTGTTTGAGTAGCCTTAAATATTTTTGTTAATCTTTTAGTAAACTCAAAGCTCATTACCACTGCACCAATTGGCCAATTCAGCGGTTCTTTCAGGAGATCCTTTAAAAAATTTTTGTTCAAAAGTTGAAATAAAAATTACCCGTCGTAGCACCAAATACATCACAAGAGATTTTGAGGTCATTCTGAAAATTCTGAAATTAATAACACACATTACCAATAATTTAGCAGAAAATTGAGTTAATCATTGACAATAAAACTCAAAAAGACGTACTTGAAACAAAACTTTATTCACATCTACAATTCATTCTCGATGGTTTTAAGGAAGCCATCACAACATCGCTGACATTGTTGGAAAACTTGATCGAACATTTCGGTCCCCGAAAAATAGTAGGGGTCTGGAACTTCAGATGTACCTAAATATTTTTGATGATCTTTTAGGTAAGCTCAAAACTCATTACCTTGTGGATCATAGTCAGAGAATTTTTCCAATCGAGCAATCGATTTATCTCCTGCCAATCGTTGCAATTCCTTCAGGTCGCTAAGATAAAAAAAAATTAAATAAATCCTCATGACAATAAGAAACTTTGTACCTGATATTGCTATCATCCATTCCAAATATCATATCGAATTTCTTGAAGTCGGCCGTTGAAACCTGAAAAAGAAAAATGAGGTGTACTTAATAAAAAAACTACCTCACGGGCTCGATGATCATAATCAGTAAGACCGAACTTTTGCAGCGTTTTGAGGGTTCGACTTTCGGGACGCTTTCCAGTGTGATACCCAGCGACCGCGGCGCTATCCACCAAAAACTGAAAAGAAACCATAATATTTTTAAAAATAAAACCTTTTAAACCTTCTCAGTTAAGTTTCGTTTCTTCAATAAGTCCAAGAAAACCGCTTCAGCAATCGGCGATCTACAAATGTTACCTAAATTAGAATTATCTAATGGCAAATAATAGAAAAATTACCCAAGCAAATGAAGAGCACTCCATATTTCTTGTCCTTTTCACCCATTTTTTGTGTTTCTAAATCAAAAGTTATTTATTACAAAGTACAAAATTTTAATACAAATTAAATTTTTTAAGTTCTCGATACACAGTCTTTTCCTCCCCAACGATACTAGAAACGTTCGTACACAACCACCAGCTAACAATCTTTTTTTTTCCTTCACATGCCACCGATATAATAATAAGCAACCATTATGTGTATCGTTTTCGCGGACTCAATGTCAATTTTATGATTGGGCCTTATTACATAGAAGATGGATGACACAACGGAAATTAGTTTTTCATTTTTCTTCCGTGGTTTCAATGCATCGTAAGTCAATCAACATGTCGACAAAACTTAAAAAATCTATTTTAGAAAATTTGTTCTCTATGGGTGTCTTCTATCATTTGCGGGTTGGTTTATGGGGTTTTTTTCAAATCACAATTTATTTACAGTGCTGCTAGCTCTTCAGCTGGACCATTATATTCAGCTTCACTTTGCATTTATTTTCCTCCCGTTATGGATCTGCACAGGAATTGTTGTTATTGCAGCAATTACTGGAGTAATATCTTTCGTTCTCAAACCGCCATCAATGTAATATTTCTGGAAAATAAAAAGATAATAAGAAAACTATTTAGAAATGACATTCAACTGAGGGTGGATTTCGGTGGGTACACAGATGGTTTGATTAGCATTATCCTGCCTACTCAGAAAATCCATGCAGAAACTATCTAAATCCTTTCAACTTTACAAAAATCTTTAGCCGCGATGTTGCTAACAACCATCGAGCATGTGATCCTCTGTTCATTTGAAGTTCTCATCTTTTACAAGCTGGAATACGCCCCGGATGATCCACAGTTTTCGTAAGTACCGGTTTCGTAAGCCAAAACCTAACTTAAAATCTAGATGGATCTTTGTTTTCACTCCTTTGTTCTGCTTATCAATCTTCGCGATCTCATTATCAATTTGGGCCATTAGACACGATAAACCTTTTGAAGTAAGGCTATGCCAAAATCTGAAATCAAGATTTTTAGCTCGAATTATTCTTCTCTATTAACATAGTGCAGTTTGTTTTTATTGCTTTCAAATTGGACCAACAGGTGAGTCAACCGCAAATGAATGAGCAAAGATATCCAAACAGATCGATTGGGGATGGGCAGTGGTTTTCATTCCGCTTTGGGTGGTCCTCTCCTTGTCTGTTGTGGGAGTTCTTTACGCCTTGATTCTTGCTGTTCTTCTGGCGCGAAGCAGACATTTGCTGCATCGGTGAGGAAGCTTATAGAAAACTCACGCCTAAGAATTTAGAAGACATCATCTTTATTCCGCAGTTTTTCACACACTTCTTGTGATTCCAGCGTTGGTGTGCCTAGTTCTTTTGACAGGTAAAAAAATTCAAGAGCAAGAGACATTTAACAAACTTTAGGAAAGTTGGAGGCCCTGCATCAAAGCGAGGAGATTCCATATACGGTGGTGATCACTCCATTGGCTGTCTCTTTGTTCTGCATGATGTTAATGGCCTGTGGAAGGTTGAATCTCAAAAGTAGCCGGGTATAAATCAATTTTAGTCGCGGAGGGAATATTTGGTGGTTCGGCTTGAGAGCGCCGGTGTGTACGTGGCTTCTCGCTGCATGCCCTTGCATACGAGTTTACGCCAACGTTAGCTACCGCATTGGAGCCAAGAGACCGTCGAGGTAAAAACGATGATAAAGGGTTCACTCCAACACGTGCTTCAGTAATGCTGGTGAGCCACCGCCGTTACTTTCAAGCGAAGAGACCGAGCGTGGGCAGAAGCAGATCGTACAAATCAGATACATCGAGAGTCCCGATTAACTTGTTAAAAATTTATCGCTAAAGAAAATTCTGATACTCCACTGTACATAAGAAGACGCGGTACTAATAAAGTTGGGGGGGGGGCAATTTTTTTTCTTTGAAACCACTTTTTCTAGGGTGGTTTTATGCGTAGATTCCGAAAAACACAACGAGAACTTGGGAAAATGGGTTTTAAGCCAAGTTTCGAGGCTCCAAAGTGCGCGCTTCTATAGTGCACTTCACTATATGGAGCCCAAGCTATCGACTATTGGGGCACTTTTCGAGGTCAAAACTAGAGCCAAAACCATTTTTAACCACTAAATATTCATTTCCTAACTTAAATTGACTGGCAGAGGCAAAATGAATTGGGAAATATTTTGAGATTTTGACTCATGGACGAGATTTAGAAAAAATATTTTTTTTTGCTTCAATTTGATCAGAAATGTAATCATTAGGTTAAATTATGGCAGAAGAGGGGTTTTCGGCTTCAAAAAATGTTTTGAGAGACCATTTTTAGACCTCTTCCTTATGTATTTCCCGCTCATCACACTCTATAAGCGCGCACTTTGCAGCCCCGAAACTCGACTTAAAACGCCTTTTTCGAAGCTCTCGTTGTGTTTTTCGGAATCTACACATGAAACTACCCTAGAAAAGGGGGGTTTTAAAGAAAAAAAGTCCCCCCCCCCCACTTTATTAGTACCGAAAACGCCGCTAGCTTGTTTCAATCAAATTCTAGTCTCGGCTAGCTTTACACTTTTTGTACATAAAACCAATGTATATTCCAGAACTTTGTGATTTGCGTATTTAATAAAATTGAATCTTATCATCAAGTTGTATTGATAGTTCAACGTTGTATTGACAAAAAGTATACCTGTTGTCGTTTCTGCTGTTCAATGTTCCTTCTTTGCCCTTCCCGACGAATTGTACTATTCACATAGACGACTCTAAAATAAAAAATACTTAAAGTTATACAAAAAACTAATTAAAGATCACTAACTCAAACAAAAGAGACTAGAAGAAAACGAGTAACGGAAGCAAAAGTTGAGTAAATAAATACTCGCATTTCTGAGGATTTAATAATACCCAATTTGATAACAGGATATCTTATTTCTCAAGATTAACGTTAGAAATTTTGCTCTACCTTTCTCTTACTGCTGAATTTTTCTCTATTTTTTTTACTACGCAATAAACTCTTGTTTTTCCAGGACATTCAACCATCATTCTTGATGAACAACTCGTATCTCCGATGGGCGATCAATATTCGGGAACTCGAAAGATCGGTCAACTTTGAGAATTTCTACCGTTTCGCCGTGCAATGTGTCACCGAAAAGGAGTACGAGGAACATCGAAAGTTTGTCTACAAAGACGATTCACTCGCTTGTCTCGTGAGTCGTTTGTTGGCGAGGAAATTTGGTGCAATCGCTACAACGAGTCAATGGAATCGAGTGGACATACAGAGAACAAAACGCGGAAAACCGTTTGTGAATAGTCCGAGTACCTCACAACGATTCAATATCTCGCATCAAGGAGATTATGTAGTGCTCGCCTCGGATTCTCAATACGAAATCGGAATTGATGTGATGAAAATCGATGAAAGAGAAGATGCGACAGCCGATGAACATCGTCAAAAAATGCAGCGTCTTTTTACGCAAGGAGAACATTCGTATATGGCATCAAGGAGCGGTGAATTCGAGAGATGGAAAGCGTTTTACAGGATTTGGACTCTCAAAGAAGCTTTTCTAAAAGCTACAGGAGAGGGGCTAATAAATGATCTTAAAAGAGTGGATTTTCAAGTAGATGAACGCGAGAATGAAGCCCAGATGAAATTGGGGACATCGGTGAGAAAAGACGGGATATTGCAAGAAGAATTCATCTTTGAAGAGTCAAGTATTGATAATCGCCATGTTGTTGCCGTTGCAACGATTATCTCAGTGAATTCTGCTCGAGATCCCCGATTGAACCTATTAAAATCAAACCCTTTTCATTTTCAATCATTATGTTGGGAAAGGCTACTCGACGATGCTCAAGTACTTAACCCACTGATAGATTCGGGGATCGATGCATATAGCCATATTTTGAATAAGTGTTGGAAGCCATTCTAGATATCGCTACAGCATTTTGCCACAGTTCATTTGAGCTTATACTTTTTGGATGTTATTTTTGATTCTCTCAATTCACACTATTCACGATTAAATGTTTATAAATTTAGATTTCATGCGACGATCGTCAAACATATGCTAAACTTTTACGACGTGCTGAAAATTCAACCAGAAGCTTCTTTTGAAGAAGTCAAGAAGGTATTTTGTTGTCTATTTAATTTTTAATATTTTCAATGTTTAGGCGTATTTTACTTTTCTACGACGCGTGCATCCTGACAAAAAACACGAAGAAGCTGACCCGACAAGTGTCACGCTGGCAACACTCATTTGGAACACTTTAAAGGTTTGCAAATTTTAAAAACTTTCTTATTATCTTCTTCAGGATTCAACAAAACGCCGTGAGTACGATCTATTTATTCGAGAGCAAGAACTACGCGCGAAGAAAGTAAAGAGTCTGATAAAATGTTCTTTAAGAGTAACTTTAGGGAACCATCATCGAGCAAGTCGTGATTGACGCAAAAGACGTCGAAATTGAAGAATATTGTCGCTGTGGAGATCAATTTCTTGTGAGATCCAGTGAGGTAAGTATTGAGTGACAAAGCTGGGTTGACCCTGGTTAAGGCTGAGCAAATTGTCGATCGAGGAGTTTTCGAGTGTGCAAGCTGCAGTCTTTGTTTGGAAGTGATTCGGCAGAATAACGATTATTTATAGTAAGAAAAATGTCTCTTTTTAAAAATTATTCCTATTTAGATGTTTACTTCACCAGCAGCTGACTCGTCTTTTGGAGCAGACGAGAATCGGATTCGTCGTTCGACCGCAAAGATTGTCGTGTTGGGCGAAAGTGGTGTCGGGAAAAGCTCTCTATGTGCATCGCTTGCAGGAAGGTAGGTTCACTCAAATTTAATTACTTTTTTGCTATCTTCAAGTTTTTAGTCTTGGCGAAAACCACTCAAGCACGGTTGGAGCAAAAATTTCTCTTGTTCGTCACGCGTACCGAGCAGGTGGGATTAATTGTCACTAATACGTGATTCAACTTATGTTTAGGTACTGTCGAATCAAGAAAAGAGCTCGTTTCTTTGTGGGACATTGGTGGACAAGCTGCACATCGACAAGCATCCGCGGTTTTTCTCGATGGAGCACATGGAGCCATTTTAGTGAGCATTAATGTTTTTAAAACCAATTTAAAGTATTAGGTACACGACCTCAGCAATAGCAAGAGTGAGGAAAATCTCTGGCAATGGATGTCTCTTTTGGATCCGGAAACGGCGAAAAGGTTATCGTTTTTTTTCTAAAGTTAAATTCACTTTTAGAACACCTCAAATGGCTCGTCCACTCCTTTCTTATATCGAAAGCGCCCATATCCCAATATTGTTGATTGGAACGAAAGCAGATCAGGCACCAAATCGAATTGCGAACAAAGGAGAACGGTGCGAGCTTATCGTCTCTTGTTCTTGACATCATCAGCTATTTCAATGTTCAGATGCCCATATGAGCGAATCAACGTTGACTGTCGTCGGGCGATTGCACCCGGATCAACAAACAGCATAATTTTAGCCAGGTAGGAATTTTACGAACGATGTTCTAGCTACAATCGTATTCAGGTTTTTCGATTCAGCCATCGACCGTGTGACCGCGCCAATTGCCGATACAAAGAGAAGGGTATTTTGGCCGACCTCATGAATCCCATGTTCTGTGATATTTTACTTCGCTTATCAGTATAATGTTGTTTGTTTTATAAACGTTCTTTTTTTTAAAATCCCATTTTATATCGCATTCAGTAGACTGGATAGGAGAGTTGAATTTTCTCAAATTAATAGTGAGATCCAATACTTATCCAAAAATCCGAAACTAAAACTGTAATGCCTTTCACACATATAAAAACCCATAATTATAAGTTACCGGCATCTTGGTGATTTACCCGTCTAATCAAAACCAGCCCATCACAAAAACATTACATCACATATGCATCACAAAAACCATAAAGGAAAACAAAAAAACTAATAACAAAAAAACCAAAAAATTTCTAAGGTAATATGTCCAAACGTTAAATTTTTCGCTTTTTGGGTGGAGGTCCGTCGCCCAATCCGCGTGACAAAATGAGACCATTTACCTAAAAAAAATAGTTGTTATTAATCTTCTCAAAACTCAATTAATTGTCGAATACTTACAGCCATTTTTGTGCCCAGTGATGCAACCTCATCTCGCAGCATACTTTTGAGTTCTCTTTGTAGCATCAGACATCGAAGCGTTTGCGTTACATCCTGCGACAAAACATCATCTTTTTATCTAGCTTTTAATCATACCTGTGTATTATGCTTTGTCAAAGATGCAATGTGATCGTTCAATTGAGTTATTTTTTCCCTAAAGAACGTAGTAAAACAAAAAAAAAGATTAAAAATGAACTTGAGACGGTCCTCATTTTCTCGGAGATCACTTAAGTCCCTAATGTTTGTCCTAAAAATGTACATCATAGATTCACATAAAGAAATTTCACAAACCCTAAGGGACCATATGAGCCCAATGGCGTCTTGCTATTGAACGAGCTCTCTGAACGAGCTGTGGCCTCTCTAAAAAGTGAATACGGTATATGTGAAGATGGCTGAAAACTCACGAAATCTCCTTGTACCTCTCAATTACTTGCGATGCGGCACGATTTTCTCTAAATTTTTTAGAAACAGGTACCACACACTTTACTTACATCGTTAGTAGATCGCAATTGCAACATCCAGATCCTGATTCTCTAAAGCAAGCATCGTCTTGGCTAATAAAAAAGCTACAAGAAAAGAAGACCTACTTTGAAAAATACGATCGAAACTCAGCAAGCACCTTTTCATTGGCTACACAACCCGAACATTTATCAACGTTGATCGTTTTACTAAAATATTAAATTTTAGGTTTAAAAGTAATACAAAAAATTATATATATTACAGAATGTACATGGGTGTAAATAGAACTTACGATGTAGATACAACAGACGAACTTAGCTCGGCACTAAAAAATTTGAGATCAGCTAAACCGAAAGACGATGAACCTCCAAAAACTTGTAGAGTTGGTGGTGTTTGTTGCCGATGATAGCTTCGTCAATAACTCCTTTGTATTCTGATGTTCGAGCCTAAATTTAAGTTGCAAATTGACAAAACTTGTGACTAACTTTTCATTTGCGAGTTCATCAGATTGCCTTTTCTTCTGTTCTGTTTCCGCTCTAGAACTCATAAAAATAACATGATTAAGGTGCAGAAACTCACGTGATCTGACGTTGTAGATTTTCAATCATTTTTTTCTGTTCATTGAAGCTTTCTCTGCATATCTTTAGTTATTATTTAAAGTCTTAAACACCAACTTGTACGAAAAGACGTTAACTTTTGCACTTTGTAGATCTTTGTTCAAGCTTTGAACCTTCTCGTCGGATAAAGACTTCAAGCTAAAAGATCTTTTTCTTTATCCTACTAAATTAAATAACCTTTGGAGTTCTTTAAGTTTTCGTTCGAGTATCACAACTTTTCCAACCTCCAATCTAAAAACTATATTAGAATTGCTTTTGTTTAAATTTGCTATTACTTATATTTTTGAAGTTCGTCATCCAGCTTTGAAATTTTCTTTTGAAGTTCGAGGAAATCCTCCCTAATAACAAAGAGGTAATAGTAAAAACACTAAAAAACCGCTGCTCTTCTAGCCGTTGGCGTTTTTGCGTTTCTTCAACGTTGTGTTTGTCAAGCTCATTGCGAAGACGGCAGCTTTCGATTTCAACCAAGTTCAGCTTGCAATTTGCTTGATCAAATGCTTTGCTAAACGTACCAGTTGTTATTGGACAAATTGCAAATGCTTACCTTCTTTCAACCAGCAACTTTTTTAGATGCTCCAATTCACCAAAGCAAGTAGTAAGCAATACGAAATAACTCTAAACTGGATTAACTACTTGCGTAAATTTCCCCTTCAAACCTCGAATATCGAAGTTTTTGATGAAAGCTGCTTGAATCTGTTTTTCCACATCTCCTGCGATACCTCAAGTATTTCTATACGACTCTTCAGGCACTAAAGTTTTCATATAATCGGGGACCACCAAATTTTAACCTCGTTATCAGAAGTTAGATTTGAGTTCTCTGTTCGAAGACTGTTCAACGAGTCTACAGATGATGAGAAATTGATCGAAGAGTTGTTTCCGAGTGGCCGTTTAGTGGTGGATGCTGAATGGAAACAATATGAACTTTAAACAAAACGAAAATCACCTTCGAGGCGTTTGACTTTTGCGATCGGCGTAGTCCTTGCCAAGGGAATACTTATGTTTGATGGGGGCATAGAAAATTTAAGTGTTGCAAAGGGGTCAGCATCGTTTAAAGGGGATGATTTAGCTGAATCAAAAGTAGGAAATGCTGGGAAATTTTGAGGAGTGTGAAAAGTTTTATCTGCCGGACTACTATCACAAGCTTTAAGACAAAGGCTAGGAGTTGAGAAAATTTTCAAATTGAGCTTAGCAGACTCAAATTTAGGGGTACGGGTGAGGGGACTCGCTGGTGTCATTTCCGGAAAGACCTAAACACATTTGACTATTAAAAAAATGCATCAAAACAAACTATATCGTCATCCTCTGCAAAACCGCCATTATTCAAAGAAGCCAAAGAAGCAGCGTTTTCCACACAGGCATCCGTTTGAGTTTTCACGTTAATCGACGGCTGTTTGTGCATCTTGTCAATACAGGATTCTTCCAAAATCTAAACAGACTATTGGCATGGTCGGCTGTCAAATTACCTTGATATCTCTCCGAGCTGTGCTCAATTCTTCGTAATACATGTTTCGTTGTCTCGTTATTTCTTCGATTTCCCCTTGTAGTTTCTAAATATCATAATAGCCGTTTGGTTAAAAGTGCAACCGTACTTCATTTTCCCTTTGAAGCTTCTCCATTTCTTGTTTGTATAGAGATGATGTCTAAAAGCTAAGACATAACGCCAAGCACAGGTTCTTTTCTAAAAATTGGTTGACAAGCTGAATACCTGATTAATGAAGTTAACAACTGTTTCTTTAACATCTTCTGAATACTTCTTTGTCCATTCCTTGTTCGAAAGCTCATTTTGGCTCTTTGTTACAGATGAGAGTAGATAATCTATAGTATCCTTCACTTCCATTTTCTGAAAGATCTAAATACCTAACGATATAAAATAGTAACTTACAGTGCGTATGTCAATGATTTTCCGCGCTAAACGTACATTTACAGTCTTGCATTTGCTAAAAAACTTCTGTTAAAGAATGCATTTTAAAGAATTACGTTAACGTTACAGAAGTAGCGTTGACTTGTTGATTTTTACTTTCCATAAAGTTTTCCAGAAGCTCATTACGAGCTTTCAGCTCTTCCAATTTTCCTTCGAGCTTCCTATAAATCTATATTAAAACAAGCACTCATCGACAAGTATTGACTAGAAAATGCACAAATACAAACTTCACTCTGATAAGTTGATACGATTTTTCATCATCGGCTGGAGAATTCGCCTAAAGTCTAGTTAGCTAAGGAAGTTCTTTCTCTTTTTACCTCTATATTTATCGGTTTTCGAAGATGAAATTCGCGTTTATTATTCTAAACAATAAGTATAAAAGGTTTTTGCTCTAAACAAGCCTCTCCAATCCTCACTTGTAATAGAGATGATTCTTTTGCTGAAGTAACCGCCTAAAAATTGGTGCATAAAAGCCGATGGACAAATTTTTGATAAGTGGCATAAATGGTGCCTTACCGGGAGAATTTTCTCCGGATAAGATGTCGAGGCTCCATAACCACTCGTGCTCGGAACTTGTGAGTTATCTCGTTTCTATAAGTGACTATTACTAAAAATAGGAAAGGAAAAAAGGTGCTATGGGTGTTTAGGCTTAGGCACTCAAAATTTTCATAATTACATCAATTTGAAACTAACTTTTGTTGATTTTCACGCTATTTTTACTCTTTATTTTAACAACAACATCTTTTCAATCAAAATCAAAACAATATTGCGGTAATTTTGGGCCATTCTTTCAATAGCTTAAACGCTTTTAACTCTAATCTATTTACTGCAGCGACATCGGCCATAACTAAGTAAAGTAAATCAAAAATATAAAAAACACTTTCAAAAATTTGTTAAAATACATAGTAAAAATTGCGCGAAAATCAACAGAGAAGTTAAATAAAAATTGATGTAATTATGCAAATTTTGAATGGTTTGAGTGAAAAAAAAACTTTGAATGATTCCGACGATGATGATTGTCGTCGTTCACTGTCTTTCATGCTGAAATTTTTTTAATACATACATCCAATCGATCATCTAAAGGTTCATGTAAGCAGAAAAATTATCATACAGAAACTTTGTTGTTTACACCGACATTTGCCTACAAACACTCTCACTTTCCAACAACAAATGCACCATTCTTCATGTTGGTTACACATTAATGATTGTATACCAGCTAACCATCGATAAATGATATGATTATGGCATAATCATATAATTTATCTTTTTCATAATCTTTTTCTAAACGCGATAGAATGCCGGTTGAATGCCTTTACCTAGCGTAAGAAGAACGGAAGAGTACTGTATCCATATTTATTTACCATGAGAAAATTTCCAAAACAAAAAAAAAACAAGTGCAATCTATTTGTGCTTTTAAAACCTAGATAACAATAAAGACTGACATTTATCACAATTTTAATACCCATTCAGCAAACTTAAACTAATCATAAATTTGAAAAATCACGTAGTCGTGGCACCCAATTCTTTGCGCATTCGTTCTAAAGATATAAGATAAAATCGCAATACAGTATTTAAAATACCATAACAGATGTAAGAGATGCAGACTGCGGGGATCACCTAAAATCTTACTAGATAAAGATGAATTTAAAATTATCTACTTTCAGGAAGTTCGGCGCAATTCCTCGATAAAGGCCAGGGAAACCTTCATTCTGTAAAATATAACGAAATTGACCGCTCATTGTTGCAGGTTGATCGGGATTTGTGGACCATTTAATTGCCTAAAGAAAATTTTCTGAGAAAACACTAACAAACGCAAACCTGGAGACGAGTACGCACCAATGCGAGCGGATAACTAGCCAATTGGCCTAAAAAAGTTAGTCTTCTTGTATTTTTTTAACCACAGAACATACCGCACGTTGAGCTAACAGTGCCACAAATTAATAAGGCCATCACACTTGGCTCGCTCATCTAAATCATAAGTAAGTATAGTGCTTTACTTTAACAAATAACCTCCGGATTATCGCGTAAGTAACGATTTCTCAATGTTTCATACATGGCCAAGTCAATACCAGCATAAGGCATAATTCCAAGCAAATTCGGTAAATATCCCTAAAGTATACGTTGAAAATAACCCTTTAAAACTGACCCGATAAAAACATTTAAAGCCTCCCTCAGTTGAGTAGAGTTTGTAAGCAAAACGAATCAATCCTTTATCTAACTGACCACTTCTTCGCAACGCAAGTCTCGTTTTCAAAACCTAAGTGGAAAATAAATATAATCACTCGTTAGGCCCAAATTGGTTACCTCCATCGGATAAATAATTGATTGACTGACGGCACCCGCCAAAGAGCCAGCCATGATCCGCTCGGCTATAGAGAGGCCTTCAGTAGAACTCTAAAAATAAATGCTATAGAATGGAAATTTTAAGTAACGTTACCTTTCCTTTTCTTCTCTGCAACCAGGCTTTCACTTGTTCATAGACTGTGAACTTGATCGCTGATTCTGGTGCAATCTGGAGTAAAAAAATAATCATAGCCATAAAGCATGCCAACTTTCGTCACATTGATTCCGTTCCCTCTCCAGAAGCTCCTTATTTTTCCTTCTCGATACATAAGTTTGACGGTGTTAAACAAAGTCAGTCGGTTATTTCGAGTAGAATTGACCTAAATTAATCTTAATTTGAAGCAAAAGCAAATAAATTGCCTGCAAATAGATTTTTATTCTGTCAAATGGTGCCGTACATGTCCTGGATACAGCTCCAGCTATTCCACCAGCAATTAAATGTCTCCACCAAACTCCAGCTTTCAGCTCTTCCAAAGTAAAATCGGTCGGCACCAATGCGTCTTCTCCTAAAGGAATACAAGATTTTCTATAATTTTTCAACAATTGCACCTGTATCAATTACTAGACGGTGCTTCCAAAACTGGAACACTTCTCTTGGATCGTGAGATGGATATAATAGCATGAAATTCTAAACAGAACATTTAAGTTTTAATATTGATCAATTCGAACTAAACATAACTGCTCACCTGAAACGCTGCCAAATCAACTGAATCGAGTAAGTTGGTTGCACCCATTTGCCGCACTATATGCGCCGAATGTTGAACAGATAAGGGAATGCCTAAATCAACGATAAATGCACGTCATGGTAACTTCCTCTACCAAGTTTGTCCGAGTACAATTGCAGATCGTAGGAATCGACTCGCCCGTCTTTATTCCTATCCAGTTCGTGGAAGATTTCCTCTAATTTCTCCTCTTGCCGTGTCACGTAGCGAACAAAATCCGGAAAGCTTACCTAAAATAACACATTTTTTTCATCAGCTCTTCTAGCAAACCCGATCATATGGTGCCATTTTTTCAAGTAAGCGCGGAGCATACACGGATGGGATATGCGGTACGCACTGCTGTAGCGCACTAAAGTTCAAGACTATTAAATCTTATACTTCAAGAAACCTTGTTAAATCTCTCAAGTCTAAACTTCCGTCGCGGTCAGCGTCAAATTTGTCGTACATCTCTCTTAGGCGTCGTTCTTTTTCCGGTGCAATGCAACCCGAATTTTCTTCTGCCTAAATATAAGTTATTCAACATGATAAAGAGGAAATACTTACAGAAGCACCGACCATCACTCCATGCTCGTTCTTTTTACTCTCGGGTGCTTCATTTTCTAAAGAAAACGTGAACAAACTTCTAAAGAGTCGAGAAACTTGAATCGATATTTGAGGATTTTGTCGACAGGGTATCCAAATTGGGGTTGTTGTCGCCTATTGTAGGCGCCGTGTTCTCCACGACCCCCATTCATGCAGCACAAAGCAACTAAATGAAATTTTTAAAAGTAGGCAAAGGAAAGTGACAGTAAAGACAGTAATCGAAGAAACTCGAGACATTAAAAAACTTTATTATTACCTTATTGTCAATAAAAGGTTTCATTGTGCTTGAAAAAAGAATAAAACGCGAAAAAAAACGCGCCATAAAGTTAGAAAATTTGAATTTTAACCAGAGAAACTTGCATTTAAGGGTCAAATAAATAACTTTACTTTCCTTTCGAATCATTGATATAAGGCGATCACCTCTACCACCAATTCGATTGATGGGGACTTACAGGCATTATTTTATTTCATTTAATTCTCTTTCTTTCACTTGTTTATCACTGTTGCTTAACTGTTATCTTTTCCATTTTTAGTCTTTACCCTATTATCACGGTTTCTTACTACCGTATTTGCTGAAAATTTGAAAAGAGCTGTTTAGTGATTTCTTGTCGTGTATGCCGCAATTTTGGTACTTCCTCTTTCTCAAAGAAGTATGATTGTTTCCCACAAATAGAACTAACTAAGAGGAAACACCATAAGGAAACCGCTTCTCCCTCCCCGGTCAGTGGTGAATCAAATGAGACGTTTGTTTTTAAAAAGGCGAATTTTGTTGTCATCTTTTGTTAGATCAGTTATATTTCTTGTTTTAGAAGAGGTCGTTATACAAAGTCCGGTACGGGCCGCTGATCGATCTCAACTTGCCAACAGCCACTTCCACACCTTTTGCAATTTAACCTTCTGTCGCCTTTTTGTGAAACATTTTGTGATATAGGGATCGACTCGATCAATTTTTGCTTGCCAGCCAATAAAGTGTTTCTCCAAAAAAATGTACATGCAATTATTACAAATAGAAATTACAATTTATAAAATCAAACAAATAAACAATAAATGTAGCCCGTAATTTTGAGTATCAACTTAAAGTTTAGCGACGACGCCGTTCGCGTACAGGTGATTTGTCCGAGTCACTTGATCTAAATTCGCTCTTTGTAATGTAATGGTACAAGTTTGTACCTTTTCCTCTCCTTTCTCTTCTTCTTGCTGTGTCGCTTTTCGTGTTCGCTATCGGAACTAAAATGAAGCGTATGCAAAGAGCAATCATAATTTTGGTTACCTCGCGGCTTCCTTCTTGATGTTTCTAACTGGGGACTCCCTTCGATGCTTTTTATGTACGGGAGATCTGGGCCTTGAAAGAAGGTGTAAACGTAAATTTAAATCAGTTTACCGTTTATCTCGATGACGTCTTTCTGGTGAGCTTGAAACTTCTCTTTTGACCTCGATCCTTTTTTCATCTCCCCATCTACCACCACCCGTTTCAACGTGGCGCTCTTTTCGTCTAAAAAGAAAATTCAAAAAGAGTCATCACTGAGAAAAAATGCTTTACTTTTCATAATCACGCCCATTTCTGTCCCGTTCTCGACGTTTTTCTCGTTCTGGAGTCCGTGATCGTCGTCTATGAGAAAACTCTCGTCCATTGTTTCTTTCACGAGCAGACCCTCTCTAAAAAAGTAAATTTATTTTTATCAAACTTGAACAACCTCATCACGATGATGCTGCTCTGTTTTGCGTGGTTGTTGCGATCGTTCCAAGGGTTTCTTTGTCGCACGTTCAGGAGAACCTAAAATAAAGATTGATACTTTTATCAATAATTACTAGTACCTTGCTTCATTCTACTCCACTTAAAATTCTTGGAAACAGACTGGGAGAAGTCAACATGAATTCTACGATCATCTATCAGAACGTTATCCATTTTGAAATAAGCAGCCTCGACCGATTTCGGCTAAATAGATCAGTTTTACTATGCAAAGCTATTCAGAAACAAACCTCAGCAAATTCAATGAAAGCATATTGCAGTGAGGCTCCGGTCCGACGATCACGAATGATTTCACAACATTCAATTTTTCCAAACCTAAATTTACAGCCTATTTGAAAAATTGAACATAAAAATACTAAACCTCGAGAATATAATTTCTAAGTCTTCGTCGGTTGTTACTGGATTTAGCTTGCAAACGAAAAGCACGTTCTCGGGCGGAATGTCTTCTGCAGATCGCAAATCACCGACCTTAAAAATAAAATTTTACAATAACTCCTGTCATAAAACGCTTACAATTTCCAGAATTTGGGCTTGTGCTCGCATTTCTCGTTCTTCTAGCTCTTTTTTTATCTAAAACAATAGTTAGAAAAAAATATAACTTTTAAAACAAACCTCTTCTTCCGTCATTCCATCCATGTCATTTAGATTTTCATCAATAGCAATTTGATTAGCCTAAAAAAAGCATTAAGTATCTAGCATACTTTAACTTTTTCACGGAACTCAAAATTCAATAAACTCACGCTAATAAGACGCTCAAGTGTTGGAGAAGGTGAACGCGATGGGAATTTGATTTGAACAGGATCTTCAAATGGATCATCCAAAACTATCGTATGTGATATTCTAAAATTCTTCATACATGCAACTCCTATGCGAAAAAAACCTAATATCTCTGAATGGTCGATGTTCCTCGTTGCACAACTGTTCGTTGAGCTTTTCCAAAGTCTCTAGCCCTTCTGTCACCTAAAATCAAGACTTTGATAGTCTAGTCATTAATTGGAAACCTGTCCAAAAATTGTGTGCTGATCGTCTAGATAATCGAGATCATCACCAAGCGTAACGTAAAATTGAGATCCAAGCATGTCGTTTCCATTGTTTACAAACGAGACCACACCTAAAGCTAACCTAAAGAAATCCAGGGCTGTTTAGTGATACCTTGTCGTGTATGCCGCAGTTTTGGTACTTCCTCTTTCTCAAAGAAGCGTGCTTGTTCCCCATAAATAGAACTAAAATCTTCTTAGAGGAAAACGCTTTAAAAACATACGTGAAAAACGATTCACCACCACGGCCGGTGCCTGTTGGATCACCAGTTTGTGCAATGTAATTTTGCTGAAATGTACAGACTAAAGCTTTAAGGTTTAAATCGATCAACCTCAATGTGGTGAAATTGACAAAGATTGTAGTATTTCATTTTGCACAGCTTTAAAAAATTTCGACAACCTAAATTTCGCGTTTTATGCAAGCAACAAAAAAATTAAATACAATTCGGGCGCTCCTTCACGAACAAATCAACGATGAGATCCCCAAGCGACGTTTCAATAAGGACAGCCATCTAAAATATGAAGATTTATAGAAAGACTTAGCCCTCTAACGCCAATTTTAATCAAAAAAGGTGCAATGCCAAATAAGGTATGTAGCTAGTTGCATATAATTTAACTTGTTATGCATAGAAACAATACAGTTGTTAGTTTTATTTCAACAAACATATACACAAAAATCAGTTGTACAAAAGAATCTCACAAAGCTCAATGCATGTCACCCTAATTTATGTACAAACCCGCGGATAATTTTCTAAAGGACAAAATATCACAGAGAAATACGAAGGAAAAAAAGAAGATTATTGTGCATTCGATTTCTTGATCCATCGACCTCCATAAAGACCTGAAACAAATGTCATTGATTTTCGCATGAAATCAATAAAAAACCTGCAAAAGCTCCTCCCACGGCAGCAGCTGTGCCAGCCTAAACATTAAAACTAAATAATTTAAAAAGCAAACAGACCAGCATTGAACCAGCAGCGACGCCCACTGGTCCTCCTAGTGCCAAGCCACCAACCACGGCTGTTATTATGGGGACCTAAAAAAAGGTTTGTATGAATAAAACCACTAAACTGTTGCCTTGGCGTTCTTGCTTTTCAGAGCACTCTTGAGCTGCTCATTTCCTCTGCCGACGTCGTTTCTAGCTTGTTCAACGTGTTCTTCGATCGAATCAACCATATCGTGTTGTTGCTAAAACAAAATATGATTCGACAGCTTTAATCAATTGAGAAAGCAAATTAGTAGCCAATTGAACTTACATAAACAAGAGTTTGAAGCTGGTTAAATATTTCGTTCAAATCTTCTATGTCCGTTTCGAGTCGACGTGACTCCTCGGTCATCCTTTTCGTTTCTTCCAACTTCATTCTAAACCCGGATTCATCATTAAACATTCAAGTGAGTTTTGTTATTTTAATAACCTACTTTAAATCGGCTTCCCTTCGTTTACCGGCATTCATTTGCAGGTCTAATTCCTCGGCATAAACGTTAACTTCTTCCTGAATCGCTCGTATTGCTTCACATACTTATTGGCGCAATTTTACCTCCTCAATTCCACCATTGAAAGTTGTTGATGGTGTTTTTGTTTGTTTCATTTGACGAAGGGCATTAACAGTTGCTAAATTGCAAATACAAAAGGTGTGTAACAACTGGTTACTTTGAATGAGTTTTCGAATGGGTTCTATTTGCGTGTCAAACTCATCTTGGAGCTCCGATTCCAATTTTTCGCGTGTAGAGAGAATCTTAAAAGTCAAGCTACAAATGTTTAACAGGTCAGTTTACCTGCTCGATGCCCAGTAACAATTGGTCTTCTATCCTGAGCGCCTTAAAATATTTTAATAGCTTTAATCCAACAAGGCTTAAAATACTTGGTTTCGTAGTTGTTGGGCATCTTTTCCATTAGATTCGAGTTCATTGATTTGTTGCAGCATCTTTTTTAGAGATGCAACCTAGAGTACCAAAATCACAAAAATTCCAAGCTAGAAAACTTACTTCTCCCTTTGCGATCCTCTCATATCGTTCGAGTAACAAGGATACCTGACGTTTCGACTCCATTCAAACCTTAAAATCATTGATGACTTCGAAATTCAATTCGCTACCACGCATTACCGAAAGCCGTAAGATAGGGTTGATCAATACATCTTCAAACATAAAATCAAAATAGAAATAACTTTATTCCAAACAAAAACAATATATAAAACATACTGACAAGATGCACTCGATAAGAAACAATATAAACTAAATTTCACACAATATCGCGCTATTCGCCGTTCTTCAACCGGTCAATGTAACGGCGAACTTGTTTTGAGAATTCTCTAAAATTTTTTTGATTTAAATCAACTATGAAAATGATACAAACCTGTTACTCTTATCAAATTCTTCAGAAATTTTGCTTAAGATGGCAATTAACGAGCGCATATTAGCTTGATTCATAAAAGGCATCCATTCATTGCGAGTTTCTGCGATTATAGCTCTAACCTGAAAGTTTAAATTAGTATTAAATGGTAAGTTAAATATTCTACCTTTTTGATTGTAGATGAATCATTGCTTTCTCCCATTTGCAAAGCAAGACCACACGAAACCGACAAAATTCCCTCAAAAACAAGTTGATGCATTGTGTATGGAGCAAAAAATTTGGAGAACAGTGACAGAGAGCGGATCAGCTAAATATATAAAGGTTTTTAAAAGTCTGCACTATGTACCTTGACAGATGTCCAAAATTGTCTATCCAGGAAAGCTCGACATCCAGTATTAATATTTTCGATAGATCTATAAAAATTGAATTTCACCGTTTTAAAAGAGTTAACATACTGCTTCGAGTACATAGGAATGAACAAATCTTCACTGACGGCTTCCTTCGCCTTTTCTTGAATAGCCGCAAAAAGTCGAGCCACTGATTTTGATCTATAACGAGTATTTGTCGGCAAATTCTTAATTTTTACTTCTCGGTGATTGTTGGGTATTCTTTCACAATCGTATCAAGGAGAGTCGCAAGATTTCGCGTTTGCTTCAAAGAAAGTGGATCCCATTCTTCATTGACCACGTCTAAAACAAATGGATATACCCAGGGCTTAACAGTTATTTCAGGCAAACACGCAAATCAAGTGCACAATGAAACAAACCTGTAATAAACGGTACAACAACCTTTTCAATAACTAATGGTATTAAGCCGACAATGATTGGATGGTCTTGGCGAAGTTCGGGACTGTCAACGGACAACAAATCTTTGTACCATTCCATATCTTCGAGTCGCAAAGTGGCATTCTGTAAAATGGCATAAAATGCATAAAAACCATTAATCTTACCTTTAGTATGTCATTTTTACTTAATTCCAGGCAAACGAAAGGGGATAATATTTTTGGAATACACAGATGAACATAAGCATTCTCGAACGATTTCTCATCGACAACCAACCATTTTATGAGACGATCTAAAACCTCCAATTTAAATCGGTTAAAATATAATTACTCATTATCCGCGGGATACGGCTGTAATCCTCCGAAGCATCGACAAAGATAGCTTTTATCCCTTCGATAACTTCAGCTAAATAATTTCTCTATGAGCCAACCAAATAGGTATTTAATGCTACCATGGATTTCCTGATCAGCAACAAGTCGAGAAGTTGTTTCTTCATCATCCGTACTCAAACCCTCCTCGTGCGAGATTCCTTCTAAATTTCCTTCTCGTTCCCGACGACGTCGACCTCTGAATAGCAATTTGTTTAACAAAGCAAGAACTTCTTCACCTCCTAGCTTCTCGCTCTGCAGCTCTAACACCGTGATCTCCTGCTTTGATGAGCGCAATGTTCTTCCCCGCTGCAGCTGCCGAACATTCATCATAAGAGTCGCGAATATCACGCCTTCGTCTAGAGTTAAATTTATGATATGCAATTATACCAGAGATTAACCTCGCAATTATTCGTTGAGTCTTTGCTTTCGCAATACCTCTTCTTTTGTCAGTTAGCGCATTTATTTCCGTCATCTAAATTGAAGAAAAATTCGTCCTTGTTATTGCTAGTAAACCCTACCTTGTCGTTAAGGCAGTCCAACAAACTTCGGAAATAAAGCTTCGCTTCTTGATACATTTTGTATTTCTCGCTGAGCTCTTGACTAACGGGTGGTTTATTTTTGTCACCAGTTTCCAGAAGTCTAAACATTATGAGTATTCGTCAACAATAAAATGAACAAACCTAATCTGCTCTTTATTTTCATCAATATTTGTTTGAAGCTTGTCGATATTTTGACGAAGAGTGTTCAGACTTTCTTCTCGGTCTTGGAGCCTAAACAAAGCCTTTCTAAAGAAGCAAAAGAACACTACCTCAATGCCAATTTGCTCAAAATGTCACCCATTGTTACATGACTTGCAGATGGCTCGAATTCTTAAAACTCTTATGTTAATCTTTGAAACAGAAAACTACTTGACGTTGTTGCAGGTGGAACATTTTCCACGTCCATGTCGATGTCCATTTCAACGGGTCTCGATCGTTCTTCATCTTCTTCCCGGATCTTTTTGAAAAACTCCGTTGTGATCTCATACTCTTGTCTCATTTGTCCTATCTAAAAAGCAGCATACAATTATGAGAAAGTATTATATTTACCGTAGACGCTCCTACTGCTTTCAGAATTTGTTGTTGTTCCCAGCGATCAATTTCGTCATCACTTTGAGCAGGACTTCTCTAAAAAGATTCCAAGTAAAAACTTAATCCTTTGATGCAAACCTCTTCATGTTCAAGAAATTGATTCTGCAACTCTCGCCTTTTTGTATCCTCTTCCATCGCGATTTCCCGTGAAGAATAAAACCTGGAAAGGCAAATATTATCATGATGTGTTTATATTTGCTTACTTTTCAGTATCTTCTTCCGAATCATCATTATCATCTTCGCGAATCAACCGTTGACTTCCCTTTTCCCTAAACCCCAAAAGTTAAATGATTCATTCACGATTTCAAACCGAATTTTCTGATCATCATCCAAAGGAATATATCCATCGTGTCCTTGAGCGCGAAGACGTTCTCGTTTTTTCCTTGCCTCATAAACGGCTTTAGAGTCAGGGATTTTATCTAAAATTTTACATAAGAAACTCATCTCGATCTATTGCCCAATTGATGGCACTTACTTAACGTCGTTGAAAATTTTGAATAAGTATCGTCATCGGCGTAATCATTGTCATACTTCATGGAGAGCTCCGGATTTTCTATCGTTGTTCTCTTTTGATAAATCACATCCATTTTGCTGGTTTCTTTGTGTGAAATGTAATCGTCCTAAAACTAAAAATCATAACAGTAATAATTTTTAAAATACCTCAATCTTCACATTTTTCGTTGGGATGATACTAAACTCAATTTCATCAACAAGCTCCACTTCCTAAATTTGTAAATTTAATTTTTAAAAAATTAACAAGTTACCTACCTTCTTTATTTCGATTTCTTGTGCCTGTCTTTCCAGCTTCCGCATCAGTCTGGCTTCTTTCAGCTTCTTCTTGTCTTTTTTCAGTTTGAATTCTTCGTGTTCATCTAAATCCTATTAAGCACCTTCCGGAAAAATTTAAATTGTTTAAATTTAATTTATCCACCTTCATCACTGGCAAAACTCAGCAAAGGCTTCTTTGATGTAATCGTTGTCGTATCTTCAGTTTCTTCTGAATCTTCTACGGCTTGATTTGATGGTGAATTCTTCTCTACCTAGATGGAAAAAGTAAATTAAGTTTAATAAAAGTTGCCTGATTATTACCTTGTCCGATGGTTCGTTTTCTTCTGCTTGCCTCTGTCGAATTGCAGTTTTGTTCTTTGGTTTGCGGAACATCTAAACAAAACTTATATTATTACCATCAAAAGTTTAAAAAAACAAAATTATAGAACGCAACCCAACACTTTTCGAAATCTCCTAGACACATTAGGCTATTTGATGCTAAAACTACGGTAGATTGTGTTGTGTCCACAAATAATTGCGGTTGCGTAATAAACAGGTGCTAAAGAGTTCTATGCATGACTTTGAATAACTATTTCTAAGAATTATATTGTTTTTGTTTTCTTTAGTTTTGCAATAGTAAATGTTCTGAGCCATCAGAAGCTTCAGAATCCAAAAAAATTTCAGCTCGACGCGCTTTTAGGGCCGCAATGAATGTTTCCAAAAGTAGTGAAAATACACCAACTTTATCTCCAACCAATGAGGTAAAACTTCGCTCCACAGATAGTGAGGAGACGAATTACCCAAGAATCACCTTTTCAACTCCAAATAAAGTCACCGTGCAAGTGCTCGAAGATGGAACAAACGCCAAAGAAGAGGAACGGAAAAAGCTCAGAAAATCGATCGATGAAATTCCGATTAAAAAAAGAAAGGAACCGTCGTCTTTTTCTAACCTAATACATCGGGTGACTTGGGGAAAATTTGGGACAGCCGCTGAGCAGGATAAAAAGGAAGATAAGCACAAAAATGATCCCGAGACCGATAATGCCAAGGATGAAGTTGATCGACCGGACCAACTATTGTTGGCTGAAAAGCTTGACAACATCTCTACCGATGCTCGGAATCATGATTTCCAGGTAGGTAAACTAGATAAACAAACTTTAATAAAACCTCTTTTAGACAGCCCTCGATGCGAATGGTGGGTATTGGTTATCCACTGAGTACGTGAATGAAGAAGGAAGTAAGCCGAGTCAATTGATGCAAAATGCCATCATCCGAGAGGAAAGAAACAGTGAACTTGACGAACAAGAGCGCTCACTAGTGGAACTCTTGGAAGAGTTTCGGACTGGACGAATGTCGGCTCTATCCAAAAATGAAGTAAGAAAGTCTCCCTAAATAGTTTACTCCTTACAAATCATCAATAGCTTTCATCTAAACAACTGTTAACACAGATTTTTCAGGTGCTCTTGCTAAATAATATGAAACATGAAGCAGAAGAAGTTACCCGACTGCACTTGAGCCTTTATCCGGACGACTTCTTTGAGACAGAAAACTTCTCAACACAGCGAAAATTCTTCAACAACGTTGGCGATGAGAATGAAGACAAGCTGTACTCACAAATATCGAATCAACTATATAAGATGCATCTAAACTCTGCCTCTTTGTTGTAATTTTGTGCTTCTAGTTTTAGCGTTGAAAACTTCAAAAAGCGTTGGAACTTTATTATGCAAAAAGATGCAAAAGATGTTCATTCATTTAACTGTCAATCCAATTATGGTCTAAACCGTTATAAAAGCACAAAAAGTCGAAAAAAGCTTATTTCCCTACCTGGGAGTGGGACAAATGCGACCTTTTTTTTCGCACCCGGACATTTGCGCGCCTTTTTTTAGCGCACCTAAGACATTAGGGCACCTTTTCGCCCATTATAACAAGGACTGTCCTAGACCCACAGAATCGTTTTAGCCCCACTTGTTCACTTTTTGAATAGTTAGATTCCTATTGACGTGCGGTTTTAAGGGACTAGGGTAGTCTTTATTAGAATGGGCGAAAAGGTGCACAAATGTCCCGGGTGCGCAAAAAAAGGGTCGCATTTGTCCCACTCCGCCGTACCTCAAAAATTTTGAAGTTTTTAGTGCTAAAGCATTTTCAAACCTTGTCCATAACTTTTCACCGTGCCAATTATTGTTTTTAAATAGCCGTAATACCTGTAATAGCAGCCCCTCCCCCGTACAGTCGCATAGTGTAACACATAATTTTGTGACGCTCAGTTCTTCACGCCGCTTCGACGAAAAATGTGCGCTTAGATATCAAAAGATAGCGCTTGAAGTGAAGAATTTTTTTGGTACTAACAGTTTATTTTAGAAAAATCTGGGCGCGTTTAAAAAATAATTTACTTTAACGACTACGTGACTGTACTTATTATGGGCGGAGGAGCGCTACTATTACAGGCATTACGGTAGCTTTATGGGGATAGATTTAAATCCCCTATACGAGTAGGCTTTGCAATTGTATATTTTGCACATACCCGTTCATTTCATTATTTTCTATTTATTTTGATCGAAGATTGTTGTTCGTGGTTTTTAGAAATGAACTCCATTGATCATTTGAACGAGGGAATTCCGGATGTGCCAACTCCTGCAAATGCTTTGGTATTTTTTGTAAAATAGCCTCATTAATTTAAATGTTTAGGTAGGCGAAGGCCCCGAAAGGCAAAATAATGAAAATGCAGTAGAAAGAGGCCGAGAGGTACATTTATTTTTATTAAACACAACTATCTGTTTTACAGGCATTTCCGGCTATTCGAGCTGCATCACCGGCTATCAGTTCAAATGCGGCCGGTAATGCTCAATCATTGGAGAAACTTTTTCAGCGTATGAATGTTTTATCGAAAGAAGGTAGTAGTTAAGGATTTTCACTATCGTTGATATAAAAGTTTTGCGCGTAGATTATTTCCTATTTTAGGTAAATGGACAGACTTGGCCTCAGTTATACGCAATCACGAAGAATTAATGGTGAGATATTGGCTTGAATCATAAAATGCACTTTCCTTAGATCAAACGCTGCGGTGATTTGGAGCAATTCATCCTTACATGCGATCCCATCAAACACTCAGCTGCTGTGATCTTTGCACTAAACGTGCTTTATGATATTGCCGAGAAGAAATCTCTTTCAAGTGTAAGTTTAAAAAATAAGTATTTGGCTTAATTCAAAGAACTTGTTTCATACCTTATTTCCGCAACAATCATTTCTAGGGACAAGAACGAGTCTTTGATATTCTACGAAACTTCTTTATCTCAAAAACCTATGGAAGAGAACAGTTGCTATCAATTGTTGATATCTGTAAGTTGCTCGAGTTTAATTGCATAATCATCACTTTTAGATTGTCAGCTTTTCCGAAAGCTTCACGACTATTGCATCTCTACGAAAAAATATGAAATTGGTCTCAATGTTACGATTCTGGGTATTGATGCTATCACCGACACAGGAAGCGGTGTACGTATTATTTTATTTCAATTTGAACTAAAAAAAATTTAGATTCAAGTTGTTCTATCTTAAAATAAAATATTTCAGCTGCTGACTTCATTACACAGTCATCTTTTTGATCTGGCTTTACAAGCAGACCAACCGGGACAGGCCTGTGGTTATTTGGAAGACATAAAAGATATTTTAAACGAGGTTTGTTTTTGTTGTTACAGGATTGACTTGATGCGTAATAGTTTAAATTGAATTATTGATATTTGATTTAGAATATGATTTCGCAACATATTTCCAGCAACTATTCGACCAATTCGCCACACATTGAATACAAATATGTGCTTTCGTATTTGTACTATGGTAAGGAAGTTTGTTTTTAGAGTTTATTATTGATATTCAGGCTCGGAAATTGCTTACAAAAACAAAGATGTGAACCGAGCCATCGTGCTCTTGCATAACCTAATTACGTTTCCGGCGACTGATATTGTGCCAATGCTGGTAACTGGACATAAAAAGTAAGTTTTTGTTTTTGTGTTAATTGGACTTGACGAGGATTAGTAGGTATATACAGTACCGAGCAAAAGTCTTGCAACATCACTTTTTCAAAAAAATCGATGAAATTTTTTTATAGAAAATGCCACCCGTTCGTAGGGCTTTTTTGTTTTTAATTAGAATAATACATGTACACTTTATTTACAAAAATAAATTCGAAGTTCAGCGTAAAACAAAAAAGTAAATGACAAAACTACTAAAAAATACCCTAAAAACTGGGTGCAAAAGTCTTGCAACATTATACAGAAACATCAAAAATTAATATTCAATCGGTCCACCTTTTGCCAAAATCACTTCATTAAGTCGTTTAGGCATTGAGTCGACTAATTCGTGAAGAATTGCTGGGCGAATTAAGCTCCAAACTTTTCGTATAAGTCAACTTTTGTGTGAAAGTCTTTTCCTCGTAACTTTGTCTTCACGTAAGCCCATTAAATTCTCAATAACGTTTAAATCAGGCGACATAGGGGGCACATTGACCAACAAAACATTATTAAGGGCAAACCCTCCAGGGAGATCGGTTTTTCCTCCATTTGAGACTCACCGTGGGACCCATCATGGGCTTGCTCTTGTGAACCGGCGAATTGTCCTGGTAGAGAAACCATCTAGGAGCCATGTAATCCTGAGCAAATGGAAGTATACATCCTTCTAGTATTTCCATATACTGGCGAGCATTCATGGTTGACTGGATGAGGACGAGTGGACCTGCCACATTTTTTGCCATCGTCCCTAGAAAAAGGCAAATTAATGCATGTATTAGAAATGAGGCTTACCAAAACACATGATTGATCCTCCGCCAGCTCGCATTGTAGGTCGCATATATTTAAGGAGTATTCGCTTTCCAATGGGTCGTCTGATCAAGTGGTTGCCTTTTGGAGAAAAGATATCCACTTTTGTTTCATCGACAAAAATCACGTTGGCCCAATCCTGCTTTGTCCAACTTTGGTACGTCCTGGCGAATAGAAGCCGTTGTTTCCTGTGGCCAGCGGTCATCAAAGGCTTTCGTACAGCCCTCCGGCTATACAGTCCTGCTTGAGTCAATCGTCGAGAAACGGTCCATCGAGAGATATCCTTGTTTGCAACATCCTTGATCAGCCGAGCTCCCTCAGTTGATGTCATGTTCGGATCCTTCTTGGAAGCCATCACAAGTATTCGATCCTCTTTTGCTGTTGTTCTTCTTGGCCGTCCTTTCTTCTCTCTTCGATGCATAAGTCCAGTTGTTTTCGCTTTTGAAACAATGCGAGAAACGGTCGATGGATCGCATTTAAAGAGATCGGAGACAACGGCTCGAGAAATTCCTTTTTTTCTTGCTTTCATGGTTTTTTCTCTTTCGAGAGTCGTCAATTAGGTACCTGGCATCTGAAAAAAACAAAAATTAGTGTAAATTAATAAATTTGAAAACAATAAAAATGAGAAACATAGAATGTTGCAAGACTTTTGCACCCAGTTTTTAGGGTATTTTTTAGTAGTTTTGTCATTTACTTTTTTGTTTTACGCTGAACTTCGAATTTATTTTTGTAAATAAAGTGTACATGTATTATTCTAATTAAAAACAAAAAAGCCCTACGAACGGGTGGCATTTTCTATAAAAAAGTTTCATCGATTTTTTTGAAAAAGTGATGTTGCAAGACTTTTGCTCGGTACTGTATTTTTTTGTTGCTTTAGATGGTTCCTCTATCAAATTCTGGCTGACAAAGATGTTACTCCACCAGCAGGACGATCGCCGTGTTTGAATCGCGTCTGGCGACAAGAGTGTGAACCATACATGAAAGCCAGTTTTTCGGAATATTTAATAAATAAGTTAAGCTTTAGATTTATAATGCAATGCAATCAAAAGAAAATACACTGGCTGCAGTGAACGCGGTTTTGAAGGAACATGAAAAGGTTTTTGAGAAGGTTTGTTTTAGATACTGTTGCTCCTATTAAGAATTTTGCTTAGGATGAAACCACGGATCTGATTAACGCTCTACTTGTTGCTCTGACAGAAAGAGCAGTGCTAAAAGTCGCTAAGGTAAGTTTCCATTTCCATTCTACGTACTCTTAAGTTTTAGTGTTTCTCGAATATTGGTATCCAAGACCTTGTTCGCCGAGCTTACTTGAAGTCCGTGGAAGAAGCCAAAGAGCTTTGTGAGAAGTCAGTTTTAGCCAATCTGGGTTGTGATAGATTGTATTTTTTCTTTAGATTGAGTCAAGAAGGAAAGCTCACTGCACGATTTGAGAACGATGTTGTTCATCTGCAAATTCCTGCTCACAAAGTTAGCGAATCCGCTATCAAGAAGACGCTTCAACGGTAGTTTTTTAAAACAAAAACTCACCTACTTGTTTGATTTTTAGAGTGGAAGCTGCCAAACAAAATCTCACTACAGTTCATTGTAGTGTTCAATGTCATCCTATCTATTTATCTCGTACCTTGCGAGTTTCAGGACCTGGATATTTGGTTGATTACTCGAACATTTATTGTTTAATTGATAGTTTTTAGGACGACGAGGGCCTCAGTATGAGTATGGCACACTCTCAAGCTTTACAAAAAGATTGATTGATGATCATTCAAATACTACATGTTTTTATGTTAAATACATGTATCTTAAATCGGGTCCTATTTTAAAATTTTTGCGATAAAGCTGTTTTCTACTACTTATTTTGTTTGGTGGGTTTTTCCACAATATACTTTTACATTTGCATACTTTGCGAATTTTCAGTTTGACTTAAACAAAGATACTGGTGTGACTTTTTAATTTAAAACAAAGCATGGGGTGTTTTTTTGTTCATTTTAATCAAAACTTTATCGAACTACATTCCTGTGGCATGCCGTACCTTCTTGTTAGCACCGTGATAAGACTAGGATCGGGTCCAACTATGGTAGGAGGGCCAAATCCATAACGTTAACGTACACAATTCGGACAGATTGGAGATGTTGACACAACAACGGAGGAGATTGCATCTGCTGTTGACGCTGAATTGAAACAAGAGCTCGGCCATGCAGTTCCCGAGTATGAATTAACATTCCCGACTTAAAAGGGTTATCCCCTCCTATCGGCATTCACAAAGAGTTTCAGGTGGACCTCACCTCATCCACCCGGAAAGGTTCTAAATATTTTAGAGGTGGTGTCCAAAAGATTTTCAAGAGTTTACCTCTCTTTAGAAACTGGGTTGGCATGTTCAGTCCACGGCTGGCGTTGGACAGACGCTTGTATGGACTCTTTACAAAGAATAACCTCCATCATTTATAGGAATAACCTCCGCTAGTCTTTTCGTGTTCTTTTTGCATGTCATTGTCATTTAATAAACAAGTAGATTTAGGCCAATGCTGATAATGAAATAGCAAAGCATTATGTCTAGATTAAATAAGGTATGTTTTTTTAACAATAAAACGGTGATGTAGTACTTTGTTTAGATTAGTCATTCTGCATTGGTTCAAGTTGCAGCGGGTGTTTTTGTCACAGGAGCTACAGGGTTATATTTTGCGCAGAAATATATGCAGCACAAAGTAAGGTAACTGTCAGTTTTTATTTATTTTTAAGGTCTAATTTAGGAAGCTACCTCATTATCTCGAAGGTTTAACGATTATATCTGAACATCAGAAAGCAAAGGTTCAACATGAGATTTGGATAATTCTAAATTGAATATTTAGGATGCTCTCGGTCCTCCAATACAAGTTGGGGCCGTAGACCTTAGCGATAGGCGAAGAAATTATGTCGATAAAACTACATCCATGGTAATGGCTGATATATATTGTAAATGTCTATGTAACACACTACTTTTTAAATTTTTTTAATGTATAATTTTACAGCTACGAATCCCTGTGACGGGTCAGCTCGATGCCGGTTTTGCTGAAATATATGCCACACGTGAAGCTCCAGAAAAAGCGTTTGTGACGAGCAAAGTGCGGCTAACGCTGAATAATGGTAACTTTTATCTGGTCTAATATTATGATACACATAGCAATTACTGCGGTTTCATCGCATAAATTAACGCAACTACATAGCCTCAAAATTTTTGATCTCAATTTAATAATTCTAGGAGCTGTGGTGATATTCGACGATGGTCGATGGCCTTTCAACGACAAGAATCTCGAAACAGATTAGGGCTTTATTTATTTGCTTTTTTATAGGATTATTGACTTTGTGTAAATAAAGATCTTTGACGATTTTAACGTTACTTGTTCAGAATGATAATCGTTAAATATCTCAAAATTGTTGTGGGATAGGTAAAAATGAGTTTCAGGTCAATGCCACACCTGGTCGTAACTGCTCACTCGTTGTCAAATAAAGGGTAAGTCACTGAAAAAGCTAATAAAAGTCCCCAAATTGAGGTGTACTATTTCTCGAGATGGCATGTCTTACGAAATTCCCAACTCTATCTTGGAGCAGCACGTTGGATATAGACATGACCCAAAATTTCAACCAAAGTTTCAGATTATTTTTTGCCAGAAGCATTCTCCATCGCCGTGCTCATGTACGCGTCTCGCTTCGAAATCTTCACCTCTCGCCGTCTTGAATGCTTTAGAGATGGACGGTTGGACGGTAAGAAAATCAAAAACATTAACAACAAAAGTATAAAATTAGGTCAAGACTTGCTACTCTTATGCGATAGACAACCAGGTAATCAATCTAACAAAGTATACTAATTACCAGGACAAATTTGACAGAAACATGCTTGGATTCTTCACAAAAACGACGAGAAATCCACAATTGACTCACCAGCACAATTAACACAGTCTTTATTATAGGGAAAATTTTGTATTTAAATTGTTTTTTTGTTTGGAATTTGCATAATTTGTTTGTACATAATCATACGTACGAATTTTGCTCTAAATGTGATACTCCTCCCACTTGGTTGTGATGCATAATTTTTTGAATAAATTTTTTCGATAATGATCCAATGTGAGAAGTCTCAGGTTTTTCCATTCACATATCTCATCATTTTGTTCATCATCTCGAAACGCTACTACAACTGAAATGTAGTATGGTTATTTTGAGTCTTTAGAAGAAAAAAATAGCTCACGAGGGGGGCTCTTGTTCGATATATATTCCTGTTGGGCGGTGTGGGGTGTTGCTTATCTTGACTGGTTGATTAAAGGTGAAAAAGAATGTCTTCTTTGTTTTCTTTTTTTTTCCCTCTTTCTCTGTCCCCTTTCAATTTCCGAGTTCGATTGATAAGTGAATTTTTTAGAGTGAATGTCCGCGGTCACCAATGAAACCCATGCACATGCAATTGTTGGTGCTTCCGCTCTGCTAAGAGGTCTTGAAGAGATAGCTTGGCCCGAATTTTTGCGACCACACATTGAGGTGCGTTTAATCTTAATCGATTATTTCATAGCCAACTATCGAAATTCAATTTTGCAATCGAAATTTTGTTACCTTTCACTATGTGAGAATCGACTCTTTCCTATCAAAAGCTGATTTGCATTTAAATTCTTAACAATTTTTTCTCATAGGACAATTGTAGGAAAGAAAAATGTCAATGGTTATGCCCCAAATACAGCAAAATACCCAAAGTCATCGGTTTATTCAGGTTTTACTACTTTGGATTACTTGGGCAGTTGATCATATCGATCTTGAATATATGGAGGTAAGCAGTTTTTCTTTAGATCCCTTTTATACATTTTTTTTTTAGTATTTACTCTGGTTATTTCTACCGGTGATCGTGATTTTTGTGTTACCGATACTACTTGTGATATTCATCTACGGTTCTATAATCTTTTTGCACATTTATGGTTTACGAAATAGGATACGTGAGGTGATTTTATATTGAAGGGAACTTTTATATTAATGTAATAATGTGTAGGCTTATCATACTTCATACTGGGATGGTGCTAGGGTGGCGATAGCTTCATTTTGGGATGCGATTGGCCACGTTTGGCATGGTTTGATTTGAATCTTTAACGTTTTCTATTTCTATTTCTATTCAGGTTATGAAGTGAATGGCATTGAAAATGTGCCCGAAAATGGCCCGGCACTGTTTATATATTACCATGGTTGCCTACCTTTAGATGTTTATTATTTGATTTCGAAGGTTGGTTTATAGTTTGTTTTTCTAAACTCAATGTGCTTTAGATTACACTTGTCAAGCGACGATCGTTACACTGTGTCGGTGATAAATTTATTTTCAAAATACCAGGTCAATCTTTGTTGATTTTCTGTCCTTTATTTTAGCTATTTCATTTTTAAAAACTTAGATTGATTTTTAGGATGGGGTGTTCTGTGCAAATTGTTTTCTGTGACTCCTGGAACCGTTGAAGATTGTACGGCAAATTTGAACGATGGACACTTGCTATGTATTGCACCGGGAGGTAGTTAAGTGGTTCAACTTTAAAATTTTATCATTTTTAGGGGTCCGTGAAGCTCTTTTCTCCGATCCGCATTTATATGATATTATGTGGGGGAAACGACTTGGATTCGCTCGAGTGGTTCTAAACTCAAAAACGGTATGATCTGTTTTATCGCATTTAAAATGTTCTTTCAGCCCGTGATCCCCATGTTCACCGAAAACTGTCGTGATGCTTTTCGAACACCGGAATGGGGACGAACTTTCTTAAGGTTTGAAAAATTTTCAGCTTTCAAACTATTGAGATCTTTTAGATGGTTATACGAGAAAACAAAACTACCATTGTGCCCAATTTATGGTGGTTTCCCCGTCAAGATGATCACCCATCTTGGGAAGCCGATGACTTTCGATTATGACACTGCAAGTCCTTTGCAAGTGAGTTTTATTAATTTGATTTTTTATTCACTTTTCCAGTTTAACTCTAATCAATATTTTCATTTTCATTTTCATTTCCATTTCCATTTTACAGATTCGAAAAGCCATCAAAATCGAGGTACGAGCTTTAATCAGAGAACATCAAAGATTGCCGGGAAGCATTATTCGAGGAATTTTACAACGATTTTGGGGAAAACATCAAAAAGATCATGAAGAAATGGTTTGTTTTTTGAATGTCGGTTAAAATTTTTGCGTTTTAGGAACTTTTGACTCGGACGACTCAATCAGATGATGGTTTACTGTCAGATCGAAGCAGTCGACGCGTGTCAGGTAATCCTGGGCTAATCTTGACATCTGATTACTACAATTGTTATCACAAAATCTTTTTTTTTCAGGTGGTGCAAACGGGTATCGCAGAACACCGCCACGAGCCGAAGTGGAAACAGAGCAAGATGAGCCTGAAGAGGAGGATCCACAAAAATTGGACTACGATGACAACGAGATTCCGGGAGGATTGCCAATTGCAGGATCTGAACGGATATAAGTTTCATTTCTTTCTTCTTTCCTATTTCAAACTGACTGAGAACCAAATTGCATTATAAACTCAAAACGTTGTGCATTTTACCGCCTCATCGAATGCTTAATTTTCTTTTACTTTTACTTACATATTCATATAGATTGTATATACATTTAGAATCAATAAATTGTTGTTGGGTTTTCTTTAAAAGCCAACTCGCTTGCAAATAAATTTTTGCTGAATTAGAGGTTTAAATGCACTTGAGGACTATGCAAATGCAATACAAATCTAAATGAAGAGATTTGGGCGGAAATTTCAGGATTTTTTGAGGGTCGTGACTGTACAGGGAAAGGATCCTCTCCTGTCCGATACCCTCAATTGGGTCATTCCCTCACTTGATCCCCTTTCCCTTCCTCCCCTCTCTTTCCATTTCCACAACTAGTTCTCATTCTCCTTTTCCATTTCTCCTCTTTCAGGCTCACTTTCTCTTCTCAAAACACTCTTTGTTTTGATTTAAATCATGTAAACTTTGTATCTTTATTCTTCAACTTCTTCACGAAAAGATGACATTGACATTTCGCTAAGGATTTTGGAGTCAGGTTAGTAACAAAACTTACAGATTCTAAAGCTTTAGGCTAATTGGGCTTTAGATGCCAATGAAATCTTGCCAAGATCCTGAATAGAAATTCGTAGAATCCCGTAGAAATGGAAATTCGGGGGAACGAAGGGCACCCCCAGGTGGCTCTATTCATATGTAAGGAAAAAGAAGAAGACACAAAAATCGACAGGAGAAAGGGAAATATGATGGGGGAAATGGGGAAAGGAAAGGATGGTTTTGACTCATAAATGAGACTCTCAGACTCAACAATGAAACGAGCAAACACACTAAACATTTCAGATTTCTTTGAAATGATCTAAAAACCGTTGACATACTATAGTAATATAATTTTGAAAACAATTTTTTTATTTCGTTTAGATGATCGTTGAACGATTTATCCCTGTTCGTTTACCCGATTGGGAGAGAAATCTGAATCGTTTCTTCTGGATTTCGCATTCGTTTCTCGCGTTTGTCATCGCTTATTACACGACAAATGGAGAAATCTATCCCTGGATTGAGCATTGGCTTCATGATAGCAGGTTTTATTTACGAAAATCTTTCTTTACTAGATTTTTTTTTTCATTAATAGCCTATAATGAACCTAGACTGCTAATGGAAAAGAACCTGCTTTCGCTATAAACGTGTCAACTTTTAAAAAAACTATCATAACCTCCTTTTATATCTTTTGATCACTTCTATAGGAATCCTGATTACAAGGTTACGTTTTTTAAGAGTTTAAGAGCTGTTTAAGAGCTTGTTTAAGAGCTTGTTTAAGAGCGGTTGTTCTCTTTTCCTCAAAATTTTCAAAAAGTTACCACGTTTTAGAAAAGAGTACTTCTCAAATTCTCCTGAAATTCAATTTTCAATTTTTCAGTTACATTCCAAATCAAAAAATCGACAACTCGGATTCGGAGTGGTGGTTTTACAAAAAGAATTTCCCACGTCTTTTCGGATGCCTTTTGATGAACTCGATCATTTTCACGTTTCTAATGAAAACCTCAAGGAATCTCTACATTTTCCCGCTTCTTTTCTCTCAACTCGGATTGCATGTGCTCTTGACAAGGTACTTTCACCTTGTACAACAAGACACAAGGATCGAAAATCCAAATATTACATGAGTATTTTCAGCTTTCCCTGCCTATCAACGTGCATTTTTCTGACGATTTTCGTTTTATCGCTTGTCTACTTTTTTCGAAAAGAAGCAATCGCCTGGCTTTTGTGTATCGGTTTCATTCTCAAGGTGGGGGCGATTTTTCCCCAATTCGGGACTTGGTACTTTTCCAATATCGGGGGAGCGAAAGGAAAATCGGGGGAGCAAATTTTGGCAGCGCTACATATGTCCGATATTATACAAACCACCGCCATAAAATCCGCGAATTACCCGTTATTCTCAAAACTTTTATATTAGATCACAAAAGTGACTTAAATATCTAACACCCAGCGAAATGGATATTTTCCCTTTGAGCGGACTTTCATCAATTCGCCACAGTTGCAAATCCACGACTGGATGACTCGTTTGGTGACGAAATAGTCGATTGCCGTCGATTCCTTGAACGCACAAATGCCGGAGAACCGCAACGTCGTTAAGATTTTAAAAAAAGAAACGTTGCGGTTAAAATACAGTTCCGGAAATGCATTTTTCGAGGGGGCAAAATTTGCTCCCCCGATTTTCCTTTCGCTCCCCCGATAATCCTTCCGCTCCCTCGATATTGGAAAAATACCCGGGACTTTTTTTCAAATGCAAATCTCAGTGCTCAAAGATCGCTCCATTCTCTCACACTTCTTACGTTTACTACCTAGAGTTTAATCTTTATGCGTACACTTGTCTAAAGGTTTGTTCGCATGAATATCATTCACTCAATTTTTCTCAATTGAAGATAATCAATGTCTCCATTTATTTGTGTCGACAAGAGCCGAAAGAAAGCGACGAACAGAAAAAAGGGCTTCTAGTCGATATTCTCATCTATCTACTCTATCTTCCATTCTCGATAACGCTCATCGTATTATTTGATGATTTCCGAAAACAATTGGAGAAAAGGAGAAGAAAAGAGAAAGATTTTAATAGAACAGAAAAATCTCCCAAAAATCGCGATCTTCTCATCTTCGCTTTTCGTCTACTTTTTTGGCTTGGGTTCTTGGATTTTTTGATGCACTTTATCTATGTGAATGCCGTTTTCTCATCGCCGAACACACTTCTATTTGGAATGAACTCATATCAAGGTAATAAAGGTTTCGACTAGGATGTTTTCTAAAGCACGGAAACTTGCGAAACTACCGTAGTCTTACCCAGTGTATTGCTTTTCTTTTTACAGTAATGTCGATCTCGTATGCGGTTGGGCAGTACTTTCACATCAAATATGTCGTCATCTTTGGGATCCCGTCACTATTCGCGAAAATTGATGGTTTTCTTGGAATTCATGAGTACCAAAGTAACTTTTCTATTCAGGAATGACTCCACCACCGCCGCCAATTTGTGTATCACGCGTTTCGCGGTACTCTCGAATTTGGAGACATTTTGACGCTGGTTTATATCAGTTTCTAAAAAACCAGGTAAAGAAAGTACAAAGAACGAATCTACTACAAAGATATTCTAGGTCTACATTCCATTGATGAGAAACGTAACTGGATGGAAAGGATCTGTGCTACGATTTATATCAATGGTGAATGTATTCCTTGTTGTACTCGTCTGGCATGGTAACTCAACGATTAGTACAAAATCATAAAGAAATTAAGGTTTTGATTCCCACTACGTATACTGGGTCTCCCTTTCGGGGATTGAGTTAATTTTCGAGTGGGCTGGTGTTGCTCTATGGTCGACAAGTAAATTTCAAGAAATGAGAAAAAGAATTGGTGAACAAAATACGCGAAGGTTGATTTCATTGGGAATGTTATTCACTGTGATACCAGGTGATCGCACAAAAAAACATTTTCAAAATAATTTCAGGAATTTTCGGAGTTTTTTGTTTCTTGGGAAGTCCCGGTGTTGGGACAACAGTTTTCAGGAAAGTGCTGATTGACGGGTCGCTAGAATTGTTTTCGGGTCACTTCATTAAAAATGGGTAAATCTGATAATAAATAACTTGAAAAAAGTCACATTTAGCTTTCCTTCTTCCGGCCTGATTTTCTTTCACATGATGGTGCTTGGATATTTTTACAACAACCACACATTGGACTATGATGAAGAAAAGGCTATCAAAACAGAATAAATTGTATTAAAACAAGCAATAACATTTATTCGTCAAAATAAATCCCAAAGGCAACAAAAACAAATTATCCTCCCTTCTTTTTGGACACTCCCACCGTGCGTCCCTTGCGACCTGTTGTCTTGGTATGTTGACCACGCACACGGAGTCCCCAGTAGTGTCGTAGACCACGATGCAAGCGGATTTTCTTCATTCGCTCGAGATCCTCACGGAGCTTGTTGTCAACACCGGTGGAGAGAAGCTAGAAAAAAACATTTCAGTATTTCAATAATTCAATCTAGACCAACGGGCATTCAAAAAATTATACGCATTTAGAAAATTCCCGAGCCTTTCCCCCAATTGTTTAGAGCTTAGATGCTAAGCCTCGACATACGATTATAGAAAGAATGGCAATCTCCGCGAATCATGTTGGTCGCACATGAAACTCCTTTAACGGAACCTCAAGACCCAGTAAATATTTTCAAAATCTCTAACTTTAAAATTCCCTTTAAAAAACAGAACGAAATGACGGTTTACGGATGCTACTATCTAATTCCTTATTGTTCAACCATTGAAAAATTACCTGCGAATATTTGCCGTCTTTCCAATCCTTTTGTCTGTTCAGGAACCAGTTGGGGATCTTGTATTGCGAGGGATTCTGCATGATTGTTTGGAGTTTCTCGTAATCATCCTCGTTCAACTCTCCAGCGCGCTTGTGGATATCGATGTCAGCTTTGCGGCAGATCAGGAAAGCGAAACGACGGCCAACTCCCTAAAAAAACAATATTATTTTGTTTAAACAGAGATAATTGTTTAAAGCTAATACATTTTCGAATACAAGTCTTTTCTCGTTCAGCGAATCTGGTTTTCTTGTTAATCCTTGACGGATGAGCTGTGCAAACCTTTGCTCCCAAACTGGGCAGCACCAATAAATTCAAAAAGTTACCTTAATAGCAGTCAGAGCGTAGGGGATCTTTCGGTTACCATCGATGTTGGTGTTGAGAACACGATGAATGTGTTGAAACTTCTCCGGAATGATAAGCGACATGGCGCCGCGAATTACCTCTAAATTTAAAGGGTAATAAGTGATAAGCATGAAACGAAGAGCAAAATGTACTGAAAAACAATCGAAGATGGGTAGTTTATAAGGGGCAAATCGCAGATGTGGGTAACATGGCGCGAAAGGTCGTAATTTCTATTGCTGAGTTCAGTTGTAATTGCCACGGGGTATTGGTCGAAAGAAAGAAAAGTTTAACCGTGCAAGAACCAGGCAAAGGGTAGCTTACCACAAAAGTGATGTCAGAAAGGTCACTTCAAAAAAGCTACGAGAAGAAATGAATGCGGAAAAAATTTGGTCGTGAAAAAAGCTTATGCAGATAAAAAATTTTCAATGAAGTACTTGAATATCTTTTACCGTAAGGCAAAATAGTTTCTTTTATTAAGGAGTTAAGATATTCAGTTAACGGGGGCATATTTTACTATTTAAAATTGAAGACCAAAACTGGCAGAATTGCAATTTGCCAACAAGTTTTCGTGACGATTGGTTGCAAAAAGCGTACTCTGATCATTATTTTTATTTAAGCGCAACAAGAAAACCTTATTTCAAGTAAAAAGATGCTAGTTTTTTTCGGAAAATAAATCTCAAAAGAGTTAAAAGCATGTCGTAGTTAAAGATGATCTTTTCGCGGCGAGACCCCGATTCTTACTTTTGCAGTTCTCTTTTGCCTTTTCGTTTGACCGTACCATGTCGTTTGCTTATCCGCAGCGTTTAGCAGCGTTGGTTCTTTTCCATTGCCTTCTTTTTGGTAGGGAGACACTTCGAATTCAGATTCCCTTCGACTTGAGTTGCTGTTACTTCTAACTCGACAGTCAATTGGTTCACAAAATGGGAAGTAAGTCGTTTTTCTTTTAATCTCAAGTGCTATACAGGGCATAGAAGGGCGTTAACTTTGGTATATCTGTCTTAGATAGTTAAGATAGGCCTGAAAGTATAACTCGAACACATAACGGAAAAATTATACAGTTTTTGTTTTTAGTAAAGTTTCTCGACTTCGTCAAGCCTTTCTGCGGCTTCGTGCCCGAGGTTTCAAAGCCGGAACGCAAGATCGCCTTCCGTGAAAAGATGCTATGGACCGCCATAACCCTTTTCATCTTCTTGGTCTGCTGTCAAATCCCACTTTTCGGTAACTTTATGGCATTGTTCAGCGTTTACGTGTGATCTTTTAGGAATTATGTCGACGGATTCAGCTGATCCATTCTACTGGCTTCGAGTGATTCTTGCCTCGAATCGAGGAACATTGATGGAGCTCGGAATCTCGCCAATTGTAACTTCGGGACTTATCATGCAACTGCTCGCCGGCGCCAAGATCATTGAAGTTGGTGACACCCCAAAGGATCGAGCACTGTTCAATGGAGCACAAAAACGTAAGCATTAATTAGTCGTAGACTAAGAACTAGGAAGCTGAGTTGGTATAATGTTATACTTTAGTCTTCGGAATGGTGATCACTGTTGGTCAGGCTATTGTTTACGTGCTCAGTGGACTTTATGGTGAACCGTCGGAAATCGGAGCTGGAATTTGTCTGTTGATTGTCGTCCAATTGGTTGTTGCTGGATTGATCGTTCTTCTTCTTGACGAGCTTCTTCAGGTAGATTTTAATAAGCATTAAAAAATAATATTTCATTTTAGAAAGGGTATGGACTTGGATCTGGTATCTCGCTTTTCATCGCCACAAACATCTGCGAAACAATTGTTTGGAAAGCCTTTTCACCTGCGACAATGAACACCGGACGTGGAACTGAATTCGAAGGAGCAGTCATTGCCTTGTTTCATCTCCTTGCCACCCGCAACGACAAAGTAAGAATTTTTCAAAGACACTTGATTTTGTAGATCAAAGCTCCTTGAGCATAAGCTGTTGTACTGATTTGTGTTATTCATTAGCTTTAGGTTCGTGCACTTCGCGAGGCTTTCTACCGACAAAATCTCCCCAACTTGATGAACTTGATGGCTACCGTTTTGGTGTTCGCTGTTGTGATCTACTTCCAGGTATGATCATAGTTAGTATTTTTTTAACTGAAATCATTATAGGGCTTCCGTGTGGATCTCCCTATCAAATCTTCGCGCTACCGTGGACAATACTCGAGCTACCCAATCAAACTTTTCTACACCTCGAACATTCCAATCATCCTTCAATCAGCTCTTGTCTCCAACTTGTACGTCATCTCTCAGGTGTGTTTTTTAATCGGCTAGGGTAAAACACAGTTTCGTTACAGCACTCGTACATTAGTTTATTAGCTAGTAACGAGTTTTTTTGAAACCCATAAGGTTATAAACTTATTAACTTTAGATGCTTTCTGCAAAGTTCGGTGGCAACATCTTGGTGAATATTCTTGGAACCTGGTCTGATGCTTCTGGAACCTATCGCAGCTACCCCACTGGAGGATTGTGCTATTATCTTTCACCGCCTGATAGGTCAGTCATAACCTGCCATTCGATTTTTATTTTTAATTTAGCCTTACCGCTGTTCTTGACGATCCTTTCCACTGCATCATTTACATCGTTTTCATGCTCGGATCATGCGCTTTCTTCTCAAAGACGTGGATTGATGTGTCTGGAAGCTCTGCCAAGGATGTGGCCAAGCAATTGAAAGAACAACAAATGATCATGCGAGGACACCGAGAGAAATCAATGATTCACGAGCTCAACCGGTTTGTTTTTCCCAAGTTTACAGTGAAATAATCCTTAACTTTTAGGTACATTCCTACTGCCGCTGCTTTTGGAGGTCTTTGCATTGGAGCCCTTTCTGTGACTGCCGACTTTATGGGTTAGTTGCTTCTTTTCTAGAAGCAAACTTTTATATTTTTTTAGGCGCCATCGGATCTGGAACCGGAATCTTGCTGGCCGTTACAATCATCTATCAATACTTCGAGATTTTCGTGAAAGAACAACAAGAAATGGGCGGTGTAGCTGGAATGTTCTTCTAAATAGTCTTCAATTGTGCGTTCATCTCTTTCCCCGGGTCTCTAATTGTGTAGATAGCATGAAAATCCAATGACGGAAAGCACTTTAATAATGCTCGCCCTGGTTGGTTGACTTCTGTTTCTTGTTCGCTTCTTCTTTTTTTGCGTGGACTTGAAACTTCAATCGGGGAATTGGGGGCAAGCTAGTATTTATTGTTTTTATTCAGTTTTTGGCCCTTTCATGTATCGTGTTTCCGTTTTTTGTCTGTTGTTATTTGTTTGATAAAAATTGTGAGTAAATATTTTATGAAACTTAAAATAGCATTGAAAACAAGGCATGATTATGTGAATGTGTTTATACTTCGATAGTCTAAAACTTTATTCATTCCATACGAAAGAAAACGTTCAAACTAGGATGGAGGTGATTTTCAACATACCACAACACGACCCCTATGTATATGGTCTGACTAATTTCAATAAATACCCAGATCAAGAGAGTTTAAAAGTTCAGTGGTTCTAACAAGATAACCTATTTCTAAACTAATGGCCGACAAAAATTTGCAGTGTCAGTTTGTTTGCTCTTCCCAAAGTGTCGAGCTGCAAAACAGAGTTTTGCGTCAACTCAGCGATCATCTGACACTCATTTTTGTCGACCTTTTATCAGTCATTTATATATAAAACTAAATGCTTAGAAACAAAAAATTATGGTCTTGTCATTTTGGATTGAGGGCTTAGAGAGTGGCACTTCTTTGATTACCGTTTATATTCTTAACAAAGAAATTTAAACAATATATTAAGATTCCAAAACAGCCGCACTATGACTTTAAAAAATTGCTCCAATAAATCAATGCGTACAAGCAAAAGAAGACTATGCAAAAAGAGCCTAATTATGTATGCCAACCTAATTTAAAAGATCAAAACACAAACAAGAATTAAAAATTATTCGAAAATTCTATTGGATGTGAAGGCTCTTTTTCACCGTTTTCACAACATGCGCCGTCGTTGGAAGTGCCGCAGCTTCAAGCGTCTGGGTGTATGGCATTGGAACATCTACGCCAGTTACTCTAAAGTAAACCAATCGATTAAAAGCCCAAATACTAAAAACATACCTGTATGGGGGAGCATCAAGATAATCAAAGGCTTCCGATTCAATCACTTGAGCGATAATCTCTGCTCCGATTCCTAAAAGATTAAAATGATAGCAACTTTAAAAACTTTACCTGCAAATGGCCATCCCGTTTCAACTGTGACCAAGTGATTGGTCTTCATAATACTCTTTTTAATCGTTTCGAAATCAAATGGTCGCAGCGTTCGAAGGTTGATCACCTAAACACAAATTCAATAAAGACAACACTCCTAATGTCCTAATGACAAAACTCTCAATTCAAAAGAAAAGTTCACAACAAAACAAAATTCAAAAAAATAACCTCAGCTTCAACACCGATCGATGCGAGTTCTTTGGCTGCTTCGAGTGAAAATTCCATTCCTCTTGAATATGTCACAATTGTTACGTGCTTGCCGACCCTAAAAACAATATATACACGTTAAAAGTGTTTTCTAACCGCTCAACGTGGGCCTTTCCAATTGGCAATACAAAATCTTCACTCTTTGCCTCATCAGAGAACGGGAAAGGTTGACCATAAAGAATCTCGTTTTCCAGAAACACCACTAAAATGTTTTCAAAGTTTTTTGGAAATTCTTTAACAATATACCTGGATTGTCATCGCGAATTGAAGCTTTCAAAAGTCCCTTGGCTTCTTCGGCATTGTAAGGGGTAACAACCTCAACAAAAAGTTTCCTTATATTACCAAGAAAATAAAACTTTTAATCCCGGGCAGTGTGCAAACCAAGCAGAAAAATCCTGAGAATGCTGAGCAGCCACACCAGCAGCAGCCCCGTTTGGTCCTCGAAAAACGATGGGACAAGTAACCTAAAAAAAAAATGTAATTTTATAAAAATAAAGCTCTATACCTTTCCCGCTGACATGTAGTAGGTTTTAGCAGCCGAATTAATGATTTGATCAATAGCCTGCATAGAGAAATTGAAAGTCATAAACTCGCAAACGGGGCGCAAACCTAGATAACAATCATAAAATAGACGAAAAACAGTAACAAACCAGCAAACGCAGCTCCTACAGCAATTCCAGCAAATCCCATCTCGGTGATTGGTGTATCCCAAATACGAGAATCTCCATGTTTCTTCCAAAGACCTTTCGAAACCTGTTAGAAGCAAACAATATGGAAAAATTAAATTTATTTAACCTTGTACGCTCCATCGTATTGTGCAACCTCTTCACCCATCAGAAAAACGTTTGGATCTCGTCTGATTTCCTCGTCAAGAGCCTAAAACTTTTAATTATATTGCTTAATCAATTTACAAAAGAAACAAAGTTCTAAAAGCTGTTAAAAGCTCAAAATTATCCTGATTGAAAAAATCACCTGATTGAGTGCATCTCTGATTGTACATGTGGACCCGGTTGCGAGTTGTCGGCTTGCTTGTAATGAAGAGCACCGCCCCAAGAAACGTCCAAAAATAACGCTGACAGGACGCATTACCTGAAAATAAACACATCATAAATACTAAAAAGGTTTTAAGAAAAGAAAAAAGTTAATCTCAAATAGAATGAACGTCAAGATCAGTTGTGCAAATGAAAATGGTCGCCTTTTTATACTTCAAACTCGAGCAAATTCAACTCTTTGCGCCAAAATGACCAGAAAGAGCTACTCTTTAAAATTTGGACATGGCCAAGCAATAGATATTGTTCATTTTCAACGTCTATAGTCACCCGTAACAACATAAAATCAGCCACGATAATATTTGTACTGTAAACAAAAAAATTCAATGCGCATAAAGATCTGAAAAGTGGCAACGAGGTTGTCGGAAAAGCGCGTCATTTGGAAAGTTGAGTAAGCGAAGAGCAGTTCAATCACTAGGTCACCAAATTGTCGCAAACATGGACTATTGAAAGAAAAAGGAAAATCAAGTGATTCACTTGGATACACAAAGAAGACGAATAAAAGTCGAGTGAAAGATTGATTTGGTGATGAGAGGAGAATGATGAGAGGAGAAGAAATGATGGTGATTAGAGGAGAAGAAAAGGAGATCATTCGTGAATTCGCTTTTTAAACTTTCATTGAACTTAGGGTATCTTTCGTGCTTTTAATATCACGATCGGAATTTGGTGCCGACACCCGGAATGATTTTTTGTCTAATGATAGCTATCGCATCCTTTACGTTCACATATAGTTACCGTACTCCCGGAGCCAAGTTCTCTAGAAAATTACCGTTACCGTAAACCCAGAAAGTGCATTTATTTTCAGTTCAAGTACTCCTGAATCTAGATTCCCTAGTTACCGTAAACCTAAGAACGTTTTTCTAAAGCTAGCAGTGATCCCCAAACCAATAACAAGCACCTTGTTCTCCCATTTTCTAAAAGCTCCGAGATTATTCCCTAATGAGCTTAGTTGTTAGTGCAAGAAGTATTTTCGGGACCATGACGGGACGATTATGCCGCAAGCCAAAAACGAAAATTGCACTGCGAAATTTGCGCGGAAGGACTTGAATTATTTCATTGAGACTTTATGTTGTTTTTTGATGACGCAGAATCGAATTTAAGTTCAATCACAATGACTACATGTTTTTAAATGCAAACATTGTCACTTGAGTGCTCAGACGATGGTTTGTTGGTGTTTCTTTGTAGAAGATGCATTTCGTAAGACCTTTAATGATTATAGTTGCGTTTTAAAAATGAGATTTTAAAATTATATTAACAAACAAAACCAGTATAATCGTAAGTGAAAAGAGCACAACAACAAAAAACAATTTTTTTTACAGCGTTAAAAGTAGTAACAACGTAAGAAACCTACCGTAAATGCTGTATTAGAATGACACCCGGAGGGGATATTGAAAAATAGAATGACACCACACTTACACTTAGCACACGGTTGATTGTTGGTGTTTCTTTGTAGAAGATGCATTTCGTAAGACTTTTCATGATTATAGTTGCGTTTTAAAAATGAGATTTTAAAATTATATTAACAAACAAAACCCGTATAATCGTAAGTGAAAAGAGCACAACAACAAAAAACAATTTTTTTTTACAGCGTTAAAAGTAGTAACAACGTAAGAAACCTATATCAAATTCGAGGAGAAATATAAATGGATAAACCAAAAAATGGCCAAAATAAAGTGGTGGACGAATAGGGTTAGTGACGGCCAAATGTCACTCTCTGTGAAATTTTCTTGCCTTTCGATTTTGAGGGAACATCTGAAGAACGGTGAGCAACTTTGTCTGTGCATCGTTGTAGCGAACTTTCAAACGCCTTTTGATGATGAAACAGCTGGAAGACCACCAGTTGAGCGGATCATTGTTTTATGATACCCTAAGGTTAAAATTGAAAAACAAAGTTGATGAATTCTTACCTGCAGGCGTGCATTATAAGACTTTTGCGTGTTATTTTAAATTTGAAGATTTGCGGCAACACGATCATAAGCATTCTAGTGTTCGATTGCAAATCGAGGATTGATTAAAACATTTGAGACACGTTTTCGAATGTAATTATCGCGAAAATAGTCATAGTAATCTAGATGTAAATTAACCATAAAACAAAATCTAAACCCACATTGAAGTTTTTGCTGTAAATGTTGCGGTGCGCGAGGGATAGCTCAATTGATTAGCTCGTAAAAATGCTGCTCGACTTCTCCCGGCGGTACAAAACATAAAGCCATCAAACCTTTTATCATTAGTTTTGTCGAAGTATCCTTGTAAAGACTTGCCAGATCTCGTATCTAAAACAAGACGTTTTAACAAAAAATAAACACAAAAACCTGTGCTTGGCGGAAAAGCGCATTGGCAAAATGAAAAGCACAATAGTTGACATCGACTAGCGGATACATGGACAAGATCGTTGCTTTTATCTCGTGTTCAAAACCTAAAAAGATCAAAGATAGATAAAATGTGTCTTAATTTCTTACCTAGCATAACTCTTTTGGGGGCTAGAATGCCCAAATTGAGTCGACAACGAAAAAAGTAAGCCCAATGTACCTGCAAACCTTTGTACCGTCTTTGTTGTTACGCTCTACGCGTAGCTCAAAACCTTCATCGTGTTCGACTAATTCTTTGCCTCGATTAGTGAGAATCTCTGGCATACCTGAATTCAAAAGTACTTTAATTGTAAATCCATTAGTACCTATGGAGCATAAAAACAAACGTTCTTACTTGATTCTTCGCCAAAACTATGAAGTCCACTTGATTCCCTTCTGAAATTAGAAAAATTTAATAGATAAAACAGACGGTTGCCAAGTGACCAGTAATGAAATTCTATCATTTAAATAGCACACATTTAAGTTATTCTAATTAGAAATGCTATAAACACCAAACGTGCCCGTTCAGCTCATCGAATGTGCAAGGGGACTTCCGAAAAAGACACTTTTGACCAAGAGTTGACACTGAAAATAGCAAATTTTTAGTGAAATAAAATAAAATAAAACAAAAACAAGGCAGCAAAATCAAAAGGATGGAGAATAAGTGTTAGGTTATCAATTTTTTGGCGGAATTCATGCAAATGGGGGCGGGGGAGGGAGACCAAAGTAAGAAAAACAGCGAAAAGTGCTGAAAAAGCGCAGAAACAGATAAAAAACATTGTTTCTAGTACTGGGTTAGCGCTAGTTTGTTCGGCGCAATTTTTGTTTTTCGTGCGCGGCGCAAAATTCGGGGCGCAAAGTTTGCCGGCGGAAAATACGCTCGGGGCAATTTTCGCTTTTGGTCTTTCGGCACAAAATTCGTCGGCGAAATTTTCGATTTTGGCTTGCGGCGCAATCGTCATGGTCCCGTATTTTCGGGGTAGGCTAGTTTCCGCAACAGGGTCATTTGCGCAACAGGGTCATTTGCGCAACTGGGTCATTTGCGCAACTGGGTCATTTGCGCAACTGGGTCATTTGCGCAACTGGGTCATTTGCGCAACTGGGTCATTTGCGCAACTGGGTCGTTTGCGCAACTCACCATAACTTTCTTCTAAGTGGGCCAATCTTTATGATTTTGGTCTCATTTTGTAGATCTCAATAAGTGCAACAAAATGAAATCAAAATCATAAAGATTAGCCCACTTAGAAGAAAGTTATGGTGAGTTGCGCAAACGACCCAGTTGCGCAAAAAAAGTTGCGGAAACTAGCCTACCCCGTATTTTCTATTGAAATATTACGGTAGTTTTATTGAATTTTAAAATCCCCGTAAACACTCGATATTTTTGTATGCAAATGTGTGTTGATGGATCGTTTACCCACAAAAAAAAAGAAAGAAAGAAAAAAAGAGTGCCCGAGTTGTTCACGCGGAAAAAAAAACCTTACACTCACCCCGAAACCCCAAAAAAGAATAGTACAATAGAATTGTTGTGAAAAGAGAGAAAAGGATGGAGAGACAGTGATACCCATTGATGAGAAAAAGAGAAGAATCCATCTATCGGCCATTTCCCATTTCACACACGCTCCATTTCATCCATTTTCTACTCCCTTTTCTCAACATACTAACTATCACCACGAATACAAGGTCAACAAATTGTTCGCACTCTTTTTTTTTTGTGATGCTAACTACCATTGGATAGTTCGATGGTCTCAAAATAGTCCCACTTACAAATAGTTTTTTAATGCGTTTTCTAAAACGTACCAACTTTCGTAAGCTACCGTAATCTGTCTCTAGTCTGTCTCTAGTCTGCCTCACGGTAAAGACAAAATTACTGTAGATTTTGAAAGTCGATAAAGCCATTCAAACTTCAAGTGATGCCTGGGATATCTGATTCCGAGCACCTTGTACTTCTACATGTTTAGCACGAGTTTAAAGCTATACAAACCCGGGTATATGGGTGCTGTAGGATACTGTAGCCAGAGATGATTCATACTAAATATTATATATAATGAACCAACTACTGTTTATACCAATATTTGAGAGCAGCACAGTGCCTTACTTTTGTAATACCCCATACCCCATCGCTATTCATTTTCAATTCTCCAATTTCACACTCACAAATCCAATCATCTTCTCGGTATTCCCCTCATCCAATTCTCAATCCTTGGAATAACTTCCATTTGTCAATTCATCGATTTCTTTCCTTCAAACCGTTCAATCATCTCAGCAAGTTCAAGGAGAACTTTTGAAATAACATATATCGAGGTTGGGAGGAGAGTTCGAGACTAACTTTGAGTACTTTATCGTCATAGTTAGAACCACAATAGCCCTATGCAGGTAATCCAGCTAGACTTTAAGGGTATGGCCTTTCAAAGCAAATCTATGCCTTACACAAGCTTATCTACTTTACTTGATTCTAGGCATGTTCTAAATCCAAACTTCCGACCCAGCCCTGATATTTTAAAGCCAGATCCATATAAGCTCTTTGTATTCAACTCCAGGATTTGTTTGTGGCTGAAATTGGCCCTTATATCCGCAATAATCAAGCCCGGGAAGAGAAGCCAATCGTTCGCCAATTAGTCTCATGTCTGGAAGTGGGGTGAATTGGGGCCCTCGTGGGAATTCGAGTCATCCAACCCATAACTGGCCCCTGTCCTTTCCCCGTTTCCCCTTTTCTCTCCCGCACAAGCTGATTTGCAATTTGCATTATTGCGGCTAACCAAACATTGATGCGGACACAATTGTTCCGCCTCAATTCAACCAACCACCCCCCTTTTTCTTTTGCTTTGAGCCCAAAGAGGATTTCCCAGTACCAGAAAAATTAGTGGGAGAAGTTAGTACGATTGTTACGATTATCGTTTTAGGTCAGAAAATACCTTTATCCTTTACATTGTCAATCCTTTTCTCATTGTCACTTAGGTGCCAAGTGTTCTCATCATTCATTCTGTCTATCGGTCAGATCAAAAGATCTCCTTTTTGTCATTCTTTACTAGAAAGTTTCGCGCGTTGACCGTAAACACCAATTGGTACATCTAAATCACTCGATAAAGGAGAAAAAAAAGGAAAAGAGGGAAGGAAGAGAAGGGGGAATTTTAAGGTATTGGTTCTTCTTTATTCAATCCTTTCCCTATTCACCCAAATATGAATGAAAACCGATTTGACTCACCCACTGCCTTCTCTCCTCTCCATTTCCCAATATGGTCACAAATGCACAAACCAAACATTCCCCTTCCATTTCTCTTTCCTATGCAATTTCATTCCCCAGTCATCATGATTCCATAATGTTGTTCATGACTTGACACTTGGGAAATTCTTTAAACGTTTAGACTTTTGAAGAGATTCGATTTTCTATGAAAGGCAAATTTAAAAATGTTCCTCAGAGAATTGAGAATTGAGATAACTTTTTCTAGAATTGATAGCCACTGGGGCTTAAGGCTATATATTCTTTAAAGCTACGGCCGATTTGATTATTCGTTAGATTGATTTTGCAAATAGCCAATGTAGCTCTTGGCCAAGGTCAACTTTTAGTTTTAGTCCTACACTTGGTAGTTTGAAGTAGTTTGATAAGTTGATTTTATAGTGATATTTTCCGTATAGTGCCCAACATCACAGTTTAGTGGAAATAGGTTGATGGGGAGTTTCGATCGAGAGAAATTGCGAGGAAATCGGCTTAACTGGAGGGGGCCCTTTCATCATTGAGTGACCACTTCTCCTACATCGCTCGAAATTTTACCTGAGTACTCAATAAAGGATTATATTTTGTTTATTGATTATATATATGAATGAATCTTTCTTTTATCCTTTTCTCATCCATTTTCTCTTCTATTATCACTTTCCCATGGTCATTACACAAAAAGCAGCTCTTTCTCTCGTAAACTTATTTTACAAAAGAAATTTTTTGGCTGTTTGGCTGTTTGATTTGTTTGTCAATAGATAAATAGATAGATAAGTAGCTGGCTACTATTAGGATCATTTTTGAACAAAAAAAAAACCCAAAGAAAGCTTTGAAGCTTTGAAACAGCTTTGAAACAATGGATATGAATAATGGATAAGTTTCTGGATTAAAAATGGTTACAAACAGCTAGCCAACTTCTAGCTTAACTTCGAAACCATGTCAAGAATTAGATTTGATGCATTTGGGAACAATTTCGAAGCCATTACGAGATTTGTGAGGGATTTCGGAGATTTTAAGGGGTCCTTTGTTGTCCAGCTCTCCCCTCTGAACGGACATCCGAATGCTAATTGCCCTCCCGCATTTTATGACCACACGTCCCATGTCCCTTTGAAATAAATTTAGAGTTTACAACTCTTTCTGGATTTGGATTTGGGTTCAAGACTTGTCTTGTGGGCTTGTGAGCAAAATATGAAAGCAACACTTGAACTTTATCGTTGATTTTATTCGATTTGACACAATTCCTTCAATGAAAAACTTCAATGATCATTAAATCATTGAAATTCTTCATTTTAGAGATTTTAGACTATCATCATTGCCTTTGATAGTAAAATTTGATTTGGTTCTAATACGATACAGATTTGGTTCCAATAAAATACAGATTTGGTTCTAATACGGTACAGATTTGGTTCCAATACGATATAGATTTGATTGTTTACGATCGTATAGTTCTTGGAGGAATATTTATAGCCGACTTTGTCATGTCAGACACCATCGTTAGTTCATTTATATCTTTTTTTCGATTTTCTCATCATCAGAAAGTCGAATACATACTAGAAATCAATTCCAATTTGGTTCCAATACGATACAGATTTGATTGTCGGACACCATCGTTAGTTCATTTATCCAATACGGTACAGATTTCATTCCAATAAGCTACAGATTTGGTTCCAATACGATATAGATTTGATTAGTTCGTTAGTTCATTTATATCTTTCATCGTTAGTTCATTTATATCTTTTTTCGATTTTCTCATCATCAGAAAGTCGAATACATACTAGAAATCAATTCACTAAATTTCAAAAAGATGGAAAAAGCAGTCAAATCGATGAATTCGAATGAAAGATGCGGATTGGATGAAAAGGAAAAAGGGGGCGGGGTTTTGAAAGAGAAGGAAAAGAGGAGCTTCTCTCATTCTCGAAACAGCCCCAATTTCTATCCTTTTTTTTCTAAATTTCCTCTTAATTATCGCTTCTTACAAATAAACTTATCAATAGTTAAACTTTTTATCCAGCAGCTATTTTAGATATCTAAATAGTTTAGGCTTTTAGGGTATACTTGATAGATCATCCCACAATTTTAGATAGAATTTAGAAAAGAAAATCTGTTTACTAAAATGAATTAAGTAGCAGGACTACAAAATCTGAAAAATGGCGCCCTTGAAAAAAGATTTCAAGGGTTATCATTTGACACTCAATCAGCGCGCATAAAGCAGTAGCATAAAGGATCAATTCCGCAGTGCTGTAGCATAAAGCATGTAGCATAAAGCAACGCGGAGAATGCGATGTTTAAAGTTAGTATCTAATTGCTTTATTGCACTTGTTATAACGGAAAAAAAAAGCGGAAAATTGAATATCTTTAATTTTCCAGAAAAAGTCAACAAATGGGGCAGCTACGCTTTTCCGCTTTCTCTGTCGCAGAACGTAGCTGCCCTATCCGTTGGGTTTTGCTTTCAAAATCAAAAGATATTAAATTCTCCATTTTTTTTCCGTTTATAAGCCTGTTTATGACTAAAGCTTGAAGATTAAAGAGATGCTAAGTGTCCAAGTATCCAGTTTGAAAACCACTTTTATTAAAACAGACTAATCTTGACTTTCAAGAAATCAAATTCTCAACTAAACTTTCGATAAACCTAAAAGTTTCCACAATTTGTGTCGCTTTCTCAGAATTTTCCATTTCAGTGCCAGTTTTCTCTATATTAATTTCAAAAACTTTTAAACTATTAGGTTGATGCAAAAATCTTTTTCATTTTTTTCGTACTTCTTTTGAAAAATAACAAAGCCATCAATTAACCTATGGTTTGCTCTAAATGAAAAGTGTTTATTGTTGAATTTCCCATCTTTTTAAGTCAATTTGGGTTCACTTTCAAGCAAATTCGAGAGTGAAAACGGGTTTTTCATAAAAATCTATAAAAACCTCTATAAAGAAATTGGCTGAATCAATTTCTCTGAAAATCTGAAAAAATATCTAACTTTTTGTGCTCTATCTTTTATTTATTAACATCAAGATTGGTTTCCTTAGCTAAAGCGTCTAAAATGCATCATCGAGCCGTCGCCTTTTTTGACTACCCGACTTCAGGCTCTCAAAAAAATCTAGACATAAGACATTTTAAACTCGTTTTAATGTCATTTTGCAGAAAAATAATTGGCCTTTCGAATGCAATAAACCGTTGTTCAATTGGTGCATTTGTTGCTTTTTAACGGAAGGACGAAAAAAATGAAAAAGACTTTTGCATCAACCCAATATATTCTTGCGTATTCTTGCTTGCTATTTGCTAACGTATTCTTGCTTATCCCTTTTTATATAATGTTTTGAATTTCTTTCATTGATCAACCATGAAAAAAATCGTTCTTTTAGAGCCTCCAACTCCTTCGAATCGCTCAACCACTCCCCGTCATGTTCTGTAAGTTTTTCAGCAATTAAATTAACAAAAAAACGAAAACAATTTGATCAAAATGCGGGATTCTTATCTATTTTCAATTCAATCCACTTCAGAACAGAAAAATCTTTTCAAAAAAACAGTTTTACCTTCGGAAAACATTCATCCATCCATTTCTATTCTACCTAAAATTTGCTTTAGTAATTTACCGTCTCCACTTCTTTTCTTTAAATCGATTCAATTTTAGCTCTTGAACAGCTAAAACAGCTAAATCTTAAAACAGCTCTTGAACAGCTAAAATCTCTTTCAAGTTCAACTTTTTCTCAACATTGAAATCTCACAGTCCATTCCCTTCTCAATCCAAGCCAGTATTTCCACATCTTGCCAACTCTTTACAACACATTTGTTTATTTTTTTTCAGATGAGTCACAATTTTTTTCTCTAGTCGAAAGCCAATCGATAGGTACCGTAGTGGGAAGGGTTTTGGAAAAAGGGGAAAAATGGGGAAGAGGGTTTTTGATTGGGAAAAGAGGGAATGGAGGGAATGGAGGGGGACAGCCACGGGGCTGCTTCTCTTCACTGAAAAAAGCCTTTGGCCCAAGTATTGATCAAAAACAAGCAAATATGGGGGAACGGGTCTGTGGCCTGGCACTGTTCAGACATGCATCCTATCACGACACTACTCATAAATGTTTAAAGCCTCAATTATATCTAGAGTCAATCATTGATATTCAACAATAAAAATGGCATTAATCCCTTCAAAAGTTTACGGTCAAGATCTACTTTTCTATGAAGCTTTAGCTTTTGGGTGTACATTTACCGTATTTCTTCGAATAGAAGACCGGGTAAAGAGTATGATCGCGTACTCCGGCGTAGCAGCCCTTTTAAAAATTTCTTTTCTGCATAAAATCTTACAATGAAGTGCTATAGAGCTGGAAAATGACTCAAAAATACCACATGAGCTAACAGATTTTTGAGCCATTTTCCAGCCCTATAGCACTTCATTGAAAGCTTTTATGCAGAAAAGAAATGGGCTACAAAGGGCTGCTACGCAGGAGTACGCGATGATACTCTTTACCCGGTCTTCTATTCGAAGGTATCTAAAAATTAAGCAATAGTTCAATTGTAGAAATCAATTGCATTAGTTTTGAGTATAGAAATTACTTCAAGAATTAAGTAGTTATAGAAAAAAGGCAGCTCTTCAGTTCTTTTGCAACGAGTTCGAAGAAAGAACTTTCTGACTTCGATGAATGATAAATGAACTTCAGCTCATCCTCGAGAGTGAATCAATTGTATGAAAATAGATGATCTATCATTAATTGTTTGTGAAAAGGGGAAAGGGAGATGGGCATCACTTTATTACAACTGTCTGTGGTGCGCGAGATTGGAAAATGGGGAATCCCGTCGGGAAATGAACGATTATCGAGAAGAAGGGAGAAGCTTCGAATGAAAGGAGAAGAAAAGGGAAAAGAAAAGGGGAAATTGTGTTCATAATTGGAATAATTGATGCTTACACACAATAGTGACACCTCTCTGAAGTGAAAAGGGGCACCTGGGATAGTGATCAATCTTCTGCTCATCAAATCCCTTCGAAAGTTGCGAGTATTAAGAAATGTGAAAGATAAATATAGATAAATATATAATATATGAAAGATAATATATATATAAATAAATAAAGGATTTAAAATATCTAAAGGCTGAAATAGTGAAATGATGTGAATCAATTTGTATGAAATTGATTCAATTATTTCAATTATGAATACACTTTCCCCTTTTCTTATTCTTTTTCTTTTTCTTTCATTCGGAGCTTCTCCCTTCTTCTCGATAATCGTTCATTTCTCGACGAGATTCCCCATTTTCCAATCTCGAAATCTCTGAAATCAAAATCTGTGCAAGAAGTTCTAGATCCTAGTACCAGAAGTACGCAAGAATATCAAAAATACCAGATTTCAAGGGTTATCATTTAACACTCAAGCAGCGCGCGCATAAAGCAGCGCGCGCATAAAGCAGCGCGCGCATAAAGCAGCGCGCATAAGGCAGCGCGCATAAGGCAGTAACATAAAGCAGTAACATAAAGCAGTAACATAAAGCAGTAACATAAAGCAGTAGCATAAAGCATCAATTAGCAGCGCTGTAGCATAAAGCAACGCGGAGGATGCGACGTTTAAAGTTAGACTACGCGATTGTACACTCGTCATTATCGCGTTCTATTAAAGTATTTACGGTATCTAGTAGGAGCATGCATCAGCTAAAGATCAACGAGTACATCTCAACCTACCTGTATTGCTTCGTACTGTTAGCATCAGCCTTATCTAGTACTGATTCTAGCATCTCTAACTGAGAAGATAAATCTAGTAAACTAGATAGAAAGACAGCAAATGTGCATTGATCTCGAATGTGCAAAAGTAGATATTGATAATCAACTTTAACAGCTGTATTTTACCGCAAGATCCTGATTTCTCTCACTCTCTTCTCAATCAACTCCATTCTTCATTCCTTTTTTTATGTTCTTTCTATCTCTTCCCATCTTTTCTCCAAATCAGCGGGAGATCATCAAAGTCATTCATTGCATTTCTTTTCTCATTTCACTTAATTCTGTCAATACCTCAAAAAAAAATGGGTTCTATTCTTGCGATTTTCTCAAAAACTCCTCAAAAGTCTCAGGATTCTGTGGATAACGGTAGGCTTTGTTCAGCTGTTAGTTAACAATCTGCTTACTTACAGCTTACTTACAGCTTACAGCTGATTATTAGCTTACTTACAGCTTACTTACAGCTGATTGTTAGCTTATTTACAGCTGATTGTTAGCTTACTTACAGCTTACTGCTTTTTAAAACTTTAAATACTCAGCATTATGCATAGTAGCTTGAAATAATCAATTTGAGTACCGTATCCAGTTGACAATGTCACTTCGCATCGATCACTTCACTGATCTAATTAGAGAAATGTTTGATGAGTGAATGATTCAGGAAAAGATTACTCATCCATTTTTCTCATTTCACAGTTTCCATCGCTCATTCCCTTCACATTCAGTCATCACTTTTATCTGATCTTCTTCTCTTCTTCTCTTCTGATTTTTAATATTCATTTCTTTATCTGAATAGTTAAATATCTAGTTAAATATGAAAGCAAATGGCTTACTTTTTTTTTTGCTTTTGGCTTTTGGCTTTTGGCTTTTGGCTTTTTCTTCTTATTTACTTCCAAATTATAAACTCTCCTCTTTTTTTATGTTGTGATCGTGAAGTGTCCTTGAGGACAGTCATTATTTCTTGAAATGATCCTTCTTTCCTTTCCTCAACTCATTCAACCGTCAAAAAATCTCTCCCCACAAAACAGATGGCAACTTTCTTGGAGTTGCTAGGGAAATTTTTTTTGGAAAAATAGGGCTCTAGCAAAATTGTACAAAGATTTGTACAAAGATTTTTGTAAATTTTCTCTTTCCAGGTTGTATCCGACCTCAAAGTGCCTCTGTTCCGAACAATATGCTCCCGCCGACGCAAAGAGGCAAAAATGAACCACTTCTATCAACGAATTCGACAAATAAGGTAAATTTTGAAGAAGCTATATTTGAAAATTGTTTAGTGTAAAAGCAGAAGCAATAGTTACAGTCGTAGCTACAGTAGTAGTTATGTTTAAAGCATCAAGTAGCGGGTATAGAACAGAAATTGATCGGATACAACTCTTTTAAAAGCTTTTTTTTGAGATGATCTCATCCTAAAATAGTTCAATCGATTAGCTAATTGATAAAAAAAGAGCCGATTTTCAATCATTATTTTCTAAAAGCCGGTTAATGTTAAAAATATATTTTATATCTCAAAAAATTACCCATTCTCTCTACTCTAATTTGATACTAAAACGCGTAGAAACAAACGTACTGGTGTCGAGTTCTGAGTGTTTGTTTGAGAGAAAAGTTAGACTACACTCCTATAGGCCAAAGCTCGCAGAAACAAATGTCTGGGCGTTAAGATATGAGCGATTTTTTGAGTTTAAGCTTAGACTACACGACGCTCCTATATGCGGCGCTACTATTAGAGCTTTTACGGTATACATATATGTTTCCTTGATATCCTAGAAAATAATGATTTAAAAGTGGCAAAAAAGTCGATTTGTCATCATTTTTCAATCATTTTGTTCTAAGCGCTGGTTAATGTTAAAAATATATTTTATATCTCAAAAAATCACCCATTCTCTCTACTTTAATTTGATACTAAAACGCGTAGAAACAAACGTACTGGTGTCGAGTTATGAGCGTTTGTTTGAGAGAAAACTTAGACTACACGACGCTCCTATAGGGGGCACTATTAGAGCTACTATTAGAGCTTTTACGGTCTATTTTTCTATTCAATATCTTCTCTAGGATCTTCACTCAAATTTGGTGGATCTCGAGGAAATTGTGACGAATTGGGCTCGGGTTATCTTCAATACAACAAAAACGAAACAGGAGGGGAAAATCAAGAAGAAATATCTCTCGGTTTGTGGCAATTATATCGTTTTTGGTGTTTAAAACTTTTAAACCCAAATTTTCAGTTCAACATCAATTGGACGAAACTGTTCCAAGAGTCGATGGAACCGCAATACTCGCCGGGAATCGATAAAACTTTGCGAAAAATGGTGAGTGAATGAAAGTGACAAATTCCACACTTTTTGATTTACTTTGTTGAAATTACTACAAATTATTAGCTAAAACAATACTGTAGTTAAAGTTTAATATCTAAAAAAAACAAAATTCCAGCCTCTGGAAGAGAAAATTCTCTTCAAAACGACTTTCACGAATACGACGCAAAGAGAACAAGAATATTCATTCAAAACCGAGAGAACGACAAGATCCACGAGTACAATCATCATTGAAAAAGGTTGGGGGAAATAAAAAACAAAACTCATTTTTTTTTGTTTAGGTGTTTGCCGTGGAGTGAATCTTGAGCTGAAGTTGAAGACCCCGTGTGAGGTCGTTGAAGCGGGAGCTGGCTTCTCTTCAGAAGTTTCCCTTAATCATATCGGTTTGTTTAAGCTGAATCCCTATCGTTTTCTAAAGCTTGCTAAATTCTGAAAGAAGTATCCAATCTGTCAATCTCTTATCTAAAACGATCGTAATCTTGACCCTAATTTCCAATTATCCAATCGATCCAATCCCAATTCCACAATCAAGTAGCTTTTTGGATGAAATTTAGATAAAATTATGCTAGTTTAGACAATTTTTTAGAAAATGATACTTTAATTTCATTTTATACTTTTATTCGAATTCATTTTTAGGAGAAAACTCGGTGGAAGAGGAGCTGAGTTGGGGTGTCGACTCGTGTGTGAAGTCAGTTCCGCAAAATACCGTATTACTTCGAATAGAAGATCGGGTAAAGAGTATCATCGCGTACTCCTGCGTAGCAGCCCTTTTTAAAATTTCTTTTCTGATAAAAGCTTTCAATGAGGCTATAGAGTTGGAAAATGACTCAAAAATACCACATGAGCTAACAGATTTTTGAGCCATTTTCCAGCTCTAAGACTTCATTGAAGCTTTTATGCAGAAAAGAAATTTTAAAAGGGCTACCCGGGTCGACATACTCTTTACCCGGTCTTCTATTCGAAGAAATACGGTAAATCCAAATTAGATCAAAAATCGAAAATGAACTTGCTGAAAAGACTGATGAAACTAAAAAGATATTCATTGTGCAATTTTCCCTCGGCAAAAACTCTCTTCCAGAGTGCCTCCAAACTCAGAAACGGTGGCCGAATTGGTGGTTTTGGAGGAGCAAACGGTGCGCAATTTCGTTATCAAGAATACACTTTTCGGGAAAGTGCTTGTCACTGGTAAGTTTGAATAGTAAAATAAATATAAAATATAGAAAATATAGAAAAAAAACTGGTATTAATCTATAGGATCCCTTACTTAAGACAGACAGACAGACAGCGTGATTACGGTAGAGACAGACAGACAGACGGTGTGCGCTGCTGTTAAGATAGTTTAAGTTCTGAAATCAAGTGTTGTTGGTCAAATCCTCGTTCTCGAAACAGACAGACAGCGTGATTACGGTAGAGACAGACAGACAGCCTTACTGTAGACACTGCTGTTAAGATAAGTTTAAATGAAATTCTGAAATTCAAGTGTTGTTGGTCAAACCCTCGTTCTTGAGACAGACAGACAGACAGCGTGATTACGGTAGAGACAGACAGACAGACAGACAGCCTTACTGTAGACACTGCTCTTAAGATAAGTTTAAATGAAATTCAAGTGTTGTTGGTCAAATCCTCATTCTCACATTCATCAATCATGTGATTTATGTGGAAAAGAGAACCCTTTTTTTTTTCTTTTGCCCCATTGAGTGTATTGTTATGCAAACGTGACTCGGATGAGGGTGTGTACTTGAAATGGCCGTCCATGAATGTCCATTACCCTTAGAAATTGCCCTTATACCCGACAAGGGCACCCCTCGATTCCCCCTTTCCATTCAACCACCAACCACATACACTTGACTTTTCTCTTTTCATTCGATCGACTGGGGAAAAGAAATTCTGAGGGAAATTCCCGCAATTTAATAAAAAATCATTTAGTGACGAATTTGAAAGAGAACAACTCGTTGATCACGATTCTCGAGGGAAATATAGCTGATATCATTCGAGGACTTGGAGACTACGCATCCAGGGGTTTCTCTTTCGATAGCAATGTGAGTTTCGTTTTGTGGAAAGGTTTTTAGAGCTGGTTGAACTGGTTGAACTGGTTGGCTTACTGTAGCTGTTAAATTTAATTCTTTAAGTTCAACTAGTAATCTTCCTTACCGTAATCCGAATTTGACTTTTATCCATAACCTTGCCAGATTTACTTGTGAATACTGATTTGGTTAGCCGCTCTAAAACATGCCTCGGCTTCCGTAAATCTCTACCAAATGATGATTTGTATAAAAATCTTGCATTTACTATCTCTAAATCAATTGATATGACACTAACCAGGGGTATCAACTGCTTGCGATTACTGTAAAAGCTAGCACTTAGGCTACAGGCTGTTACAGATTACGGTAGCAAGGTACTGTATGCTGTTTCACCCATATCGAAATCAAACCCTATGAAACTTAATCTTTAAAAAAAGATTTTGATATCTATTGAATCTTGTGAAGCTTTTCTGGCTCATAAAGGAATAGGATCGAGAAGATTTTTATGTGAAAAATCCTTGATGAATCTCTTTCTTGTTCTCGCTCGGGCCATCTGTCGGGGATTTTCCTCGCAAAAAGTTCAAAGAAATCTCAAAAGCGGAAATGCAAAGTGTACATTTTGAAAATCGGTCGACTTTTTGGTACAGCTGTTCATTCATAAAATGAACGAATTAGGGGTAAATCTCAAAATTCATCTTTCCATCTTTCAGACGGTTCTTTACGATACTCGTGGACAGTGCATTTTCCGGTACGGAGTCGAGCAAAAGGTGAAAATCAATGAAACGAGCATCAAAAGCTATCGATAATATATGATTCATTGATATTGCATTCTTGTGATTATGATTGATACTGCCCAAATAATGATAAATGTTATGTTTTTAAATGTAAATGTAATCTTTTTTTTAAGCTTTAGATAATTTTACGAGTAGACTTGGAAGGCTTTTGACTTGGTGGTCACACCGAGTCACAAGCCTTCCAAGTCTACTCGTCTACAAATAAAAAAAAAACAAACTGCTTATCGGCCAAAGTTAGTGCAGAATAGAAAACGGATTACTGCAATTTTTTATTTTTATTTTTACTACTTTTACTTTTACCGCAAAACGGATTACTGCGATTAATGCAACTGCAAACGGCAATTTTTTTTTTCTTGCTGGTGAGCCGCCGCCGTTACTTTCAAGCGAAGAGACCGAGCGTGGGCAGAAGCAGATCGTACAAATCAGATACATCGAGAGTCCCGATTAACTTGTTAAAAATTTATCGCAAAAGAAAATTCTGATACTCCACTGTACATAAGAAGACGCGGTACTAATAAAGTTGGGGGGGCAATTTTTTTTCTTTGAAACCACTTTTTCTAGGGTGGTTTTATGCGTAGATTCCGAAAAACACAACGAGAACTTGGGAAAAGGCGTTTTAAGCTTAGCTTCGGGGCTCTAAAGTGTACTTCGGGGCTCTAAAGGCTTCTATAGTGTACTTCACTATATGGAGTCCAAGCTATCGACTTTTGGGGCACTTTTCAAGGTCAAAACTAGAACCAAAACCATTTTTAACAATTGATTATTCATTTTCTAGCTTAAATTGACTGGTAGAGGCAAAAAAAAATTGAAAAAATTTTTTTTCGATTTTGACCGATTTTGACTCATGTGGGGGACCACATGGTCGAAATTTGGAAAAATTTTTTTTGCTTTAATTTGATCAGAAACGTAATCAATAGGTTAAATTATGCCAGAAGAGGGGTTTTTGGCTTCAAAAAATGTTTTGAGAGATCATTTTTAGACCATTTTTAGATTTTTAGACCTTATGTATCTCCCGCTCATCACACTGTATAAGCGCGCACTTTGCAGCCCCGAAAACTCGACTTAAAACGCGATTTCCGAAGCTCTCATTGTGTTTTTCGGAATCTACGCATGAAACTACCCTAGAAAAGGTGGATTTGAAGAAAAACGCTTTCTTCCTGCTTCCCCCCCAACCGGCGTAGTACCGAAAATTTTCAGAATTTGTTTTAAAATCTTAACACAAAATTTTCTAAAATTTCTCAGTCCCATCCTATTTTTGTCTCCTTCATTGTCTCGTTTGATCTTTTCATTCAATATTCTTTTTTCTTTTGCTTCACTTTAACTTCACTTTTTTTTTTTTTTTTTTTTTTTTTTTTTTTTTTTTTTTTTTTTCTTTTTTTTTTTTTTTTTTTTTTTTTTTTTTTTTTTTTTTTTTTTTTTTTTTTTTTTTTTCTTTTTTCACTTTAACTTAAATATTCAAAGCCAACTTGTTAGCCCTTAATAATAGTGTTGATTGATTGAAATAGATAAATATTGATTGATATTAATGAAGCTATACTTTTTGAGTCCCTCCCCCTTCTTTTTACCTCTTAGCTATAAGTAGAGTAAGGGATACCTTTCCGTGACTTTACATTTCAACAGGTAATTACAATTTGAAACATCCCAAACATAATTATCTGGGAAAGGAGTACTCCTTACCGTACTCAAAATGAAAGATGAAGAAGTTGAAAGATGAGACTTTTTATAAAATGGGACTTCAGTTTGACGAAAACATGTTCTCTTCGTCAAGCGAGAGCGACAAGACCGACCAATCGGATACGTTGATACCGGCAAATGAATGAATAGGATGCCTCTATCATAAAAGATAAAAGAGTTTATGATAGTAAAATTAAAGTAAGTAATGTAAACTAATGTAAGTTTTTTTTAAACTAATGTAAGTTAGTAAATGATAGTAAAATTAAAGCTAATACAATAAAATCAGAGATGCACAAATGGCACAAAGGGAAAGTTTTGACGGTTTTATCCAGTTTGGAAGATTAAGGTCTGACACCTGTTCTGTCAGCACTGTACACACGGGAAGTTTTTGTCTAGTGCTAGTGCCTAGTGCTTTTCGGCTCTTGATGGGTCGGATTATAAATTAAAAGCGATATGTTTGGGGTGAAAGAATAGAAAACGAGTCCAGAGCCACCCTTTGGGAGAGAACAGCTGACCGCTAAAAATCCAATTAAGTTATGAAATCCTAAAGATTCAAGCCCTTAGCATTGAGAATTTTTCTTAAAAATTAGTTTATGAAATTTTTTGTTTGCATGACAAAAAATTTGCATTCATACCCGCACACAAGCTACGGCTGTAAGAAAATCACTTTCATATCAAACAACTTTTGACGTTGGGATGCCGGCAAGAATTGTGTGGGTTTTTTAGTTCTTTTCTCATGTTTTAGCCTATTAAAAACGTGAAAACTTTTCCTCTCCTTATTTGTAGCATTTAAATAATTTGACAACCAAAAAGTGGCTGTTTTTTGCCGCGTAGAGTTGCCGATTTACTTAAACGAGCATCAAATCTAGTTTTTGGTCGGAGAATTTCCCACAGAATAGCATTATATTTAGGCGTATCTTTCCGCAGTTCGTGTTCAAGCCAGCAAAAGATCAGTTGATCTCTTTTGACGTCGACGATGAGGCTCTCGTGGTTCACTTCGCAAACGAGTCCTACCATTTCGCTCATGCTCCTGATCAAGATGACCGTCGGATAACCTCAAAGGGAGTCAAAAAGATTGTTACGGTTGAAGCACTCCACCTGCAGGTCAGTCATTCCCCTAATTATCAAGCTGAGCACGGCTCGTGTCGTCCCGGAGATTGGCTCGGCTCGGGTCGGCCTCACTTTTGGGTAGAGGTAGTAGATATAAGAACCTTTTGGAAATTTAGGTCTACGACAAGGCCATCGACGAATGGACCGGTGATAACGTTGTCGATGTGGTGCTCGATCTCTCATTAATCGGTGCTCAATCGCTCGTAGCTCTCACCACTCTCATCGAAAAGATGCGTGCCAAGAATTACAAGTGCGAATAACTGATGTAAATGATTTTGTAGTCAGACATGCTTTTGAAATAAATTTATTTTAAATGAGACTACTCACTACAACGAAAAAATATTAGGGACGTCTGCTTAGAACATCAAGCTTGAGACATCAATTGGTGTGAGCACACTTTATGTTATGAATTTTTGTTATCGTACACTTAAAAGTTGTGCTGAGCTCTGGCATTTCCTGATCACTAAATTTCCAAACCATGGTAGGAGCTACACCGAGTTTGGGCCTAGTCTTGCCTGGTTTTTGACTTTTTTTGACTTTTTTTGATCAACTTGCACCTCTTAGTACCAAGTTCACTCGAGGTGGGTAGTTTTTTTAAGTTCAATAAATCTCTAAGTGTGTAGTCTTTTTAAATTCAATAAATCTGTTTATATCTAGTCTATTTTAGAAACTAGACGAGTGAAATAACGCAAAGTGAAGTAATAAGAAGTTAGAAATTGTTCTTTTACTTAGGTTTTTGTTTTGCGAGTGAAATAAAGTTATCATAGCATTCTTATTTACACAGTTTTTATAGACTTGCATAAATCTTTTGGACGATTTTGGCAAATTTTTGCGATTATGGCTAATGCCTTTTGTATGCTTTTGTAATTTTGATGAAATCTTGGATAGAAATTCTAGTCGGATGCGATTGAAATTTCTTTGATTTCGTGAAAAATTTTATCCGATTTTCCCCTCGTAATTCTATCAAACCGTTGCTCTTTGCGAGGCGTATTATAAGTTGCCCTTCGAGCAGCGCAAAACTGCAACTACAATAAGACGAAAGAAGAAAAGTAAAAGAAAGGAATGATATCTAGTCTGTAGGGTTCTGGTTCTGTGTAACTTGATTAGAAAATAAAACATTCAATTTCCCTGGTGATTTCCTGGTGATTTTTTAGTGCTGACTTGGTTAGTTATCTGAAAGTAGTACCATGGTTTGATTCCATTTTTCGCTAGAATTAACGATGTAAATTGCATCATTCTATCTTATTTCAATATCCAATATTTTATTGCATTTTGACTGATTTTGTTTCTAATATGTTTCTATATTTCAGAAAACTCGGATCCTTGTCAAAGATGAAGCAAATTCTTCTCATTGCAGCTACCATCGCTCTCGCAACTGGTAAGAGTCATTTTTAAAGATGATTTTGTCATTTGAAACACTTTTTGCGTTTGCCAAAATTATCTTTTGTGTTTACAGCTTCGACTTGCCAATCCCCACAACATTCGGCAACAACTTTCTCGACTACTGATGGGTTCTTCCATTTCCAGACTACCTTCATTGCTGAGTTTTCTCTCCAATGTGCCAACAAATTGAAGGTTTTGTTTTTGTACATCTATCTTGTTACATTTCTATTTAGGATCCAGCTTTTTACGCGGTAGTCAACGGAAACACATATCAAGTTGCTCATTCCGATGATACAAACAAATACCAGGTTAACTTTTTTTATTTGTTGTTTTAAAGTCACTATATCTAGGTTTCTTTCTCACTTGAACACGAAAAGGCCGGATCGCAAACGTTCAACATTGGAATTTATGATGAGGATGGTTTCGCTGCCTACAAAAACGTTTGTTTTTACTTACCTAATCATTTTCGAGTAGAATTTGAATTTGTTTAATTAGCAGCTTTTAATCTTAAACTGATTTATTATTAAATAATCAGTTTTGTAAAATCTCTTTGTTTAGGCTGAGCGAAATGGCGATGTCTCCAGTGCGAAGCCCCTTTTTACCATTCCATTGAGCCATCCCGTAAGGATTTTTTGTCCTTAAAGTTAAAACCTATATATTCAGGGACTTTCGCGCAAATCTCCAATCAGCTGTGAAGCCGTCGCTTTGGCAGCTGCCATTCTCGCTCTCTACTTTGCCTTCAATCTCAAATCCCAAGCTACCGCCTAAAACAATAATCTATTTGGGCACAAGAATCAAACGTGTATCCTTTCTTGTAGTGTCATTTAATTTATTTTTGTTACTCCTCAAATTGTTATTGGGTATCGCTGTGATTTGATTTTTTTTATGTACATTTCAGTTTTTGACAGCGTCAAGAATAAACATTTTTTTATTAAAGCTAAACAAAATTTGCGGTTGCCACATCCATACACATACATGTAATTAATTTATCACAGTAATAGCGCTGAATCCAAATTTTTCTAGATGTTAAGCCTGTCAAGGTTAAGTTTGCGATGTGGCGCGCTCTCTTTTCGGGCCTTGGATACAAAGATTCCTCTAAAGGTTGGTTTATTGGGTATGCATTTGTAACAATATGTTTAGAGCTCGTTGGCTGTTCACTCGCAGATATTACAAACGCGTCTTATACACACAACTCCAACGATCAGAAATGAAGAAAACAAGGTTTAATCGTCTGAATGCTATAAAAGGAAACATCTAAATTTAGAAGCCACCCAATTGGTCAGTCATCATGTCAGAGGATCAGAAGAAACGCAAAAAGGAGCACATACATACGCAAAATGAGGTAAACTTGATCAATAACTTTATTTCAACTTTTACCTGTAGGAAGCCGTACCTTCCGGATTGATTCCGAAGGTGAAATACTATCTCAAGCGTTACTGGTACATAGCTATTCCGGCTCACATGATTTGTTCTACTATGTATTTGGCTGGTTTTTATTTCGCTGTCTACAGGTTTGTTTTTTGAAAGTTTTCCTAAACCGTTAAATTTAGTGGGATTGACGTAGTTTCCCTCTTGCAAACCCTACACTTACCAGAGTTAATTATCGAAAAAGTCAAGAACACACCTCCACAAGCCGGTGCTTTAGTTGTGGCTCTGATTTTGTACAAGGTTGACATTTTCCAAAATTATTCCTATCTATTTTTTAAACATTTCATTTTTACCTCATATCATTTAGGTTGCTACTCCTTTACGCTACCTGACAACGCTCGGATTTATACAAGCTGCTTTTGTTGTGCTCAGGCGAATGGGAAAATTGCGAACTGTCAGAGAAGTTGAATATAAGGTAAGAAGAACTATGTTTAATCTTACATTTTTGGCTTAGGCAAGAGTGGAATATGAAAAAGGAGTCGGAAAATATGGACGTCGCGCTTACAAGTTTGGTTTTTGTTGTATTAAAATAAAATAAAGATTTAAGAAACCGTCATTTGGGTGTTCGTGAGATAGCCAAAGAAAATGAACAGCAAGCGACAAAGCTTATGAAGGAAAAGGTATTTTTGAATTCATACCTCATTTAAGCTTATTTTTAGAAATAAACTACTACCCATCCGTTTTTCTCAACAACTTTGTTTATTGATCGGGTAAATGTAAATGGTTGTATAGGATTTGTAGGTAGTCACAGTAGTCAGTTAGATTTTTGCATATAATTATTTGTTTTTGATATACAAACTTTAAATGTGTTATGTCATTTTAATCAACTGCGTATTTTATTCGTGAAATCTCGCTCTTGAAGACTGGTCAATGTTTTTTTTCTACATTATTAGCTGCTTCATAATTGTTCAATAAACTTTTTGCAGAATTTTTCACAGAATTTTCCACACGTTGGCGGACCTGAAACCATTAATACTAGACTTTTGCTACCATTGCTACTAGACTTAGATACTTTAGAATTCGAATTGAGTTCTCTTTTTCTCTCTTTAGGCAAGTGCTCGATGATACGAAGAATGGCGTCAACCGTGGCAAATACAAGACGAAATCTAATAGCGATATGCCAGATGACAAACGACAACGATCTTGAAGCCAATTGGGTGGTAGCCAAAGAAATGATTGAACGGGCAAGTGAGCGAAGTGCGAAGGTTGTTTTCTTTTTATTATGTTATTACCATTTTTTACAGATGATCTTCTTTCCCGAAGCCGTCGATTATGTAGGAAGAACTCGAGAAGAAGAGGTATTTTATTATTGTTAATTTAAAAATACGCAAATTTTAGGGAAAAACTATTAATGATTCGGTGAGCTTGACTATTTCACTAACTACTGATTATCTATAGAAAAATCTTGCTGATTAAAAACGGTGTTCGGAGATAATGTGATTCTGTATATGATTTAAATGCCAATTTTTAGGTGTCTCTTGCGATTGAAGAAGAAAGCGAATTTATCAACCGATTTCGAGAGTTAGCGAAAAAACACACTATCTGGATGAGTCTTGGAGGTTTTCATCGCAAGGTAAGCAGATTTCTTCTTTATAAACTCCTCTGGAACTTCTCAGGACAACGACCTTCTCCCCTTTAACACCCATCTCATTATTGACTCTGAGGGAAAAACTGCGACAAAGTATTTTTGTGTTTAATGTCAAATTTGAGATGTTTCTAGGTACGACAAATTGCATTTATTTGATCTCGAAATTCCTGGAAAAGTTCGTTTGATGGAAAGTGAATTCAGTAAAGCTGGATCTGGGGTATGCAACATTTTAGTTTTGAATTGGCACTGCTCATTTAGCTAATTCCACCCGTCGAAACGCCAGTAGGTCGTTTGGGTCTTTCAATCTGCTACGATGTGCGATTTCCAGAATTATCAATTTTCAATCGAAAACAAGGCGCCCATGTAAGTTTTGTATCTTTAAAAAGCTAAACTACTTTTTTTCTAGTCTATTTTTATATTTTAGATTCTCTCCTTTCCTTCAGCATTCACGCTTAATACTGGATTGGCCCATTGGGAGGTGATGTACCATTTATAAAACTTGATAAAGTTAATTTAGGTATTGCTGCGGGCAAGAGCCATTGAAAATCAGTGCTACGTGGTTGCCGCAGCTCAAACAGGAAAACACAATGAGAAACGACAAAGTTATGGTCATGCAATGGTCGTCGATCCTTGGGGTGATCATTTTTTTCCAACAATATATCAATCAAAATTTAGGTGCTGTTATTGCTCAATGTAGCGAAAGAGTTGGTTAGTTTTTTGCAATTAAAAGTTAAAAGTTAAAGAGAAGAGTATAATTTGTTGACTTCAGGTATGGCTTTTGCCGAAATCGATTTGGACTACGTCGATGAAATTCGTCAATTGCAACCTGTGTATTCACATCGTCGACACGAGCTCTACTCTTTGCACTTCAATTTGACAGACAAAGGTAGCCGTGCTTTTCTCGATGCAATATGGCAATTCATTTAGCCGATTCGGAGGATCTGCATTTTTCACAGCATTTGATCAAAAAAGAGTACATATTTGCTCGCTCGGCTTTCTCTTATGCTTTCGTAAACTTGAAGCCCGTTTTGAATGGACGTGAGTTGGTTTTGGTGAATGTAACTTAAAAGTTTTAGATGTCCTCGTAGCTCCATTGCGCGTCGTCAAGCATCTAACTGAAATTTCGAATGAAGAAACGGCGGACCTCTTCAATTTAAGCAAAAAGGTAAAATAATTTAATAGTGATGTTGCTCTATCGTAATGTAGGGTCTACTTCCAAAAGTCTTCTTCATGTATGATATTTGTTTTAAGGTGCAAAAGATGCTCGAAGCTCATTATTCAGTCGATTCGTGTACTGTTTGCGTTCAAGATGGACCCAAATCAGGACAAACAATTGAAGTGGATTCAAATGATAAACTTGTCACTTTTCAATTTCCAGCACGTTCATGTGCACATTTTACCACGACGCGCCGATGATTTTGGAGGTTCTACGGATACAGTTTACAGGGAATTAGCGAAACACGATATGTTTGTTTTGTTTTAAAATGATTTTAGATGCAAATTTATTTAGTGATGACCGTAAGCCGCGTACCGATGCGGAAATGGAAACCGAAGCGGTAACTTATCGAAGTAAAATGTACGGATTGTGATTACGTTGTGTATTTTGACACATTTTGAGCCTACTTATTAGCTGTGTGAATGAAAATACCGGTAGTAAACATGTGTAAATTTTAAGCTTTGTATTAGATTTTCTATGTAATGATAAATAGTTGAATCATCAGAAACCGGTATTGAGTGCAAAAAATGGTTTACAATTGTTGGATTTTGTGCGGGAATTCTATCCGGATGACCCTGCTGGAGTAGGCTGAAGAACAAAAGGCGGGCCTCTCAAAGGATCAAGACGGGATGCATCCTGGTGTTGAAAGAAGAAAAAGAAAAAAAATCTCGATGACTGGATTTGAAATGGACGTCAAGCCGAATAGATCCCTCACCTGTTTGTTTATTTCTGCTTTCATCCGATATCCACATTTTTTTTTTGATTCTTGGCAGCATATGCATTTGTTTTTCTATGAAAATTGAGATACTTTTGTGATGCTTACGATTAGATTCATGAGAAATTTACATATTTAGGTCTTTGTAAATGAAATTTTGCAAAATTTGCAAATGAAAATTGCATAAATTTTGCATAAATTACATTTTATTTTTAACCTTTCCTATGAGTAAACGAAATTTTCCGTTCTGTCGCAGTTGGAAACTAATTTTTTTTTACTAAAATTAAATTTTTACAGACTCAAAGGACTGGAAACGCTAATGAGCTTCAAAAAAACAAATGAAAATCCGTTAATAACACTCATCTTCGAGCTCTTTAAGTTTAGACATACTGTAGCTAGACAGCTAGGTCCCTAGGAAAGATTTGAGTGGCTAATTACGGCATTTCATCATATTTTTCAGAATCGACAACACATTTTTGAATGATTTCATGAATTTCCAGCTTTCCAGCTTTTTTCCTCTTATTCCTGAAGAAATTCAAAAGATTGCCCGTCTTCGTCTCTTTTCTCAATCAACGAAACTGCATCACCAAACACTCACTCAAATCAACAAAAGATTCATCGCTCTCTCTCACTCTCAAAAATCCGAGAAAAGCCCCCCCGTTTTGTCTTTTCATTTCATCTCGATTTTTCTCTTTCGCATATCATTTATCTTTTCATCTCATTTAACTGAATATCCTCAAATTCAGCGATGATCACACGATGGCGAACGACGAGATTTTCTTTTGCGTGCATCTTATTTTTGATCGCCTTTTCTTTGGGTTTTATTGAGCACACTGAAGCTCGTGTACCGGGAATTCGATTTATGAGGTTTGTGAAAAAAAAAATGATAAGCTTATTTTCTTAAAGACTACAGTTTGTGCCCACAATCCAGCTGAAAATAGAATTCATTCAGAGTTTGTGATTTATCGGAATACTGTAGCAAAAATATGCTTATTTTTGCATATGAAGCTTTCACTTTTACTCAATTTTTAATTGAATCCCCAATTGCAGCGATCCGATCGAATTACTCTTGCAAGACAGCTACTCATCATTGCGACGAAAAAGTGTCTACAATCGGGATAAACCCCCAAGGACACGAGTCATTGTGAGTAAAAGGGTTTTTCTTAAAAGTATCAACTTTAAAAAGCCACCGTAAGCTGTCTGTCTGTCTCTAGTCTGTCTCACGGGAAAGACAAGATTACGGTAGCTTTTGAAAGTCGATACGTTTTACAAAACAATCATTCAACGGTAAAAAACGGTAAAAAAAGCTACGGTAGCTTTGGAAATTTGGCAATCTTTAGGAAACGCATCAATTTTTCCTCTCCTATTGACCCATTCACACATTTATAGGCTAAGGGGTACTGTAATGAGAACGGTAATTTAAAAAGTACTGCAAGTTTGAAGAACTCAAGGTTTTTGCTTCTACGGAAAAAAAAAATTCCTTTTCACAGGTTCGAAAGCGCAAATACAACCCGCTGCCCACTTTCTACACGTCGAATTTCGGTTTCGCGCCGATTTCCCTTCATCGTCGCCACAATTCCCTTCCATACACCGATTTATTATTTGCGGGCAAATAAAAATGTAAATTAATCAATGTAAAAACAAGAAAAGTACGGTAAAATTTCTATATAACACATGTAAAAGTAAGTGACTTTTTTTTTTTCAAAATGGCGTCGGTTTAAGACGAGCCCAAACGGTTTGCCCTTCGTGGATGTAGCCGGGAATCTGGAATTCGATTTTTTGGTATTGCCTTGGAGAATACTGCAATATCTGATTGCAATATCTACTGATTTCTATACTTAATATTATTATGAACCTTGGCTCCGGCGTTGACTCCGAAGATCGGATGAGCGCCGAGGCCTTGAAGGAGATCACCCTCCGGCATACGGTATCTGGAAAAGCATGATACTGTATTGAATAATGCATATAATGCACATATTGAATATTTGGCATGATATTGAAGATCTAGTTTAGTTTTCAATTATCACCGTAAACAGTGTTGTTATTGACAATAACTTTAGCAAAAAAAAACAATTTAAACTCACTCCTTTAACCATTTCAACGGCTGTTGCTCGGGGTCTCGAATCGCCGTTTTTGGATCGATCGTCGTGAAAATGCACCTAAAAGTTTGAAGGTTTTTCCTGTGGAAAAAGAAAAAGGCTACTATTTTGTCATTTTCTAACAGAGAACTACTGTATTGTCTATTTAAAGGCTATTATTTTTTTCATTTTCTAACGGAGAACTACTGTATTGTCTATTTAAAGGCTATTATTTTTTCATTTTCTGACGGAGAACTACTGTATTGTCTATTTAAAGGCTACTATTTTGTCATCTTCTGAATACCGTTAAACACAAGTTAAACAAATAAAGAAAACTCTTGAAAACTCTTAGAAATTTCTATAGAAATTAGCTAACCTTGTGCACGGTTTGAAGCATTCGAGTGTTGTCGCTTTCGGATGATCTCCGAATCTCAGCTCTCCCCACGTATCTTCATCCCAAGCTGATTGACACTTCTCGATCACGATATTCCCACGGAATTGCACGTTGTCAATCTGAAAATGAAATTTCTCTTCTTACAGTATGATTTGACGTAGAGTTTGTGTTTTCTATTTCGTAGCTAAACTGAATGACTTGATCACGTCGCACATCGGCGCGAAAATGCGTTATAACTTTTTGTAGAGTTGAGCAAATTTGATGATTTTTGCATCAAAATGTTCGTAAGCGTCTCTAGAATAAAACTTATCCCTTCGTTTTTGATTCTAGACCCTCGTTGTCGAGTTACGAGCTCCAAACTGCAGGGTACCACAAAATTTCCCATACAAAATGACCAAAAAACCGCTAAAACTAAATTTAAAAAATTTCTGTCAGAGGGATTTGGAAAATTCCTTCAGATTCGGAATCAGCACAATTTTCCGCATCTAAAAAAGGTACTCCCAGAAAAATCCGATAGAAAACGCATTTTTGCCTTATTTCGCGCCAATGTGCGTCGTATTTTGGCCTACTGTGGTTTTAAAAATAGAATTTTTAGACGAAAAATTTCAATCTGATCATTATTGTAAGGAGTTTTTCGTAAAGCGATTGCTATCATCGTAAACCGATTGCTATCATCGTAAACCGATTGCTTTCATCGTAAACCGATTGCGATCAACAAAAGCCATTTATTTTCTAAATCAATTTCTACGAATAAAGCTATTTCTTTTCTATTTCTTTTCTGAAAACTATACAAAATAAGATTTTTTTGAAAGTTTTCATTCAACAAAAGTTTTCATTTCAAAAAAAAAGTGAAATGAAGTTAATAATTATGTTAAATTTTTTAAATTAGAAAGATTGAATAAACAGAAAAAAAATTAGAGCAAAAAACTGTTTGTTCAAGAGAAAACTTTGAAGCCCCATAATTTTTTTTCTTTTTATCCAATCTTTCTAATTTAAAAAATTGAACATAATTATTAATGATTCTGCGTTGAATGATACCAAATACTTGATGGTTGGACGCTCCTAGACCCACTCATTCATAATCGGCTACGACATATACAAAATAAGATTTTTTTGAAAGTTTTCATTCAACTTTCATTCAACTTTCATTTCATTCATGAAAGTGAAGTAAAGTTTTTGAAGTAAGCACATAAAACTGCTAATTAAATAGCTTATTTTCTAAAACTCTACCGGATTCTCTTCTCTTTTTAGCTGTTGATTGAGCTCATTGATTGACTCTTGAGTGGTGATCATGTATGGAGCCAAATCCACGAAATAAGACTAAAAAATATTAAATATTTCAATCCTAAGATACCGCTTTTATCGATATCAGCTTATTGGGAATATAATAGTTCTTTTAAAGCATTTCCCACCGCCTATTTATTTGTTAACTTCAGTGTTTTCTAAAGTGCGGACCTCCTACCGTGTTTGAAAATGTTTGAAAAATGAGGAAAAGCCGATTTTTCATCATTTTTCAAACATTATTTTCTAAGCACTGGTTAATGCTAAAAATACGTGTTATATCTCAAAAAAAATCACCCATTCTCTCTAATTTAATTTAAATCCCAAGCGCGCAGAAACAAATGGACGTCTGTCTTTTAACGAAAATTTACGAAACTCAATCCAAATTGGAGGTCCGCAGTGATTTTGATTTAAATCAGACATAACAAATAGAATATCACGGGTTACGGTAACAGAACCAAGAAGATTACAATCACTCACATCATCAGCTCTAACAGGGACGGGATTTCTCCACCATTCTTTCCTCGGACGACACGTGCGCGCTGTGTAAAGACCCGGCGTGAAAACGACCAATCTTGATTCTTAAAATATTAAAATAAGATTTCAGTTCTAAAAAGTACTGTAGTGATGGCTTAAAAACTACATTAACTATTCGTAAATTGGAAAGTAATGGATAAAGAGCAAGAGCAAGTTACTGTAATTCGTTCAACTGATGCCTGTCAACGCCTTTCGAAAGTCTGTCAACTTTTGAACAGACAGACAAAAGTCTGTCAACTTTTGAAACCTACAGTAATCTTGAATACAGCCAAGATTACGATAGTTTTCAAAAGATATACTTTAGAAAACTTATTTCCGATCACCCACCAGTCTCTAAGACTTCACTCATAAACTTTGCCGCCTCGTCTCCACAATCGAGTCCATCTTGACGGAAATTCTCGTGAAGGCTAAAATTTCAAATTGGATATTATTTTGATATGAAAAATAAATTCTACTCACGTTGCTTGTATCACTTTTCTCTGTTGATATACTTCATTCAAATCCACTTCAAGCTTTTTCTCTTTATAGCTCAAATAAAGTTTCCCATCTCTGAAATTTTTGTTGTTTATATATTTGTTAAGTCCGATTTAGATTACAGTCTATATCGGACGTCCGATTTAGATTCAATTTAAATCGGACGTCTTATATAGATTGAACAAGAATATAAACATGTTTAATATATGTTCTTAAGCGTTTTCTGTAGTTTTCTGCATTTTTCAAAGGTCTTTTATTGATTACAGTCTAAATCGAACGTCTGTTTTAGATTGAGTCTAAATCGGACGAAAATCTAAATCGGACATAACATATATATGTCGTTCGTTCGAACGAATCATTCGTTAGCGGCTGAATTTCGTAAACGGCTGCGACAGATATAGATATACAGTGGAACCTCTCTATAACGTAACTCACGGGACGGCTATAGCTTACGTTATATAGAGGTTTACGTTATATAGAGTGCCGTTTTATATAGCTTAACGTCGGCCGGGACCGGTCACGCCTTACGTTATAGAGAGGTTTACGTTATATCGAGGTTCGTTATAGAGAGGTTCGACTGTATATATATATGTTGTGTCCGATTTAGATTTCCGTCCGATTTAGATTCAATCTAAATCGGACGTCCGATTTAGATTGAACTTATCGCGGACGTCCGATTTAGATTACAGTCTATATCGGACGTCCGATTTAGATTCAATCTAAATCTTATATAGATTGAACAATAATATAAACATGCTTAATAACAAGTTCTTAAGCGTTTTCTGTAGTTTTCTGCATTTTTCATGATTCTTCTAAATCGGACTTCTAATTCTTCTAAATCGGACGTCCGAATAGACTGTAATCTAAATCGGACGGATCTATCGGACACAGATATATGTTGTGTCCTATTTAGATTCCGTCCGATTTAGATTGAAATATCGCGGACGTCCGATTTAGATTACAGTCTATATCGGACGTCCGATTTAGATTCAATCTAAATCTTATATGGATTGAACAATAATATAAACATGCTAATATATGTTCTTAAGCGTTTCTGTAGTTTTCTGCATTTTCAAAGGTCTTTATTGATTACAGTCTATATCGGACGTCCGTACAGATCGAACAATATAAACGTGCTTAACAATGTTCTTTGAAAGCGCAGAAAATTGCAAAAACGCTAAGAACATATATAAGCACGTTATTATTGTTCGATCTGTATCGGAGTCCGATATAGACTGTAATCTAAATCGGACGTCCGCGATAAGTTCAATCTAAATCGGACGGAAATCTAAATCGGACACAACATATATATATATACTTTATTCAGGACCTGAGATAAAGTGCGCTAGATTTAAGATTAAAACCACATGAATTCATACACATAACACGAAAAAGGGCCCGATAAAAAGCAACACGATATAATATACCGTAAATACTGTAATAGTACCCCACCCCCCATAATGACGGTGCGGAGTGTTGCGTAGTCTAGCTTTGAACGAGTTTTTCTCGACACTGGTTTATGCTACAATGTGCGCTTAGGTATCAAAAAATAGCCCTGAATTTCAGCTATTTTTTGATACCAAAGACGCATTTTTTGAAAGTACGGGCGCTTTGCAAAAAATGAAATACTAACAAACTTTTGCGACTACGCGACTGTACGAGGGGGGTGGGGTACTATTACAGTATTTACGGTATGTAATATATGGGTAGCACAGATAACGTCAAAGATCCACTAGAGCTTCAAGATCAAGATCATCTACAGATAATTGAAAGGTTTCGAGCCTATTGGGCTCTCTCAAAACTCTGGGGAGTCGATTCCAAATTCTGACAGTTCTTATTGGAAAAGAGTTATCCACAAACTTATTGAAGGTGACTGGAATTTCTAAAACGAAAGAACCTCTCGTTGAACTAATCGTGGGATTAACTTTGAATGAATCTTGAAAAAGAGGGATAGGGTTGTCTGCCCTTTACAATTTTGAAATATTCTATTAAATCCGTGACCAAGCGGCGGTGTCTAAGCAGTTTAAGATCAAAAAGTTTGTTTGTTTTTTTGTTTTTTTTGAATCACTTACTCAACAGTTGCATCAACGAGAAGCAATTGTGCCTTTACTCGACCAGTGAAAAAGCTGAAGAATTTTTGTAAAGCTAAGTTTAGCTAAGAACTTACTGTCCCGTTTGATCGACAGCAAGAAACATTCGATCACGATTTTCATGATGTTGTACGCCCATTTCATCACAAAACACAGAGAATACCTGATTGTATTCATGTTAGAATTGAGTCTAATTCTAATTACCGTAAATACTGTAATAGTACCCCATCCCGATAATGACGGTGCGGAGTGTTGCGTAGTTTAGCTTTGAACGCATTTTTCTAGACACTGGTTTATGCTACAATGCGCGTTTAGGTATCAAAAAATAGCTGAAATTCAGGGCTATTTTTTGATACTAAAAACGTATTTTTTGAAAGTACGGGTGCTTTGCAAAAAATGAAATACTAAAAAACTTTTGCGACTACGCGACTGTACGAGGGGGGTGGGGTACTATTACAGTATTTACGGTAGCCTAATTCTAATTAGTCTAATTCTAATTAATCCAATGGAGTCTAATTCTAATTAATCTAATTGAGTCTAAAGTCTAATTAGCTTTTGTTTCAATTCGTCTTGATCTTGATCTCGATCATCTTCTATTTGAGCAATTGCTGATTTACTGAATATTCTATATTTATAATATATTTTTGCATTCTCTATTTAGCATTAGCTTTGGCTGCTTTTATTTTGCTTTACTTTTTTTCCGCGACACGATTTGAGTGGATAGATGTAGAGTTCTTTGATCCGACCGACGGGCACCCAATCGGAGAGATGACTGGGCTGAGTGCGCGTGAAATATCGATATATCTAAAAGAAACCTTTTAATCTACCATTTTTAGCTTTCTTTCTATATTCAAGTAGGACAATATTAATCAAAACTCGACATTGATTTACCTCATATGCGGCAATTGCTCCGCCAACAAATGTCGCCAACATTGTCGTGTCTTGTTTCGTGATCATGGCTAGAAAATGGGGGAAAATGTTGGATTAGATTGAATAATAAAATGGACAAGACGGTTTATTTCAAGACAAAACATTTCGTACAACCGCTGAGAAGCTTTTTTTTGGCTAGGGAAATCTCTAGGTTTAAAATTTACATTTAAAAACAGAAAGTATAGATTATTAATAAAAAAAGCTTAAAAATTAAAGAAGTTTAAGAAAAAGGGGAAAAGGCTATAAGGGAAAAGGTTGATTACGAATTTTTTTTTGAAAAATAGAGACATCAGAAAACGAAAATGGAAAGGGAAAAAGAGATTATTGACAAAAGAGGGGACAAGTGACCCGTTGGAACGATAAAAATGGGAAGAGAGGAGAAAGGAAGGGAAAGGAAAGAGAGGAGAAAGGAAGGGAAAGGAAAGAGAGGAGAAAGGAAGGGAAAGGAAAGAGAGGAGAAGGGAAGGAAAGGAAAGAGAGGAGAAAGGAAGGGAAAGGAAAGAGAGGAGAAGGGAAAGGAAAGAGAGGAGAAAGGAAAGGAAAGGAAAGAGACAGGACAAAGAAATCAAAGAAAATATGAAAGAAAAGGTCAGAGATCGATTATAGAATAGGTGAATTTTGTGTACTTTGTGCTCAAAAAGAAAGGCACTCTTTCTAGTGCACTAATTTGAAAAATCAATGCACTAGATCGTTTGTGTTTCTGTTTTTGAGAGCACAAAGTACTCGGTTATTGAATTGTTTACTGTTAATTGCTTTACTGTTGACAGTACCCTATATGACATCAAAATCTTTGCTTAAATATTTCCTTTACAAAGATTTATGCGACTTTCTCTGCCCCTTTCCCCCAATGACATGTGGCCGAGTGGTTAACGCGTTTCGTTGCCAGTCTCGCTTCGGGGGTTCGATTCCCCCAACGACCATCGCAAACAAAAAAGCTTCACTGATGACAAATCGTGGTCTGTTCAGAGAAAAATTATGTTGATAACACATTTCGTACAACCGCTGAGAAGCTTTTTTGGATAAGGAAATGTTAGAATTCAAAAATTTACTAATTTTTAAAGATAGCACTGTCTAAATATTACTACAGGAAGCTAAAATCTAAAAGATTCAAAGCCGAACATGAATATCTTTAGATTTTTTAAAATTCCTTAATATTCACCATTCAAATGCCTCAATTTGAAGGCTGAATGTTTAGAATAGTGTACTGTAGTCAAAAACTATTTTATAGTGCCCCTGTCCTACTATAATTTAAAGTAATTCCAAAAAAAGTGCTCAGCTAATGTAGGTAGGTTCTACACGGTGATTTCAGTAGAACGAAAGTTATATTATCATCGCACAAAGGGGTCGTTGCCGGGATCGAACCGGGGTTTGCTCGCCCGAGAGGCGGGCGTATTACCAATCTGCCACCGGGGAGTCAGTGGCCGGGCGGTGGAGAGAGCTTTTTACTCGTGTTTCTTTCAAAATTTGAAATATTTGAAATCTTTTATTCATTGTACAAGTGAGCAAATTTGATTATTAGAATTATCGAGCCTCAGCCGATTAGGCTAAAGTTTTAAAAATAGAACTTTTTATTCACAAGAAACTCGTTGTTTCACGCATTTTCGGATGTCTTTCAGAGAGCATTTCTTGAAGCTGAAATTGTTCTGATTGTTAAAGAAATTCTTAAAGAAAATTTTCGTATTTAACAATCCTAAGTAATTTTCCATGTGTAGTTTCAAAGTATTTACCGGTATTTTTCGCGTTTTTCTCCACACAAAGACCATTGGGTCCATTTTGAGGGGAACGGTTGGTCCTAAGAGAGCATTTTTTTTTCACAATATTTCGAACTTTATTCAAACCCTTTGAATATTTCGATTGATTTTATGTGTGGAGGGTTGAGGAAGCTCGAAATAGATCATCGGCACGTCTTCTTTCGTGAAAACCTCAATAGAAAACGGTAAGTGAAGCTGGGGATTACGGTAATACAAGATTACGATTTCTAAAAACTGTCAACTTTCGACTACCATAGTTCTGCTTCTATTTCACTCCCTCTGGAGTAGATCAAGTTCGTTGTGGTGTGATTTGTTAGCAAAGTTGTCTAGTAAGCGAAATGTCGCGGGTCCAAGTCCCGACAATGCACTAGGAGCTTGAGCCTTAGAAAAGTGAAGCAATTTTACGATAGCTATCAACGGTTGATATGTTTTAGTACTTCCTGTACTTAGTACATCTTGTACTTAGTACATCTTGTACTTAGTACATCTTGTACTTAGTACAGCATGTGCCTAGTACATCATGTGCTTAGTACTTCTTGTACTTAATACACCTTGTACTTAGTACTTCCTGTACTTAGTACATGATGTATCATCATGTACTAAGTACAAGATACATCATGTACTAAGTACATGTATCATCATGTACTTAGTTCTTCCTGTACTTAGTACATGATGTACTTAGTTCTTCTTGTACTTAGTACTTCATGTACTTAGCACATCATAGTACTTTATCCTAAAACACCCATCGAATACAGAAGGTTACGGTAGACTATAATAGATGTTATTCAATTATTTTTCACGATTTTTCTTCAATTCTTTAATGGGCTAACAGCTTAAAAGTTTAGTATGAGACAAGATGACGGTAGATGGGCATACTGTAGCTTGTATTGAGAATAAAACTCACCTGAGGTCGGCTTCGTCTCGATTCCGAGTTCAAGAGGCAATTCTGAAAGAATTTCAGAGGTTTTGTTTTCCCCAAATTCCCTCACTTCATGCGTATCCGTTCCGTACCACATGGCTGATTTGCATTTGTGGTCATTCCTTTCCCTAGCCAGCACACAAAATTCGATACACTCCTATACATTGAAAGGTTTTTGTCTGATTTTCAAAAAGAAACCTCAAATGTTTGTGTTGTTTCAACTTGTTCGACGAAACCGACGAGAAGGTGGTCGCGAACGGCGAAAATTGTTGACATTGACGCTGAGTTTCATTTATAAGATGTTTTATAAGATTTATAAGATAAAAATTACCATCAATTTCATCGGGTATACATAATTTTTCCACATAAACACTCGAATTTGATGTGACTAACGCGCTGGGGAGTTTATGATCGATCTAAACGTGTTCTTTGGGTTTATTCTTTGTGCGAGGAAAAAAAAAACGCATACTTTCTGGCACAGTGACTTATTGTTTTTGGTAGGATTATATTACAGCTAAAGAGTTAAAAAGCTAAAAACTAAACTAGATGCAAATGCTACAGTGTTATTCGTACAGTACTGGACAATGAAATATGATATTTGAAAAAGATCGTCACTTTCGCGCGTCTGTAACTCCTTTGTCTTTGCGTTTAAACTATTAGTGTTATACATTTTCTGAAAGCTCTTTTCAAGGGCTACACAATGGTAGTATTAATATTTAGAAATACGGTAAAGACAAGGGAGTTACAGACGCGCGAAAGTGGCGATCTTTTTTCACATATCATATTTCATTGTCCAGTAGTGTAGCTCTACAGTATGAAGGCGTTATTTTAAAGCGTTATTTTAAACCGACTTTATCCTCCGACATCTCACAATGTGTTGGGAAATTGGTGAAAGATTTACTGAAAATTTCAGTTTTCAGTTTTCAAGATCACTGTCTGAAAAGTTCACCAATGAAAATTGTCTCTTTGTTGATCGCAAATCGATGTGCAATTGTCGTTGAGTTTCTCGTGAATAATTGTGATTGTACCCTGAAGAAGAAAAGATAATAAAAAGAGAATAAAAAGAGAAAAGTAAAATAAAATAAAATAAAAAAGTATCAAGACGTCGTTATAAAATCTACATTTATATGTCGTAGCCGATTATGAATGAAATTTTTTGGTAAATCTTTCTAGTAGAGCAACCCTTTAATGTATGAGGAGAATATTATATCATCCTGTAGCGAATTAAATCCTGCGTCGATTGGTACCAAATTTGTGAGTTTAGGTTAAAAAATTACCGGCCCTACAACGTTTCATTCAAAATCGGCGGGACCCCCATAGCCGATTATGAATGAGCGGGTCTAGGAGCGTCCAACCATCAAGTATTTGGTATCATTCAACGCAGAATCATTAATAATTATGTTCAATTTTTTAAATTAGAAAGATTGGATAAAAAGAAAAAAAATTAGAGCAAAAAAACTGTTTGTTCAAGAGGAAACTTTGAAGCCCCCATAATTTTTTTCTTTTTATCCAATCTTTCTAATTTTAAAAATTTAACACAGATATTAATGATTCTGCGTTGAATGATACTAAATACTTGATGGTTGGACGCTCCTAGACCCGCTCATTCATAATCGGCTACGACATGTATACAGAAAGTATAGATTTAAAAATAAAAAACTTTAAAAATTAAAGAATTTCAAGAAAACGGAAAAGTGTAAATGCTACAGTATTATCTGTAGCTTTACAGTATGAAGACGTTATTATAAGCCGACTTTATCCTCCGACAAAATTTGGAAACCTTTTCATTTTGTTTTGTTCTTGATCGTGCCGAATTCTCGAAGATCAAATGGATTTGGGTTTGCGATGGGAGACAGGATTTCGAGAGCTGAAAGATTACTGTAATTGCAAAGAGAAATGATTACTGTTTTGGTGAACTTTCGAAGTTGAAAACGTTTCAAATGGAATGGTGGAGTCGTTGTGAAAGAGAATTGTCTAAAAGTTGGTGATTAGTGTTTTATCTATCAGCTTTCGAAAATCTATCAGCTTTCGAAAAGTCTACCGTAATCCGTCTGAGCTTGTCTTGTCTTTCTGTTTAATTTTGTTTGTTTATTTCTGTCTTAAGCTTGTCTTTCTATTTCATTTTCTGATTTTGTAAGGGTTTAAAGACCATGAAAGATGAAAGATTACGATTAAATAACGATTATGATTAAATAACGATTATGATTAAATAATGATTATGATTAAATAACGATTATGATTAAATAACGATTACGATTGAATAATGATTATGATTAAATAACGATTATGATTGAATAATGATTATGATTAAATAACGATTACGATTAAATAACGATTACGATTCAAAAATCCGGACTAACTTGTGTCCGGTTGGATGTCGTCTGATCACTTTTCGCGTCTTTATCTTCATCTCCGATTTTGGTAGCTTTAAGTTAACAATAATTGAAATAAATAAGGATTTAATGATTAATGATTTAGAAAAACAATGAATGATTGTCAGTTTGAAAGAATTAATGTTTTACATCATCATTTTTAAGCTATTAAGGAAAATTCTCTTTTCGAATAGACTGAAAGCGAATTTGCAGTTAATTTAAAGCTATTAGAGCTAGTAAAAGCTATTAAAAGCCATTAAAAGCTAAATTTGATCTAAAGCCGACGAAATCTTTGAATTTCGTAGACAAATCTCATCCGTTAACTGTCAAATGTCTTAGCTTTACTTGCTTATTGCTTAGCTCTTAACTATCATAATCCGCACTTTGGCCGCTAAATCCAGTCCCGTCAACAGCTCATTTTCCGTCAATTTCTCGCGTCTTTCATCCCTCAATTTCCCCAATTTCAGCATTCGTTTCTAAATTCACCGTCTAAAACCATCGAAATTTCGATTTTACCGGTTTCTTTGATGTAATCTCTTGAATTGCTTTTGATTTTGTGAAAATTTTAATCTTTTTCGAGATCCCGTTCGGATTCGATTTTGTCACTAAATTCTTTTTCTTATAAAATTTCTCTAAATTACCATTTAATTCCCTAGTTGGTGCCTGGACTCGTGCAATGAATTTCTGAAATTTGCATTTATAAAAAGAGTGGCTAGAAAGGGTTACGGTATTTTTGGAGTGTTTGGGTGAAGATTTGTCGGGTTTTGGAGAGGTTTCCTAAAGAAAGGGAGTTCACTGGGGAAAACTCACTTACCCTAGGATATTCGGATAAATGAATATCGTTAAGAAAATGAATTTTCTTAATTACCGTGTTCATTATGAATTTGTCAACAACATTCGACACTCCGTGGATCGCTGTGGCGGCTCGTTTTAAGATTTCTCGATCCTAAACGGTGGAAAGTTTGTTATCTACAGTGATACTTGGCTTACGCTAGCTAGTACATGATTACGGTAGGTAGCTATTTCAGAGGTTACGGTAGCTATTTTAGGGTTACGGTAGCTATCTTAGGGTTACGGTAGCTATTTCAGAGATTACGGTAGGTATTTCTGAGGTTACGGTCGCTATTTTAGGGTTACGGTAACTATTTCTGAGGCTACGGTAGCTATTTCAGAGGTTACGGTAGCTATTTCTGAGGCTAACTAGTTCTTTATCTGCTTTACATTTTTGAATTTCTTTGCCAACGCGAAAAGCTTTGATACACAGGTGAAATCTTTCTCTTCTTCGATTTTCTCCTTTTCATTCACCACCCCATGAGCCTTTTTTGCGATCAAAGGTTTTATATATCTAAAATTGAGGTTTTCGAAATGATAAAAAACCCCTTTTACATACTCGAAATAGCTTCTTTGTTCATAGGAGACAATATTGAATGGCTTTTTGGTGATCGTGACAGCGAAAAGATCACAAATTGACCATTTCCAATCATAGGTTAAGGAACGACATCGCCATGAGCCGTGCTGAAAAATGACTGAAAAATGGGCGCTCGGGTAAATACCGTAAATACTTTAAGACAGTCGTACAGTCGTAATTGTACAGTCGTGTAGTCGTAACTTTTTCGCAACTTTTTCATATATTTAATTTTTTTCAAAGCGTCCGTACTTTCAAAAAATGCGTCTGGTATCAAAAAAAAGCTCTGAATTTCAGCTATTTTTTTGATATTTAAGCGCATTTTGTAGGATAAATGAATGTCAAGAAAAACGCCTTCTGAATGTCTATTTTATTGTCTATTTTATTGTCTGTCTATTGTCTATCTATTGTCTGTCTATTGTCTATCTATTGTCTACCTATTGTCTATCTATTTTATTCATTTTCCCCCCTCCTCCCCTACTTGTGCTTGTGTACATTTCTCCAAACATTCCTCGCACGTTCCACCCGTACTCCGATCGAACATCACCGCTCTGGTGATTGAGGCATTCTTGTGGAGACGCCAGATTTGTGGATCTACGAGAAATAACATGAAATGTACAAAATCAAATGCACTAATCTTGATCTCTGTCACGGAAAATGAGACTTCTCAGTAGCTTTTTAAAACCCACAAGCTATATTTTTTTTTTTATAAATTTTTGATTTTTTTTTTTTTTTTTTTTTTTTTTTTTTTTTTTTTTTTTTTTTTTTTTTTTTTTTTTTTTTTTTTTTTTTTTTTTTTATTAAAAAATTTTTTTTAAAAATTTTTTTTTTTTTTTTTTTTTTTTTTTTTTTTATTTATAAATGTTTTTTTTTTTGGGGGTTTTTTTTTTTTTTTTAAAAAAGGGGGAAGAATAAGGAAAAATTTTTTTATATTTTTATAAAATTAAAAAAAAAAAAAAAATTATATTATTTTTGTTTTTTTTTTTTTTTGTTTTGAGTTTGGTTTTTTTTTAAATTTTTTTTTTTTTTTTTTTTTTTTTTTTTTTTTTTTTTTATTAATTTTTTTTTTTTTTTTGGTGGGGGGGGGTGGTGGGGGTTTATTTAATAAAAAAATAATTTAATTTTTTTTTTTTTTTTTTTTTTTTTTTTTTTTTATAAAAAAAAATAAAAAAGAAAAGGGAAAAAAAAAAAAATACAAGTCAAGTTTATCCATTTATGTCATGATTGTTCCCCCCACTCACCGTATTGACATTGTTCAACTCTAGACGCTTTTTTCTTTTCTTCATCTATCCCACGAAAATCCCTCTTTGTCGATCTCTTGAAAGTTTTTTTTGATTTGGCTTTCTTTTGCTTGTTCAAACCTTTCCATTGTTTTTTGTGGCTTTGTGAGAATCGACGGGAATCCGTTGAACCAAAAGACCCTTGTTGAGCAAGTGGAATGGTCTGTAAATTGGTGATTGGAAAATATTTTTGGATTCAATAATTTCTTTATGAGTATTCTATAGTCATTTTGTTATTGTTAGCAAGAATAGACAAGTCTTACTTTTGTAAGTGTCCAATAATTACTTTTGTTACTTTAAGTGTCCAATAATTACTTTTGTTACTTTAAGTGTCCAATAATTACTTTTGTAAGTGTCCAATATTGAGCGAGATTCGGTGATCGGCGATTAGACGACCTCGTCCACGTTTCCCAGCAGTCGAACCTAGGAAAACGGTATTTTGTAGAAAAAATTTAGCTGATTTCGAAATGCCCGGTCATTTGTGCGTAACTTGTTCGAATTTTTGATTAAAATCGATTTGAAGAGATGCCTCTTGTGAATTAAAGGTGGCTTTTGAATGCTCAAGGTTTTGAAGGTCCATAACTTTGTTTAGAGATAATATTATTCTTAACTTTTTATATTGTTTTAACGAGGAGAAATTGGGCTTTTGAATGATATTAAATGTTGCTTGATTGGATTATTCAGTCTTGTGAAAATCAAAGCCAACTTGACCAAAAAAAAGATCAGCCTCTTGTCTCTTGATTTCAATGGAATCAAATGACTTAAATAAGCTCTATTTTATATCATTCTCAAGCCTGACGTGTCCTTCGTTAAAATAATATAATATTTAACATGTTCACGACGATGGGACCCACCAATGGGTCCCAGGGTGACTGCCATCTGGGACTCATCGGCCACACGACGGGACTCACCGGTGGATCCCGTAGCTAGTCTGAACCGCGCTCGTCCCGGATGGAGGTTTTGCAAAAAAAGCGCTCTTCGTGAATGTGTTAACCACGGATTCGAATTTCCAAACCTCGAAAACCCCCAAGGACAAATTTTCGTGTTGATCCGGCGCTAAAATCGTTCCAGTTGCGGGTGGCATTTCTATTGCTTTAAAGTTAAAAACAAAACGCTTACGACAACAGTTTTGTTGTCGCAAGCGTCGTGCCAAGCATTGGCATTTGCTTCCCACAAGGAATCTCGTCGATTTTGTGCATTATTTTCCAAATAAATATCATCCATAAGATGACAAAAGCACACAAATGTAGAAGGGGAGAAGAACAGAAGAACACTGAAGGGATGGTTTGCGGGAGCGTTTGGTTTGCGGAAGCGTTTGGTTTGCGGAAGCGTTTGGTTTGCGGAAGCGTTTGAATGTCCTGCACGTTCGAGTACGGGACACTACAAATTCCAAATCCCAGGGTTATCGTAGCTTAAAATTGACATCGAATTCGGATTTCCAGCTTCAAGAAATCGCCAGATACAAATTTTTAGCCTAATCTAAAGCCGATAAAGTACGCGAGATACCTAATTACGGGTTGTGAGATGGTGTAGACAAAAACTAACACTGGATTCAGATTTCCCATCCCAGAAAACCTCTAGGGATCAATTTTGAGCTTTTTTCTGAAACGCTGAAACGACGGTGACGGCCAAAAAAACGGCTTCGTCGCGAATGTTTTAAGAATAATATTATCTCTAAACCAAGTTATGGAGCTTTAAACGTTGATTCAAAGCTGCATTTAAGTTAAAAGGGCATCTTTAAGTTAAAAGCTTCATTTTAAGCCGAGCCGAGCTTCATTTTAAACCCTATTTTAACTTCAAAGGGCTTTCTAGTTGAAATGGCTAACTGGAAGAATATATTTGAGTTGAGAACTAAAAGACTATTGATATTGAGACTATTGAAGCTATTTTTAACTCACCATTTCTAGATCTTGATCCTAATTCGGCATCGATTGAATGGATAAAGAGAAACAGAAACAGAAATAAAATTTTCCCCAAAACGAGAAGAACCATTGAGAGATTTTCTTAAAAAGATTCAATAATTTTATTCATTTCCTATCTTTGTGTAATCAGTTTGCAAGTTGCCTTGGTGTGGAGTAGTGAGTTTTTTTATCTTTCTTTTTATTCATTTTATTCTTTTAGAATTCTTTGGCAAGTTAAAGAGAACTTTTCAAAAAAGAAAAAGGAAGCGATGGTTAGTTTTTAACTGTTTTGTTTTGATTGTTTTGAGAAAAAGTGGAATAAAAGACGAATCATTGATCAGCAATTTTTAAAGCTAAGACAAGAAAAAGGAAGCCGAAAATTTGGTGGAGCTGAATGCGTGTTTTGTTCGTGCTTCAACCACCACCAACAAAAAGTGAAAGAAAATTCGTGGTTTCATTTTCCGGGAGTCTTTATTTGTTCAAAATTTCCCTGCCCTATTTCCGTGAGTTTTCTCTTTTCTTTTTTTCAGAAGAAGCAGTTGGAAATTTGTCGAATCAGAAAAGATTGAAAGGTTTTGTTGTGTCAAAGAAATATTGAAATATTGAATTTAATTGAGTGATGAAATCAATTACCGTCTTTTCTCTAATATTGGTGAATTGAAATCTCTAATATTGGTGGGTTGGTGAATTGAAAACTGCGGGCTATTGTCATCTGTGACAGTTTGAGCACTTTCTTCAAAAGAAACCCATTTTGGTGTCAATGGAAAAGTTGTAGAGAATCAAAAATCAAGCTTATATCCAAATTTTCAGAACGATTCAAAAACTGGTTTTCAAGGAATGCCAAATTTACGAATTTTCACAAAACTTGCATTTTAAGCGAAACTACTAAGTGTATCTTTTTGGAAATTAGGCTATAAGCCTCATTTTTGATTCTCTACAACTTTTCCATTGACACCAAAATGGGTTTCTTTTGAAGAAAGTGCTCAAACTGGGACATCTGCAGTCCTCCATTTTTGAGTCTCACACTTGTCTGACACACAAACCAAAATCCTTCTACGAAAGAGGAATCCGCAAATTGCCTGGAAAATGGGCAGAAGTCGTCAATAATAATGGAAATTATGGTTTTATGTTGAATAAATTTTAGTTTAAAGTCTCGCTCTAAAATAAGTAGCCTTGTTTGGGAACTTTTGGCTCATTCCGCATACAGTCCGGACCTCGCCCCTTTTGATTACTATTTATTCCAGATCATGAGTAATGAGCTTGCGGGAGAACACTTCGATTCAGAAGAAGCATTCAAAAATTGGCTTTGGAAGCTTTTCGATTCAAAACCAAAATCCTACTACGAAAGAGGAATCCGCAAATTGCCTGGAAAATGGGCAGAAGTCGTCAATAATAATGGAAATTATTTCGAATGAATTTATGGTTTTATGTTGAATAAATTTTAGTTCAAAGTCCGGCAGTTTTCAATTCATCAACCCAATAGTAGTGCACCATGAGTGCCATTCCTTTCAACTTCAACGCCTTGCTGGATCCGTGAAAGACGCAAACATCCAAATGAGAGGAATCCAAATTTGACCTAAATTGCTCGAAATCTCGAGAACCGCTTATCAGAACCTATCGATGTGGGGTCGGAAAATGTAGCTGACGATGAGATCTAGTGGGGGATTAGAGTGTTGAGCTTCTACAAAAGCTTGGAAATCGTAAAATCGTCGCCAACTCGGCTCACCGGGGTGCACTACTATTAGAGAAAATACGGTATCTGTAGAGATTGGCAACGACTCATTTTTCCGCATTTTATTAAAAGCTTTTGTTTTCTAAAGAATGACTTTTCTTTCAAGTAGAAAACTGTTTGCTAAAGTGTAGAAAGTGAATCGTTGTCAATGTCTAGTAAAATAATTCATTTACTTATAGTATTCCTTATTAGGAATACTATAAGTAAATTCCCCTATTATTGTTCCTTATCTTTACATTTAAGTTTATAAGTTATTCAAGAGTCTAAACAGCAAATACAAGAGTACAAGTACAAACTCTAAAAGTATGCTAAACTTCCGGGGGTGGCTACTTTGCGTCAAATTTTTTGCGCAAAAAACGCAAAAAATTTTGGCGCAAAGTAGCCAGCCCAAAACTTCGTACTGAAGCGCTTGTTTCGAGTACCAAAAAAAAGGTAAATATTCAAGGAAAAGTCAATTTTTTTGAAAATTTTACTTTTCCTCCAAATTTTCTCACTGAATTTCGTATCATTGCTGAGTTTTTTTCAAAAAAATTCCGAAATTTCGAAGAAAAAGCGGTCAAAATGAGAGATTGTAGGTGATCGCGTGTGGTCTCTTTTTGACTTTCTTTTGAGACAAACACTCACAAAAAGTCTACGGTATTTGGGTGGAAGTTTCTGGCTCGAAAGCAGTATCCCTCAGCAGTATTCCTCAGCAGCAGTATCTCAACCAATCATTTGACTTCGAATAGTATTAATCAATGATATCGATCGATGTATCGATGCGACGACGTTGAAAAATGTATCCGATAAGTCACGACGAGGCTCCGAGAGTCTACACGGAGTTATTCTCGATCACCGAGGAGGAGTTGATTGGGCTTTCGGTGAGTAAGAGGATGAAATGGATACGGTGACGATAATGTCATGATTAATGTCTGTAGAACTAGGAAACTACCGTAACTTTTGTCTCTTTTTGTGTCTTTTTGTGTCTTTTTGTTTTTTTGTGTCTTTTTGTGTCTTTTTGTGTCGGAAAAAGTTTAAAATGAATTTTTGGGGAAGTTCTGATTGCGTTTGAAGTTCTGATTGCGAAGTTCTGATTGCGAAATTGTTTCGCCAATGCGCCAAACCAGATTTCAATCCTCTAGATCTCTAACAATGATGATGAATTTAAGAGTTGAGCTTTGAAAATAGACTTTAGCCTATAATAGCCTATAATACTGTACTTTAGCCTATAATACTGTACAAGTAAATGCCTTCAATCATGCCGTTTCATTGAGAATTTCTCATTCCTCCAAATTTTCTTGTCTTTCAAAAATAACGACGATGATTCATTTCGAATCTTTCCCATTTCTCATTCGGCAAAATCTTTTTTTCATCATCGAGAAAGCAAATTTGTAAATGTCATCGATATCCCTCACATTTTATTCATATCGGTGTTTTTCTTTTTAGTCAAATCGTCAAAATAGCGGCTTTCTTTTTTTGTTTCTTTTGCTCGTTTGATTCATTTCTTTCATTTCATTTCGCTTTACATCAACAAGTCATCTTTTAGCTTTCATTCTATCATTAACATTACTTACAATCATCTTTAGCTTTCATTCTATCATTAACATTGCTTACAATCAGCTTTCATTCCATCATTAACATTACTTACAATCATCTTTTAGCTTTCCATTCTATTACTTTACTTTACTTTTAACATTACTTTCACTTTCCTTTACGATCTTCATTACGATAAGTCTACAAAACAGATTCTATATTTCTTTAATCAAATTTAATGTAGATTCTAATAAAAGTGACCTTAAGTTGATTCAATTTTTACATCTTGACTTAGGGATCATTTAAGTGGATCGACCCCTTCAGGTTCTCTGACTTTGAGTGAAATTTTCTCTATGTTTTTATATTAAAGTTTACTAAGTAAGTTGTGGATTTCTATAACGGATTTCTATTTCTATAACTTCATTACGACCTTTACGATCTTTACGATTCAATTTCATCTCAGTCTTAACTGCTTCTTTCAGGTTTAAAAGTTCGACCGGGACTGAATGAATAGTTCCAATTGAATCCTATTTTAGAGATAATTTGTTTAGAGTTTATATCGAGACTTTTATATCGTTTTTAAAGAGCTTTCAAATGCTTTAAGCTTCAAGCTTTCAAATGACATTAAAATAGGATTCAATTCGAACAAATAGTCCTGACAAATCGAGAGACAAAAAAAAACAATAAAATGAATAGCTCGAATCGATCCTATTATTTTTCAAAATAATCACAATTTTGGGGGTAGGCTAATTTGCGCAACTTGCCATAACTTCCTTCTAAGTCAGCCAATCTTTATGATTTTTGGTGTCATTTTGTTGCACTTATTGAGATCTGCAAAATGAAGCCAAAATCATAAAGATTGGCTCACTTAGAAGAAAGTTATGGCAAGTTGCGCAAATTAGCCTACCCCCAATTTTGACTACTCAATTGAGTTTTATAGCGAAATATAGTAAATTCGAGGGAAAAAATGTTATCAAGGATTTGAGCTAAACTAAAATAGAAGAGCCGGGGTTTTTTTTTATCCTGGTTTTCCGGTCCTGGACGTCTTGGTGTA